TGGCTAATTACATTCTAATTAATTTATCAATTATTCACTGCATTTATAGAGTACATTTCAAAACACCCAAAGCGCTTTACAGTTATTCACTCACTCCACACTCGGTGGTGCAAGATACTATTGTAACCACAGCTGCCCTGGGACAGACTGACAGAAACAAGGCCGCCAATCTGCACCATTGGCCCCTCTGACCACCACCATCGCTCATGCACACTCCACTTTCATACTAGGCAATGCGGGTGAAGTGTCTTGCCTAAGGACTAGGGATGGGCATGATTAATCGATTAATCGATAATTGATCATTAAGAATTTCATCGATTACGTTCATTTTAATCAACAATTGAATGTAGGTTGCTGTGTGTATCGTGACCAAACAGATGTGTACATGTGTCTCTGCATCAGAAGGAGCGAGACACAAACACAAACAGAAACAGTGGGTCAGTCTGCAGCGTACAGAAGCACAAATGTGTATTTAACGATGATTTGTACAAGAAATTCCAGACTTTCCGTTGCGTTCGAGACAAGTGTGAGTCCATGTGCACAGTGTATAAAGCAGCACAGATGTTTCTGTGTCCAGTGGGAAAAAGTTTTACCAGGTGAGAGTCGTACAATGTGGATGACGAGTCCCCACCTCCCTCCCCCCGTACGGTGTCCTGGTTTTGACAAAGGCAAATCTGGTCACACTAACCTGTATTCACCTGAGTCATGTCTTTTAATCCAACAGAAACTGACCGCATCAGCGACACAAGAGCTGTAGTTTTATCTTCGCTGAGTTTATGCAAATTAGCCATGTGGTTTTAAATTTTGTTTCTGTGAGAGTTGAACAAAACTGAATTAAACACATTATAATGTCAAATGGATTGATGTGGCTCTAGAGTTACAGCTTACACGTCGTAAAGTTGAATTTATTTATGCAGATTAGTAGTGCAGATCTCCATATTGTGCTTCAGAAGTTCTTATCGTGACAGGCCTAAAACTGACACTATGATATTTGTAGCTCAATTCCAGTCCAACTAAAGCTTCTTATTTTGTTTTCATTATCTTAGAAAGTTAAGCTCCTGATTTCCCCAGCACCTGTTTTGTTTCAGGTCCATAAGCCGCATTAAATGAGCTACTATTGTTTACACTCTGCTCGTGGAAGAGCCTGCAAACACAGAGGGAGATTTCTTCATCATTTACCTGCTGTATTTTGCAGTAGACTCTGTTTTGGATAAGAGTTGAGCCATCACTTTACATCTTTACACCGCAAAGTCGTATTTCTTTAAAGGCCCATACTACACTATCTTTGATTTTTTGATGTATTTTCCTCATCACAAACAGACCCGGAGTTGTGTTTTGTTTCATTCACACATGTTTAACACACAAACCCTGCACATTTAACACACAAACTCTGCATATTTAACACACAAACTCTGCATATTTAACACACAAACTCTGCATATTTAACACGCAAACTCTGCACATTTAACACACAAACTCTGCATTTTAACACACAAACTCTGCATATTTAACACACAAACTCTGCATATTTAACACACAAACCTGCATATTTAACACACAAACTGCATTTACACACAAACTGCACATTTAACACACTGCAACATCTGCACACACTTAACACACAAACCTCTTAACACACAACTCTGCACATTTAACACACAAACTCTGCATAACAACACACAACCTCTGCACATTTAACACACACATTTAACACACAAACCCTGCACATTTAACACACAAACCCTGCACATTTAACACACAAACCTGCACACACTGCACATAACACCTTTTAACACACAAACCCTTTACATTTAACACACAAACCCTGCACACTTAACACACAAACCCTGCACAGTTAACACACAAACCCTGCACATTTACACACAACAAGCCTGCACACTTAACACACAAAACCCTGCACAGTTAACACACAAACCCTGCACATTTAACACACAAACCCTGCACACTTAACACACAAACCCTGCACACTTAACACACAAACCCTGCACACTTAACACACAAACCTGAACACACAAACTCTGCACATTTAACACACAAACCCTGCACATTTAGGTTGAGTTCTAATAATAAGTAATAATAAAGGATTACTCAAACACGTGTGAATGAAACACAACTCCAGTTCAGTTTTTGAGGAGGTAACAACATGGTTTAAAGTGCACAAGAGTTCATTTTAACAACACTAAAAGCACCAGGGTGAACACAGGGCCTAGGCTATACTGCACTGCATTGTTTGTGTACGCGAAATAAAATATTAAATGTGCAGTCAGAGTACACAAATAACCTAGTGCTGGCTCTTACCTGTCAGTTTTTCCCTTCTGAGCTCACCACAACAAATAAAGTCCATTTACTGTACTTTGCATAATGATTTGTTTAGAGTTGTGTAACTGAATCCTAATCGAACTGAGATGCCATCATTTCAAACTCAATCATCAGTCTGGGGCTTTTGAAATGCGAGGTCGAAGCCAATGCTCTGTCAGGAAAAGCTTACGGTCTGAACTGAGAAACAAATGAGACTTTTTTTGTCTTTAATTAAAAGTCTGTCTTGTTGTTCACAGATAAATATTCTAAATCAGATGCTTCATAAAAACACTTTTCGGTCACTTGGAATTGGCAGCCCCTTTTTTCTTTCTACAATCTTCTCTGTAGTTTTTCTTAAAGGTGCACTATGTAACTGCTCTGCCTGAAATGTTCCACAGTGTGACATTAAACAGCTCTACTTTACATTTATTCAATTACATCTGTTTTAGTTTTTTTTTAGATCAGAAATACCTAGAAAAACATCAATTCTGACTGAGCGGGGTCACCTCTCCACAGATCTGACCTGTAACTTGGTCTGGTTTGGCCTCCATGAAGATAGAAACATTCCAAACAAAGCAATAACATCTCCATGTAGAAAAGCATTTTGACGGAGCCTCCACAACAAATATTTTACATAATGCATCTGTAATTACACTTATTTTCAGTCAAATTAACCATACAGAGAAAAATCTGGACTTAAGAATTTACCTCAAAATTCACAAAAACAAACAAACAAACAAAAAAAGCAAATAGGACTTCCAATTCTCAATATGCTGTCTCTCAACTTATCCTCAGGGACTCCAGTTATACCTATTCTTAGTGTCGTAGTACTCGAGACAGTTCTTTTATGGTCTTGGTCTCGTCTCGGACTCGACCACATTTGGACTCAGTCTTGTCTCGGTCTTGAAGGCGCTTGGACTCGGTCTTGTCTTGGACTCGAGGTTTGACACTCAACGAGGGTGATCATATTTACATATGATGTTATATATTACATTATTATATATTACAAATGGCAGTTAACTTCTTACCGTGACATGTGGTTGAAGTTTGCCTAATAAAAGTGCACACATGCATCTGTATTTGTCACGACATGTGTTTGGTAAATGTGCAGAGGCTAAATCCCACTGTAAAACCAGTACGAGAATGTAACTCCAGTTAGAAACTTGACAAAACAGTAAAAAAATATTATAATAAAAAAAAAATCCTACCCACTTTCTTCACTTTGTTCACGGTTTTGTGTAAAGTGTCAGTGGAAGTTCTCTTAAAGAAGAGCTTCTCAAACTGTGGGTGAGGCTCCAAAAAAGGGCACAGATTGTTTTCAGTGCAGAACAGTTTGCTTGGCTTATTTTAGCCAAAATTTATCAGATCAAATGGGGATATATATATATATATATATATATACATATATATACATATATATATATATATATATATATATATATATATATATTTATTTTTTTTTTTTTTTTTTTAAACAAAAAAAACAAAACATTGACAAATATCTGCCAAAATAACTGTAAAACACAAATAAATGTTGAAAATGACAAAGATGGTCTTGATTTGGTTTTGATGGGCTGTGGTCTCAGCCTTGTCTCGTTCTCGACCTTTAAAAGTCTCGGTCTTGTTCTTGTCTCGGGACCCTGCGGTCTCAGACAGGTCTTGACAACACTACCTATTCTTTTATTTACCCCAGTTCATTCAGGCACAATCTGACAAACTGACTTTCCTGTGTACAGAGCTTGTATGAATAAAGTTAGGACTGTTTTTTTTTTTTTTTTTTTTTTTCAATAAAATAGGAACTAAAATTATGCTCAATACAAGATTTTATTTTATTTTTATTTATTATTATTATGATTATTATTTTGCCTTTGTATTTATTTGTCATATTACTAGGCTATTTCAGATGCCCTCCCTGACACTAGGGGTGTGCAAAAATATCGAAATATCGATATATCGTTTTGTTTAATATGATGATACAGGATCGATATCATGGACTGCTGTATTGATATATCACCAAGAATATTTTTTTGGTATATTTAACTAAATTATTTTGTTACAGGTCTACAATTTTGTTACTTGGAAAAATTTTTATGCGACACAATTTACATTTTCACTGTTTTGATGATTAAAATGGGTGTGTTTCATGTTCACTTCGCACAAGATGGTTTAATAAATGGTTTAACAGAGACTTTTAGTATCACAGCCATGTTTTAGCCATTATGTGTTATTGAACCGTATCAAATCGGTTTGAAATATAATGTATCGAATCAAAAGCTCACTGTATTGAGGTATGTATTGTATCATGGTCTAGGTATCGAGGTATGTATTGTATCGGCAACTTCTTAACGATACCCAGCCCTAACTGACACATCCATTTATCCAGGCTGGGCACTGGCACAAACAGCCTGTATGTATATCTGCGGCTCCCATACAACACAGTTAAGCAGAAGAAAGAAAACACACTATAAAATGGTCCCTCGTGTCCCGCCGTCCCTCCTCGTGTGCCCTGTCGTCCCTGCCTCATGACTAATATCACAGCTGACGCCAAATGCCCCGAACACGCATCAGAGGCGATTATTCGATGACACAACACCATATATGTGGGCTCTATTTATGGACAATGTGATCATAATAAATGGACACGCACCTGCTCCTCCTCCAGAACAGGGCTGAGCTGCCACATCCGCGCCCCGAAAAGGTGTCCCAGATCCGGCGTGCTAAAGCGGTGTGGTCGGGGGGTTCACCGGCGCGACCTGTTGTTGCGCGTAAACGACAGAACAGGCGAATAATCCCCCTCTGCCATCGTCCCATAGAGAGGCCATGCACCGGGAGAAGGTGAGAGGAGCGCTGTTTACGGCTGGGAAGTGGCCGAGAACGGTGCGTGGACAGCGGGGACGCGCGGTGGAGGTGCAGCCGGGTGAGAGGTGCTGATGTCGGGGAGGGGGAGAGGAGGCTGCCGCTGCCGCTGCTGTGGACCCAGGGATGGAGATGGAGCTGGAGGCGCACAACACGCACAGCATCACGTTTGGAGCACGGCAGGTTCACGGGAGCGTGCGGGGAGCGCTTCCCGTCAGGTTTTTCAAAATAAAGTTTAAAAGAAGCGTTAATATTATGTCTTTTATTTTCCGGTGGAGGGTCCGTTTCCTTGACTCCGCGGAGGTGACACTGCGTTTCCTGAAATGCTCCGCAGTCTGGCATTAAATGTATGCAATGTTGTGATTGTTCAAACATACCTAGAACCTGAGCGGGCACATCTCTTCACAGATCTGACTTATAACTTGGTCTGGTGGGCCACCTGCTTGTCTCCATGGACCATGAGATAAGATCAATGCTGCACTGTGGAACATTACTTAGACTTAGACTTAGACTTAGACAAGACTTAGACTTAGATTTAGATTTAGACTTAGACGTAGACTTAGATTTAGATTTAGACTTGGACTAAACTTAGACTTAGGCAAACTTTATTGACCCACAAGGGAAATGATTTGGACACAGGAGCTCACACATCACATTATATTATAAAAACAAAGAGAAAAAATGTAGTAATAATAAATTCTAAATAAGCAAGAAAAAAATAGCAAGAGACAGGTGCAGTATTAATAAATATTATCATTATTATGTAAATGTACAAGTCAAAGTCATAAAATATAAAATCTCAAGAGGTCATAGGATTAGGAAAGAACTCCAGGCAAAGCAGTAACATTTCCATGGAGACAAGCAGGTGGTGGACTCTCCATCAGAACATTAACAGTGCACTTTATGTGTAAATGATGACATTTTAAAAAAAACACATAAAATCCAGTGCAATGTGTATGTGTGAAAAAGAAACTAAGTTGTTGTACATAATAATAAAGATTTCTGTTTGCAACTGATTAATAATTGTGCCTGAACTGAAATGTACTGATTTGAAATGTTTAAAAGTAACTATTTGTGTTGATGTTTTGTCTGGAAAAGGGAAAAGGAGCAGAGAACATAAGATGACTCTTGTTTCTACTCCTTTTCATTAATTTCTTGTATGTTTGATGCTGTGACACTGTTAATGTGATGAAATAAAATAAAGTTGGGAAGGAGCTCGGAGTAGAGCCGCTGCTCCTCCACGTTGAGTGGAGCTATTAGAGGTGCCTCGGACATCTGTTCCGGATGCCTCCTGGGTGGGAGGTGTTCTGGGCATGTCCCACCGGGAGGAGGCCCCGGGGAAGACCCAGGACACGCTGAAGGGACTATGTCTCTGGGCTGGCCTGGGAACACCTCGGGGTCCCCCCGGAGGAGCTGGAGGACGTGTCTGGGGTGAAGGAAGTCTGGGAGTCCCTGCTTAGACTGCTCCCCCCGCGACTGGAAGAAAATGGATGGATGGAAAGTAGGGAAGCTCTAGCTCTATTTGTCCTAAAATGTAACAGAGCGTTTTGTGATCGTCTGTAAACTTAAGCCTTGAGCAGAATATGCACAGACGCTTTCTGCACCTGTGGCCGTCTCACAACCAGAAGACACACACACATTCTGAGTATTATTGTTATTATTATTATTGGCCATGGTGTGTTTTGCCCAAGAACATACCATCAATGTTTTGCAGGTGGGAGAGTGGGGATTGAACCACCAACCAAAGATTAATTTGGGATATGTGTTATTCTGTTTGGGATATGTTTTATTCTGTTCAGGAAGTTATTCAATTGGTCATGGTTTCACTATTTTTTTTTTTCATTTGACTATCCAAAGAGATTTGATTATGTCTTCACTTTAAACACTCTGGTGTTGTCTGTGTTGTTGTAATCTGCTCGAAACTTTGGCAATAAACTTTGTTGTTATTGAACTCAGAGGATCTCCTCTGTCCATGCCAAGCAGTGCTGAATTTGCTTTTCACAATTATACCATGAGTTTTTACCATTTTGATTGATCATTGAGTTTTCTTTAGGTTTAGCCACTCAGCTGCAAAAGATGTGTAAATGTAGAATAATATAATGGCAAAGGCAATTACTGTGAGTTCATATTTCATTTCTGTGTTGCTATGTTGGCTTAATGAAATAGGTTTGTCTATTTTAATGTGAAAGGGACATGCAGAACTGCTGACTGTGATAATGTTGCTGTGAACTTGACACCATGATGTGCTCCTCATGATTTCAAGTAGTGACAGAGTATTTTGCTGCTGTAGAAATCAATTCATGCTGTTATAATGTGACGAGAAGAGAGAGAGAGTGTGAGTGTGTGAGAGAGGGAGAGAAAGAGAGGGGGAGAGGAGAGAACGGAAACCCTCTGATGTCCAGATGTTTGGGGATTTCAGCCAAAATCTGTGTCAAAGCGGCAGTGCATCCAGCCTCCTGTGGATCCAAAATCACAAATAGATGCATCCAGTAAATAGGCTGTACATCTTTATTACTTGTCATTCAGATGATTAAAAGAAGAACTTGAAAAACAACTTCTCTTCATCAGCTGTCACAGCAATATGTAATTAATCACATCGTTAAATATTACTGCTGCCTAACCAGACTGTTGCTTAGCAGCATTTCATTATTTTTTTATCTGACGATGGCATAAATGGGTGATGGAAAAGTCCCAATGAGCAATTTGACATGCACACATATTATAACTTTATTTACAGACTGAGGGTCCAAAGTGTACACAGAAGGACACACACCCACAGTAAACTACATTCATACTTAAACACACCAGCACACACACACATACACATACCCACACACATAAATGTGAACTGTAGGCTTGGAACACATGCTCATTCATTTTCAATAAATAAATAAATAAATAAATTATAATAATAAGATGAAGAAGAAGAAGAAGATGAAGAAGAAGGATGATGATTATTATTATTAATGATGATGATAATAATCATCATAATCATAATGTTATGTATTCTCAGTGGTACATTTCACATGTGCACTGTCTAAAGTCACAAACTTTCTTCATCCACAAGGGAAATTATTTAATTATTTTCTGTCATTGGCTTATATTGTTTTGCCTGTTATGGCATTAAACTTATTTAATCACATTGCACTTCTAGGCCAAGTTAATGAGAGGGAATCTCACTCACAGATAAAAACAATAATTGGTTTAAATGTATATTTTAAGCTATTTGCATAAAGCAGATGCAATATAGATATGTGTAATTATGCCATACTGTGGAATATTCCAGGCAGATTTTGTTGTCATGGACAGTTGAACCAGAAAAGTGACATAGCCTACAGCGTAGTCATAAACACTTTAAATGATGCTGCTGTCTTGAAGGCTGTAACATTTCCATGTCATCATGCTTGGCTCATTTAATAAACATATAATGATACATTAAGACAAAGATAAAGCCTAACTTAATTTATCATCCTAAATCATATTGATCTTTTCCCTTGAATGGATTAAATAATCCCTCTGCCATGATCACTGACTGGTCATGTGACAGATGTTGGTGTCGTCACTCGGGGGGCGGGGCCTGTGGCTGTAGTCCACTTCCTGCTTCTCTGCTCGCGGATCAGCTGCTGCATCCACCCTTCTGCCTCCTCCAGCACAATGTCACATCAAACGGGCATTCAAGGTAGTTTACTCCTCTGGTTTCCTTCATTTCACTTTATTATGCTTTCTCTTACCGCTAGGTTTTTTGTAATACGTGCTTTGCTTTCTGGGGATTGTCCATTGAACGCAGAGCTAGTGTCAAGTTAGCCGCGCTGTGCTAGCTGTGCCGACCTGATCTGCGCCGCCCGCTCTTCTAAAGCAGTTTTAGGACTGAGCAGCACAAATCCAGGGGTTTTATCCTCTGCTTAAACCCAGAATAACATGGCTTTTTAATCTCTTTCACGGTACGCCATGTATTTGTATCGCTATTGCCTTCAAACGTGAATAGTAGTAGGGCTTCCCCCGATGTTGAATGGATGGATGGGCGACGCCTTCGTTTTCCACAAACTGCTGGCCTGGTAGTTTAGCAGGTTTACACATAAATACACGGATCACATAGCCACAGGAGCCCGTGTCATTCTAACAATAAGGCTCCACTGGCTCACATGTGTTCCCTTATATGGGCAGAAGTAATACTCCAGTGTTGACCAAGCGCAGACTTTGTTGACCGATTTAACCAAATGCTCTGTGATTACTACTACTAACATGCAAAGTGTGATTAAACAGTATTTTTGCAGTTCAGTGGATATGCATAAGTCCATAATCCCTATATAACGGTATCTACATGTAAGAATGTAGTAATATGTTGTTAGAGTTTAGACCAAATATAATACTCCTACTATTGCAACTATTTTGAATCAAGTCATCAAGGGTAGTTTAAGTAAATGTTTGACTTTTGAGTTGTATTTTACAATTTAGTATAGTGTTTGAGCCATATCTATAGAGAGAGAGGGTGAGTTTTGTGGCTGCATTGACACTTGCACATTTCCTATATCAAAATTGAGAATGATTCACTATATTCAAATTGAGACTGAACCAGGACTAGACCAGGACTAAAGCAGAACCAAACCAGGGTCCTTTCTTCTGATGTTGTCATGTCAGCGAAATGACTATAATATGGGTTAGTGACTGCCAGATGTTTCCATATGGCTCTGATCCAACAAAATGCCTTTTACAATACATATGTGATGGACCCTTTAATCCCCTTTGTTTGGCAAATAGCTCCTTTTACAACACACTGCACAGAGCAAATGCTGTTGTCCTGAACTAGAACAATCACAAGTCAGGTCCAGAGCCATCAAACGTAGTTACATCGCTAGAACCGGTGTATTGCTCTAACTAAACTGCACTGACATCTGTGAGTACTCTAACACGGCTTGAGTTCACGTCACTTCATGTTTGTAAATCCTCGCACAACGATAATCACAAGAGCTGAATATATTGCTTTGTCTTGTTTCTTGTAGCGGGGAACGATGTAAAGGACATGTTTTCCAGTGCCAGGAGTGGAGAGACATATCGCCTTGTGAAGATTGTCATTGAGGATGGTATGTTATTAAGAACTTTTCTGTTATTTACACTCAAATGTGCCAAGGCCACTCTCACTAACACGATTGGGATTGGTGATAACTCGACACATAGTGCAGACTTCGCGGAACAGATGAACAACAGCAATTCAATTTTGTCATAAAATTGTCAGTCTGTATTACTCTCGAGAATGAAATAATACATCATGATTGTACATTCTTGGTCACTACTGGTTCACTACTACTTAGGCCTGTCACAATAATTACTATATCAATATATGAAAGCTGGAACAATATATTTTTGTGATCATTATTTACCAGATGTACAGTTTCTTTGCAAAAGTTTGAGATTTTTTGCATTTTTTTTGTAAGAAAAGTAAAATTTGAGCTGTAGAGAGCAGAATATGTCCATTTGTTGCAGACAGTATATTTCAAAACTGTTTTACTGAGATGAGTCTCTTTTATTGTTATTGTGTCAGAGGCATAAAGTCGTTTCTATATTATTATTGTTTATTGCAATATTTCTCTGTAGCCGGTATATAGTGCTTGTTATTTTGACAGGCCTACTACTATGTCATGTATTCATTATTTTTCCAATGAGCTTAAAGTCTTTCAAAGCAATCTTCAAATGAAAACAGACTGGTTAAAGGTGCGCTGTATACGTTTTCTGGTGGATGATCTGCCACATGCTAGTCTCCATGGGGATGTTTTTTGCTTTGCCTTTAATGTTCCACAGTACGCCATTAGATTCAAATTAAACATGTCTGTTTCCACGGAGAAAAGCATCAAGCCAAGTCATATGTAGGGATGCACCAGTCCAGCTTTTTCAATTCCGATACAGATGTTGATACATATAGCTTTAAGTATATGTCGATTCCCAATACCAACTGAAAACAGTGCAGACAATGAAAACAGCTTTTATCTCATTTAAACAAAAATCAAATAAGCCCAAACTGACCTAAATATGGTATGTAGCTGTTATGTATCTGTCAAGTAACTACAGAATAATTTTGTATAAATAAAAGTTCAAACATCATGAAACATTCTGGGCCAATTATGACCAGTAAATCATCGTATTAAATCAAATTATGTGCCAAAGTAGGATATCGACTGAACGAATATTTGGAAGCCAATCCAGCAAATTGTTCAGTACCGGCACCGATATCACATATCAGTATCGGATTGGTGCCTCACTAGTCACAGGTCAAATATGTGGAGAGACAGACAGACAGGAATCTCACATTCTTGCAGTAAAAACAAACAGGGGAACTAAACATGTGCTAAATATGTGCTTGGAGACGAGTTATATAGGGCACTTTTAACAATCTATTTATCCTAGAATAAATAAACTCATGTTATTTAATAATATCATTATAATGATAGCTGTGTTAAAAATGTAGTTACTTTTCTTGTATTGCGTCGATGACAGTTTTGGTGTCCTTTACAGAGCAGTTGACTTTAGGCACATCTCGAAAGGCCTCCAAGTCGTGGGAGCAGGAGTACGATGCTTTGGTGCTGCCCCTTCTGGAGGACGATGTTCCCTGTTACATCCTGTACCGTCTGGACTCCCAAAACAACCAGGGCTACGAGTGGATCTTTCTGGCCTGGTCTCCGGATCGTGCCTCGGTAAGAAAAAAACAAAACAAAATCTGTACAGACGATAATGAATACCCTTCGATTCAACATATTATTTTCCTTGTCGGGTTTGGGACACAGGGTGGAGTTGACCACATCAGGGCAGGCTTTAGTTTGGTGAACATCTGGACCTATTTCAATGTCTTAAAGGCTGTATTATATTACATTATAACTCTCTAAAACTTTAGTAACAACATGTCTTGTTCTTTTTGTTAAATCTCTACCAACAATTTGCTCAATGTCTAAGGGTGCTTTCACATTTGAGCTGTTTTAGCTCAGTTTACCGTATTTTCCGCACTATAGGGCGCTCTGGATTATAAGGCGCACTGTCATAGAATGGTTTATTTTTTAACTTTTTTCACAAATAAACTGCACTGGACTTTAAAAGAAACACAACAGTTGGATGGGTCAGTGGGACTTTGTTTATGGCGTTCACGGTGACTCTGGGCTTTGTTCAGTTGTGGCGTGTAGGGAGGGTGTGTCTGGGACCAACGGATTGTCGGCGTGTTCGCAGTGACTCAGTTGTTCAGTTGTGTCTAGAAGTGGCACATTGCACTCGCTTTTTTGGTTCGTTCCTCCGCCCGTTCCTCTTTGGAGTGGAGTGATGAGTGGCTGTGGGTGTTTTTCGCTGTCTGCTCCGTGTGTGTTTGCGTTCGCTGCGGCTGGTGTGGCTTTGTAGTTTACTGAAGTGGGACACCCGAGTGGATTCGTGTATAGGGCGCTCTGGATTGTGAGGCGCGCACTCGTTTTTTGATTGGGGTTGGAGGCTTAAGAGCGCCCCCTATAGTCTGGAAAATACGGTAATCCTGATGTAGTCTTGATCCTGTTATAGTCCTGGTCAGATCCAGGTTTAGTTCCAGGTTTTATCCCCTTATAGATGGGTGTCAAAGAGATTAAAAAATAGCCATTAATCCACTGTTTTCATAGTAATTAATAATTCAAAACAAAATAGTAGAATGAAAGTCCTCAAAATGTCACCTATAAAGAAGAAGTTGAAACCCATGACTAGACCCTATTTTGATGGTGATGGTGATATGTGACTAACCTGGGACTAAATCCAAAACTAAACCCATACTAGAATAGCCCTAAACCAGGACTAAACCAGAACTAAACCAGGCCCAAACAGAGTCTACATGAGGAGTAAACTAGACTCGAATCAGGATGTGAAGGCACCCTAAATATTAGCTCTTCACAAAAAACAAACATAGCCTGGTGTGAAATTTAAATGGAAATATATTTTGCTATAATAAACAATATTATAAAGAACCATTTGTTTTAAAAAGTTGTAGTAGTAGTAGTGTTTTATTTCATAGTTCGTAGTTCACATTTGTTATTTCTGTTGTTTAAAAGACTTATTTTTCTCTTGTCAAATAAAGTATCATACGAAATATTTGAATTTTTATCCTCATGAATAGATTAAAACCAATATGTAAACAATTGTGAGAAAGGGCTTACTGTGGCTTTGAAATTTCCCTCGTCAGCGGTCCAGACTTGGCTCTTGGTGTTGTTTTTAATCATATGCAAATGCGTGTTTTGCATGGAGACTGTCACTCATCTTACTTTGGCTGAATTCTAATGAAGCTCTAACATTTTAGGTCTCTGATATTCAAAATGGGCAGCACATAAATACAGGCTTGTTGTGACAGTATGGGTCAGTAGGACAGAATGAAGTGAATTTTTATTATGAAGGCGCTGTACCTGATTTTTACTGTCTTAAAAATTTGAAAATCTGAACTAGTTTATTTGAAAGAGTTTGCAGTGGTCTAAAGTTCTTCCTCACTTACCTTATGCATTCTGAGCATCTAATTATTCACCACGATGAGTTTAGTCGTGCTTTTCGTAACTTTCAGAGACGAGAGCAGAGTTCTGGCATCACACTAAAGCTAACAAGAACTAGCATGCTAATGGGACTTCCTAATTATCAGACAATAAAGAGTTTACACAGTACACACACACTTATTTGATCTCAAGAGATGTTTCTATCATATATTTGTACTGGCACAAGACAATGTTTGCTTAAATATGCCACATGCAACTGAAGCTTTTAGTATTTTTACTCTCAGTTCACATGGTGTAATGCATGTGCAGCATTCGTGGCTTTGCGCTCGGAGTGCTTTTAGCTTTTCACGCTGAGACATGTCCTGATGGTGAAAGGCGTTTTCTGAAGTATGCCATTAGTTGCATAACTTTAAGCTGTGCTCTATTTTCGTTATTTATTCTATTTAAGGTCGTATATTACACAAAATTGACTTGTGTTGTGATCTTGAAGCCATTGTTATCTCATAAAAAACAAACCGTTGAGTTGTTTTATTCCATTTACACATGTTTGAGTATTCTTTTATTATTAGTCTGTCTGTCTCCAAACCTCAAAATGCTCTGTTCCACCTTGTGATGTTTTGAAGTGATAGTTTTCAAGTAAACAGCCTGTTTTACTTTTGTTCAGTAGAGACTGGAAGTTCCAAATGATTCTAGTGAAGGTGTGTGGAGTTTAAAAACGCAGTGGAGCACTTCCTGTATTACCATATGACATCACCAGGTGGAAGAGAGCATTTTCTATTGAGGGAAGGTGGAACAGAGTGCCTGAATCTGCAGAATTTGTGTGTTAAACATGTGTGAATGAAACAAAACACAACTCCAGGTCTGTTTGTGATGAGCAAAGTGCATAAATCTATAATATAGACTCTTTAAGGAAAATGTGTATTGGTGTCTCATTTTTTTTTAAAACTTTGTTTAATGTTTTTAACAGAAGATACAGTATGTGTTCTTTCCCATGAAAACCTCCAAATAAAGTTAATTTAACAAACTTTAACTTTATTTGATAGGAATATACATTGGGTAGTAGCACACTAGATCTAAAATGATCAATGGTATATAGTATATAGAATATATTGTGGAGGTTCTGTAGCCATTTTTAATCTGAGCATTGTGCATTGTGACTATAGTTTTACTGTTTCACTGGGAAGTACGAACAGCCTCATGTGGAAATCAGCAGAAGATGAATGATAAAGCATAGAAAGACTGACACATAAAAACAAAAACAATGTTAAAACAGCACGAGTATTTCTACCAGAGACAAAGTATGTGATCCTAATATACTTTTTAAATTACTTCTTTGTATGACAGGTGCGACATAAAATGTTATATGCTGCTACTAGAGCTACACTGAAGAAGGAGTTCGGAGGAGGACACATCAAGGAGGAGATCTTTGGAACAGTAAAGGTAACTCAGCCTTTGAAATGAGAAACTATTGACTTCTCATGTTCCTTACACATGTGCACATTCTAACAGCTGAAGACATAAACAGAAAGCGTCCCATTGCTCAGTCAGTGCTTTCACCCTCCCAACATCTTCTCACGCAGCATTGTCCATCATCCTCTGCTCACATTTTTAGTGGATGAGGATTAGGAGCCTTCCACACTTTCGAAATGAGCAAATATCACTAGTCCAGTATTGTACGGCTGCACCATATGAGAAAAAACTACTTTTGGCATTTATGAGTTTTGTTAAAGCAAAAATTTGCATATCTTTTACTAATTAGTCAAACAATTAAAGGTATGTGTCAAAATAAAAAACAATACTAAACCAAGACAAACACAAGTAAGAGGAAAATCATGAATAAAATGTGCCTATTTGTACATTTTACTTTAAAACCAGTACAGTACATTTCTGTAAAATTGAGAGCCTTGCATTGTTGCCATATCTGTGTGCTGGTTTTCAGGATGACTTGAGTCTGAGCGGATACAGGAAACACTTGACGTCTCAGGCGGCACCACTGCCCCTCACTGCCGCAGAGCAAGAGCTCCGACAGATCAAGCTGAATGAGGTACACACTCACCACAGCTGTTTACTCCAAACTCTTTTAATGTTTAACCTTAATGTTCGTGTTATGTTATTTTTAAGAGAATAATCCAATCAGAAAGCAGAATGACCCCAAATGAATCTCATCTGGATTGCCAGTTTCTATGTCTAAATCCAATAGTTTTAAACCTAAAAGGACTCTGTGATCTGAATGGTCACTACCTAAACTCAGTACCTACAGTCATTAATCAGTGCTAGTGCAGCCTCTGCAGCTCAGGTTTTGAGGTTTTGCATGCGGTATTGCCCTATATGTCCTCAGTGCAGGTTAACACTGATAATCCAGGCTCAGTTGTGGTTCCTTTTTGAAACCAGTTAAATGTGCTACATGTGCCACACCTTTGTGTGTTGTCTTATTTCCTGTATAATCATTTAAACACGACTATGTCGATTATAAACTCTTGACTGGAAAGACTTAAGTCTTCTTAAGTCCTCTTCTCTCATTTCCTGTGATGTGTGAACTGTAAACTTGTATTGACACAGAGTATGAGTATTGTATGAGTGGTGCCACAGCACAAGGTCAGCTCTGGTGTTAAGTTTAAAGTGCTGCTCTGGCTCCACACACAAAGTGCACAGACGCTGAAGTGTCAGAACTGCAGGATGTGATGGAGCTTTTAGTGTGTCTCCTCACAAATACACGCACATGCACATGCACGCGCACACACACTAACAATCTATACTTTAGCTCTAAATCGCTCCTTATGAAGTCTGCGTTGTTAAGAGGGCCTAGTGCAGTAGCTGTTAGTGAGAATAGTGTGAAAAGTTTAAGTATTGGACATGGTTGGGCATTATATCAAAAAATCTTCTTTGAGGCTAGATCACAAATTTGATTAAAAAAATTTAAATAAAAAAATCCTTTATTGAGCCATCACAATTTTCACTTTCTTAATTTGTCTTTTTAAAAACAAATAAAAATGACTTTCAATATAGATTATTTCTCATAAAAAATACAGATTTTCCACTATGGCCAGTAATTGTTTTGTTCAAATAGAGTGATCGTGATTTTCAATTTCATTTCTGTTTGTCTTATAAAAACAATTCACATGGCATTAATTTGAACTAAACAGTGCCATTTAACACAATCAGTAAATAAATAAATGTCAAATGATTTCCCCTTGTGAGACAATAAACTTTCTTATCTTATTTCTTGACGTCTTATGCACCTTAATACCTTCTCAACTCTGCTTTTACAAACATGGCTGGGTTGGTTGTGGACTTCTCAACTGTACACCCCAAAACTTATTTCTGACAATTAACCATGCCAGGGTTCAAACAGACTTAAAGGTGCACTGTGTAACTTCTACGGTGCGTGTCTTAATTGAGATGTCATTGCTCAGTCTCTATCTTGTATATTCAATTATAGATACTTGCATTTATAAAACCTGCGTTATTACTGTGTGGGGTCACCTCTGCACAAATCTGACCTGTAACTAGGCCTGGTTGTGCCCCCTGCTGGTCTCCATGGAGATAGATGAATTTAATGCCATACTGTTGAGCATTCCAAGGTGCTCTCACATCTCTGGTTCTGTTTGGGGATGAGCAGATGGTGGAAGGTCATATTTCATATCTTACATATTTCAATGACATACATAGTTAAGACCTTCCTAAAAGTGATTCTCAATGATTTTTGAACACATTCTGTAGCTTTCCAAGTTTCTTGTGTTGCTCTGCTTACAAATTATGTTCATGGCAGGTAAGGAAATAATTCATATTTCTTCACAAATCAACAGTTACTACACATGTTATAGGACACGGGTCTCCAACCTGTAGCTCAGGAAGTACCAGTAGCTCTCTACTCCCTTCCAAGTGGCTCGCCAAGGATTTCTGAATCATACATATTGCGCTAAATAACTCAAATTTGATTGATTAAATGCCTATTTCCTTTGTAAATCTATCATTTTGATGCCTAATTTAGCTAATTTAAGTGAATAATGGGTTATGTTTTATAGACATCTAACCTCATCTTCAGTTTACCATGGCTCTTATATTTACAAAATTAGTAGCCCTCTAGCAGTTTAATTTTACAGAAAGTAGCTCACAAGGTTGGAGACCCCTGCTTTAGGGCATGGGGAACAAGAAAAAAATATTTAAAATATGATTTCCTAGTAAACAAATGAGAATTATATTGATATTACAGACTGAAAAAACATGTGCCGCTTTGGAAAGATTGATAAAATGACATAAACAAGGCCCGACATTTGGTCTCGCTACATTTACATTTCATTTTATTATGATATAGAAGCTGATTTTCTAACTCCATACATCACAGTCCGTGACGCAGCGAGAACATCCCCCTTCTCCTGGGCACAGCAGATCCCCGCGTGTCACCAAAGAGAAGGGGTCGTCTGGAGGGGGCAGGGGGACGTTCCCACCTAGACACTCGCGCTGGGACTTTGAAGCCAGGTGGACGCTCGAGCTGTGATTCTGCCCTCTCCTTCTGAACCTGTACCTTTTTTAAACTATATTCCCCATGTAGCAAGCTCCACCCTCGTGCCTGGGCTTTGAAGGACTCGCTGGGAGAACGCAGACGGGGCAGGTAGCTTTGTGCTGGTGCAGAGATTAGATAAGGAGGTTGTAAAATGATCCGCTGGTGAGTGGACTGTTTTGCTGTAATGACGTCAGCCGTGTTTGTTGTGCAGTTTTAAAGGCCCCAGCTAATCCTCTGGTTCTCACAGTGGAGTGTATGGCTGTTGTATTTGTTCAGTGTGTCGGCTGCATTTGACCCATCCTTCAACCAGTTCTTCTGAGTTACCGGTCAGGAGCAGAGGGTGACCACTAGGGCCTTGTAATTAATCACATTCCATCAAATCAACATCATAATCATTTGAAATGGTTAATGATCAACTTGGGCATTTTAATTTGGAGGTGTACAGCCAATCCTCTGTCAGGAAACGCCGTGGTTCAGAGCAGAGTGCAGACACATCAGAGACATTTGAATATGGAAAACTGCACTTATGAAAATGTTTGCGTTTATAAAGTATATTCTGAACAGTTATTTACTTGTTTTAACTGGACAAATAAAATGAGTGGAAAATTGTGATTGATCAATACAAGGAACATTCAGTGATTCAATTGAATGAAACTTTTTTTTAGTCGTATTGTCAATCCTGAGCAACCAGAATGCAGCTGCCTTCATTGTGTGGCTCCTGGTTTAGTCCTGGTTTAGACCTGATGTAGTCCTGGTTTAGTCCTGGTTTAGTCTTGGTTTAGTCCTGGTTTAGTCTTAGATTAGACCAGTTTTAGTCTTGGTTTAGTCCTTGTTTAGTCCTGTTTTAGTCCTAGTTTAGACCTGATGTAGTCCTGTTTTAGTCCTGGTTTAGACCTGATGTAGACCTGGTTTAGTGTTAGTTTAGTCCTGGTTTAGTCCTGGTTTAGTCCTTTTTTAGGCCTGTTTTAGTCCAGGTTTAGGCCTGTTTTAGTCCAGGTTTAGGCCTGTTTTAGTCCAGGTTTAGGTCTGTTTTAGTCCAGGTTTAGGTCTGTTTTAGTTCTTGTTTTAGTCCTGGTTTAGTCTGTATTTATACCAGTTTTAGTCTTGGTTTAGTCCTTATTTAGTCCTTGTTTAGTCCTTTTTTAGTCCAATTTTAGTCCTGGTTTAGTCCTGGTTTAGACCTGATGTTGTCCTGGTTTAGTCTTAGTTTAGTCCTGTTTTAGTCCTGGTTTAAACCTGATGTAGTCCTGGTTTAGTCCTGGTTGAATCTTAGTTTAGTCCTCTTTTAGTCTTGGTTTAGTCCTGTTTTAGTCCTGGTTTAGACCTGATGTAGTCCTGGTTTAGTCTTAGTTTGGTCCTGTTTTAGTCCTGGTTTAGTCCTTTTTAGGCCTGTTTTAGTCCTGGTTTAGTCTGTGTTTATACCAGTTTTAGTCTTGGTTTAGTCCTTATTTAGTCCTTGTTTAGTCCTTTTTAATCCAATTTTAGTGCTGGTTTAGTCCTGGTTTAGACCTGATGTTGCCCTGGTTTAGTCTTAGTTTAGTCCTGTTTTAGTCCTGGTTTAGACCTAATGTAGTCCTGGTTTATTCCTGGTTTAGACCTGATGTAGTCCTGGTTGAGTCTTAGTTTAGTCCTCTTTTAGTCCTGGTTTAGTCCAGTTTTAGTCCTGGTTTATTATTCAGCACTGCGACCTGGAAATCCAAATATTTATAGAAATAAAGTTAGAAAAGACAACTGTACATTTGCATAAAGTTTTTCCCACATTTTGAAATGACTTTGAAGTCCTCATTATCCAGGCTGCGCTCTTCTTCTGCTCTCTGCGTCTGTGTCTGTGTCTGTGTCTGTTTTACCAAATAAGGAAGCGCTTTGAGTCCTCTGCTAAAGTCTCATCAATTAAAGCTTTCGAGCAAATAGGAAGTCCACTTTTCAAATGTCCCTGAAGAGCAGCTGACAGAGGCAGATACACAGAGCACGTGTCTACTGTCTGCAGATGGAACGCTCTTTTAAATATTAATAGTGTCAAAGTATTTTTAGTAAAGATGTGTGTATAAAGCTTGATGTGCTGTTTGCTATGCAGAGGTAGACAAAAATGTACTCATGTTAGACTAGTGTTACAAAGAAATATTTAGTATTTGGGGAAATTACTATTAATGTAACCGGAAGAACAAAACATTAAATAATGCACAAAATCTGGTGTATTTAAAGGAGAGACTCAAAAATGAGACAAACTAAATCAGTTCATATTGTCACATGAAGCTTTTGTCACTTTAGACTTACTCACAGTGGGAAGAGGAACAAAGTAAGAGTACCGGTACTGTTACTCGGTAAAATATAAACTGTTACTCAATTTGGAATGAAAAGTTGAACTGAAAACCATTCCAGTAAGTACAGTTTTATTTACGTTTTAGGATGCACTTGATTAATATTGTAACTGAGTAGTGCCCAATTTTAGAGGATTCTGTACAGATGCATTGATACTGGAAGGTGACTAAAAATAGACCATCTACCGTATTTTCCACACTATAAGGCGCTCTGGATTATAAGGCACTGAATGGTCTATTTTCTAACTTTTTTCACATATAAACCGCACTGGACTATAAGGCACATTAAACGAAACAACAGTTAGATAAGTCAGTCAAACTTTATTTAACACATTCACAATAACTCTCAACTTTGTTCAATTGTAAAAAAAAAAATACTGTCTGAGACGCAAAATTGTTCACGTATTCACAATAACTCATAATTGTTCAAACAGTTGGGCGATTACGGCATCCAGCACGTCCACATCCCTCTCGTCATTATCCGAGTCAGTGTGGTTACTGTTCCCTGGCAGTTCACTGGTCTTGGTGAAAGCTCGGACCACAGTTGATACTGATCCTTATCCCGGGCGTCCACGATCCATTGGCAGATCGTGGCATAAGTGGCTCTGCCCTGTCTCGCTGTCTTGGTGAATGTGTGTTCTCCTCTCATCCACTGCTCCCACACAGCTCGCACTTTCACTTTATAAACGCCTTGAGTTTAAAGTGGGCGTTGTGAGCGTGTCTCTTGACAGGTGCATTTTGATATTAAAAGGAATCACAGTTTGTATTACTCCTGATGCTCCTGACTACGGGAGCTGTAATGTTGCAAGTGATGCGGCTTTGTAGTTTACTAAAGTCGTACTAAGACGCACCAATAAATTCATATATTAGGTGCTCTGGATTATAAAGCGCGCAGTCGTTTTTGGATAAAATTAAAGCCTTTTAAGTGCATCCTATAGTGTGGAAAATACAGTATGTAATCTCTGCCTTTTTCTGCTTAAAGGGCCTGTATTACTAGGAAGGCTGGTACCACCTAGTGCCTCCACTCAGTTTAATTTCTCTCCAGCGACTAGGTCAGGAATCAGAATACACTAGACGGTTCACAAAAACCCCGAAAGTGCAAGTTGGGGCACCAGCCAATCAGCAATGAGCAATATATTTTGTTTTGGCAACGATTCCTGAGATTGAGGATTTAAAGCCAGAATTAAAAGAATGTTTGGTGAATTTTATCAAGGGGAAAGACGTTATTGTCCTTCTTCCTGTGGGATTTGGGAAAAGCTTAATATACCAGTTATCCCCATTAGCAGCGCATTACATACGTCACAACCAAACAGCAGCGATTGGTTAAATAAAAAAAAGTACCCACCTACTGTCGAGCGAAAAAATTCTAACACTGCGAGGTCAGACGGTTTCTACGAAGTGAAACCGGCTGATGAATCAGGCTACTGTATTATGCCATCTTCTGTTCTATGTTAGAATGTAGTTTCCTCATCACACACAGACCTGGAGTTGTGTTTTGTTTCATTCACACGTTTAACACACAAACCCTGCACATTTAGGCTGAGTTCTTCTGTCAAATAGAAAAAACTCTTCCACCTTGCGAGGTTATGTGGTAATACAGGAAGTGCTCCACTGTGTTTTCAAACTCTTTACACCTTTACTACAATCATGGATTCCTGGAATTGCAAATCTCTGCTGAAGTAAATGTAAAATGTTGCCTTTAACTTGAAAACTACAACTACATGACATCACCAGGTGGAACAAGATAATCTAGGATCTTTCAGTGTAGGTTCTGGTGAGTTGTTGGTAAATGTTTCACTTTAAATGACAAGTGTAGTTTATTATCTATTATCTGAAAAAGTGAAGCCAAGTGGGCCACAAACACATCTTATTTATCTCATTTATTTTTATCATTTAAATGTTTGATATTTGCTGCACTGGTCGTTCGATTGGCCGACATTACTCACCCAGCCTCAGTTTAGAAATTAGAAATGTCTCATTCTGAAAATAATCCCTCTCTAAAGAATTACACAGTTACCAAATCACAAATGTGGCCAATATTTAGTTTCTTAGTTTTATGTATATTTATGTAACTTGTCGTCCCAGTAAATATCAGTCATATTAACATATTATTGCACGGTGTTGCGTTCAGGTGCAGACAGACGTTAGCGTGGATACGAAGCAGCAGACTCTTCAGGGAGTGGCCTTCCCCATTCACCAGGACGGAGTGGCTGCCCTCGAGAAGTTTAGAGACAAGAAAATCAACTACTTACAACTGGTGAGTCCCACAGCCTGAACCTGGAAGGACGAGGATTATTCTAATGCCCTTTTTCTTCACGCATTCATTAAACTGATCTATCATGAATGTATTCAATTACAGGTATTTGAATAGTTTTTTTTGTTTTTGCCTTTTTAAAAGCATCATCTTAAAACAGGAAAGAAAATAGAAATGTATAATGTCTCATTATGCAGATGGTGAGATAAGCAAATAAGCAAATCTCCACTGAAAGTTCTGTAGTGAAGAAGTCATTGTAATTGTTCAGTGGTCTCGACCTTTTGCTTTTCCTTTAGTGGTGTTTGAAGGAGTGAAATGATTTTGGTGGAGCTGTTTTCAGAACAATGGGCAACTGTTTGTCCCAAAGGTTGTGTGTGGTTGTGTGTGTGTGTGTGTGTGTGTATGTGTGCGTGCGTGCGTGCGTGTGTGCGTGTGGCGTGCATGTGCGTGTGTGTGTGTGTGTGTGTGTGTGTGGCGTGCATGTGTGTGATTGGATCTTATGAGTCTTTGTACCCAGAATACAAAGGGGATGGTGCCGACCTCTTTGTGCTTTCAACAGTGGTGTTGGTAATATAATGCCGTAGTTTTATTTATCAGTTTTATCATTTTCTTTTTAAAATGTTCTTAATCTTTTTATAATTTTCTGTGCATACATGATTTTAACTTTTCAACAGAAGACTATTCTTAAAGGTGCACAATGTAACATTCTGATGGTATAAAACATCTCCATCTCCAGGCCAAGTTACAGGTACAGACATACTGTTGAGTCATCAGATCCTGTGTTAGGGAAGTTTCAGGAGAGTAACAGCCCTAAGGACAAGAGTGTCCCTCCTCTGTGTCCTGGAGCCTGAGCATCAGAGCAGCGTCCAGGAGGAGCCAGACGACTCTCGAATCAGAGCAGAAAAGCCTCTCTTATTCTTACTTAAACACAATGAAGTGGAGATGAAAACATTTAATGAACTTTCCAGGTAAAGCGCATTGTGGAGACAGGCAGGTGGCGGACCTTCCTCCTGAAAAGTTTAATAGTACACTTTAATATAAAAGTGCAACTAAAACTGCAACAATAACAAAAAATCAAATGAATAATAAAAAAAAACACTTTGAGTCTTATTCTTCAAAGGTTGTGATGTTTTTCCTTTTCCTCTTTTCTAACTCCACCTAAATTCAGAGTAATTCTTTAGTAAACCACCCCTTAGTCCTCAAATCTTTGTATTTGACTTTTCAGAAAATCGACTTTGAACAGGAGCTCATTAAACTGTGCAGCACTGAGCCCACGGAGCTAAAAGACCTGCCGTCCAGGATCCCCAAAGACGCCGCGCGCTACCACTTCTTCAACTACAAACACTCACACGAAGGAGACTACCTGGAGTCCACAGGTACGACACTCTTTGCACTACGGCCATACTTTACTTTGCTATACTTTACTTTAAGATTTAAGTGTGATGCCTGAATCTATTCATTTTCAAATCTTAACGTGAGCCAAAGCCTGCATCCGTGTTACTGCAGCCCCACAGAGAGCAGTCTTCCCAAGGCCCTCCACCTCTTTTTATTTCCATTTTAAAGATGCTTTTAAATGAATTTAAATCCCCCTCTTATCCTTTTATCAGTGCATTATAGATAATTTGATTGTTCTGAGTGCTCCAAAATTGCTTAGTTGTAATTTTCCCTCGATTGTTACAAAATGGATTGGAAAGCTGAGTCTCCTGTGCAGTTTTGAAGCGCAAACCATCGCCAGACATGTTGTGATGTTTTCTAATTGCTGTCAGTACAGGGAAATTAGACCTTGCTTTTTGAAGTGTGTTATTTATAAATTGAATATTTATTTAAAGTTCTGGAACTGAAAACGGTGCTTAAGGTCATGCAGGCTGAAGTAATACATTATATGTTCAATTAAAAGTGGAAAGTGAACACTAGAACTTGAATGAAATTGAACACAATAATTATTCCTGTTCTTCCCTTCATGTTATAACTTGTGTCTTTCAGTTTTCATTTATTCGATGCCTGGATATAAGTGCAGCATCAGAGAGAGGATGCTCTACTCCAGCTGCAAAAACCCTTTGGTCGACATGGTGGAGAACAGCCTCAAGATTGAGATCGAGAAAAAGGTAAATAAAACCTTGTGTTTTAGGGTTTGGTGGTTATAATTATTATTATTAGTAAACTTAAAGAGTACAGAATAAGGATTGTAATGGTTTTGATTGAATGAAGATTTGCTCTGTGCATCAGTTAGACAATTAAAATCTACTGATAAATATCGTACTTGTGTAAAAAGGCAAAATAAACTCTCACTTCACTCCCAGACCTCTGCTAAATCACTTTGTGCCTCATCATTTCTGCTCTGGACCAGAGAAGTCCTTGAAATTCTAATCAAATAATTACATGAGTAAGAAACATTCAACTGATTAAAGGCCTGCAGCCCCAGACTAAATATTTTAAAGCTTTGCTCTGCCACATGCATATTTTTTACGTCATTTAAATTTTATGTTTGCACCATATCGTCAAAGCCTATATATATATATATATATATATATATATATATATATATATTTTTTTTTTTTTTGTCATTTCTTTCTTCATTTGTCATGTCATGCCTTTGCCATAAAGATTTCATGATTCTGATGCATGGCAAAGTCAGATGGTTATCAGGCTAAGCTGCCTGGTTAATACAAATGACAAAAGAGATATGTAGTGGGTGTTAAAACATGGTAGAGTGCTCAAAAAAGTATCCATCTTTTAGTAAGAATGGTGCAAGCCTCACCAAAACATTCCAATGTCATAATAAAACAAAAAATAAACCTACTCTACTAATGCTCGTTTTGCAGTTGGAGATCGAAAACGGAGACGAGCTGACCAGTGACTTCCTGTACGAGGAGGTGCACCCCAAACAGCACGCGCACAAGCAGGCCTTCGCCAAACCCAAGGGCCCCGCGGGCAAGAGGGGAGGCCGCCGAATCACCAGGCCACCGGGAGAGGGCGACGAGGAGGACTGAAGCGCCAAACCTCACAGCAAGCACCAACGCCACCTCTACTCACCGCGGGACAGTCCTGTGACAAGGGGGGGACTCCTTTCCGTTTTTGATTGAATGAAGAGGTTGCGTTCACGTTCACAATTTGATGCCAAAATCTCCGATGGAGGGCAGGGGCCTGTTTAAATGTATCCGGAGGTGTCAGATACAAAAACTGGAACCATTTCGTTAGTTAGTCATAGCATTTAAGAAATTCAGTAGTGCATAACAGGAAGCTGAAACCTAGAAATTGTCATCAGCTGCTTTTAGTCAACAGTGCCAACTTTTTGCTTGTCGACTGGAAACAAATTGAGGAAGAAAAAGATTTTATGCTAAATAAATTCACTAAACACTTTATAATTGGATGCTAGTGGTGTACAGCTAATTTATTCTGATCTCAAGAGCTGTTTAAACAATATATCTGTACTGGGGCAAGGCAAATTCTGCTCAAATACACGGGGAGAAAATTGAGGACAGACCCTTTCTAAAATAACACATTCTATCAATTCTCCGAAGCCCTCAATCTCAGTTTCAACACATGGGTCCAGTGTTTTGAATGTCGCAACCTCACGTGAACGCAACCTTACGAGAATTGAATTGTGACCACCTCAAAAATCCCCCCTAACTATGCACGCCAAGGACATAACTGAGCAATGACTAAAAAAAACATGCTATTTTTTCCATTTGTAGCTTGTCAAATGGAGGTTTATTCCAAACTTGTAATCACAATGGTCCAAAAAACACTTGCGGATTGTAACTTGTTGCCAGCTAAAAAAGAAAAAAAAAAAAAAAAAGTGAACTTGCGCCAATGTATGACTCCCAAATATGAAGTTCACGTGCCCAAAACACCTCCCTAACTCCTGCATTCCTAGTGTCAAATCACATGTCCTATTGTACGTCTACTGTTGTTTTTGCACAAATGCGGTGCTCCAAAAAGTCCACAAAACCCATCGCCCACCCTCACTAGTGTCTATAATAATGATTAATTTTAACATTTTATATTGGAAATTTACTTTTTTGATATAACTGTGGTTTACATAAAGAGGAAAAACATCTGCTGATATTAAACTTATTTTTCTATGCAAAGTGCTGTACTTGTACATACTGTAGCTGTGTTGGGTTTGCTCTGGTGATGTTTCGTTGAGGATCTGACCAAGAACAATGGGCTTCCACTATAACATCTCATTAATGTCCCTTTAAAGGTCCTAGATTATGCCTGTTGGCTATTTCAAGTACGTTTTCAGCATTTTGGCATTCGTGGCATTATTTGTAGAGGGTATACATGGGGCAATATGTGACAAGAAATTCACACACACAAAAGTAACTCTACTGATTAAATACAGCTTATTAAATATTCATTATAAGTAATATTTGACATTTACATTCCAGAAATGGTAAATGGTCACATTTTTCTACAGCGCTTTTCCACTTTCAAGGCACTCAAAACGCTTGAAGTATTCAAATAAAATATAGTTGCGCTTTCATAGTCTCTTAAGTCTATTCCATTTTTGTTTGTGTTTGTTTTTACAGTTCCAAGTACATACATACATTTTATTTATATTCCACACTGTGATTGGTTAAATCCAACTGTCACTCACTCAGAGCTCGACAGAGGCTGACCCAACCATGTGAAGAAACAAAGAAGAACTAAATCACATTATGAATTTCACAAAAATATTGTTACAAGATCATAAAAATTTGCAGGATGTGGGATATCACGTTTGGGTAATTTTCCTCTCCAGAGCTCAAATACTCAGCGTTATTCTTATGTGTGAATGAAACAAAACACTACTTCAACAAAAATGATGCTAAAACCAAATAAATAAAAGAATGAACCCTGCAGTGTAATCTTTCAGACAAGGATATAACATGGTGTTTGTGTTGAGGTCAGAGTCTCAGTTTATTCACTTTCTGTGTGATACTTGAACCTTCATCAAGACATTTACAAGCACGTGGTCGCACATTTCTGCTGGATTGCTAAAAAGAGTCTGATAGTATATTAAAAAATCTATACATTTTTGTCAATATTGCCCACCCCTTCTCCGCATGTGTTTTTGATCAGGAAACATAACCTTGCTTAAAGTTAAAAAAGTTGATAATAAAGGATTCGAGTATATTCTAGGACCTTTAAACTACATCTATAGGAAGCTTCTCCATTGGTCCCATGCAACATTGGAGGCCAAACGTACTGAAAGGGATCACTGTCAATAATATGAATCAATTGTTGCCGCTATCTCCTGTCTACTGATTAATATTAGGCTCAAACTAAGCTCACCTCATTGTAAAGGGAAAGGCGCCTTTACGCTCATTGATTCCATTATAACTGAGAACTGTTCAGTCTTATTTGTTTTCTTACGAATCATTCTTTTAAAGAATAAAATATTTAAATCGATGTACTGACTGCATTTTGTATAAGCAAATGAAAAGAGACTGGATGGTTTAGCAGTTCAGCAGTGGCAGCATAGCAAGAATGTAGCAGGTTCAGTTGTTCAGGGTTTTTCCTGTGTCTGGTTTCCACCCCTCTATGTAAAATATACCCATTTTTCTGCTACTCTGCAGCATTTAAGTATTTGTCTTTGACCCAGTGCTGCTGGGGCGACTTATCTGGAGCAGGGACCCACCTCCAGACCCTGAGCTAAGCTTGGTGAGGACAACTACTAACTGGAGGATGTTATTATTGTGCATGTTTGTATTATCTTAGCCAGGCTGGTGCCACCTAGTGCCTCTGCTCAATTTCATTTCTCTCCAGCATCTAGGTCAGGAATTGAAATACACTAGACGGTTTGCAAGAACCCCGGAATTTGTAGACCGGCCAATCAGCGAAGAGCTGAACCAACCCGAGTTGCGATAGCAGACTGCAGACGCTATCCTCATTGACAGAAATGTTCACTCTCCACCAGTGTTCCAGTGCATTACATACGTCATGACCAAATAGTAGCGATTGGTTAAATAAAAAAGTACTCGCCTACCGTCGAGCAAACTAATTCTAATGCTGCGAGGTCAGATTGTTTCCACGAAATGAAACTGGCTGATGAATCAGGCTAGGATTACCTGGTCATTATTGTTCACTAAGCGATTCATTAGTTTCTTGGAACATTAGGGACAGGACTTAACTAGTATAAGTCCTAGTGTCTCAGACCAGCACCATCACAGTGAACATGACTTCTGGATGGGAACATCTTTATTGCAAAAACAGTGTCCAGGTGCCTCCCAATGAAACCTTCTCTACATTCATGTACCATATAGTAACATTCAGAAAGCCTGACTGTCGTGTAGTTGAGTTTATTCTTCTGTATTCTCTGGTCCACAGTAGTTTCTTGTGAGGTCAGAGGTCTCTGTGATGTGCACACTCCCGTCCTGTCTGACCGTCTCCTGGAGCTGGGGTCTGTTCAGAGCCTCCCCCAGCCTCTGCTTCAGCTCCAGCACCTGCTTCATGTATTCCTGCACACAACAGCAGAGGGCAGCAGCACAGGGGGAAGGTCAAATAGCTCATCAAAATACATGTTATCACAGGGGATAAAACAAGAAAATAAATGTATTGCAGATTTTTCTCATGATTGGCCTTGTACTACAGTAAAGCTACCATCAGTAAGTTTAGGTTTTTGAATTTGTGAAACCTGTTCTCCCCTCACCTGGTCTTTGTTCAGACTCACCTGTGCTCTCTGCTCTGCCGTCATACTTTCACACAGCAGTAATGTGAGACAGATGTGAAAATACAACAGGGCCGGGTCAGCCAGTCGGATTACAGATGGTAGCTTTAAGATTTAAAACAGATTAATACTTTATTATCCCATAGGAATAATACCTGAGATCTTGCTAAATATATATATTTTATGTAATCTTTACTATGCAAGTTTTTAGGAGGAGGGTCTCTCCATGGACATGTCGTTTTACCTGGAATGTTCCATGGTATTGCATTAGTTTATCTATTATGCATTTCTCCTTTTCTTCATGAAGATAAGCAGGTGGCAGACCCTCCATCAGAAAAGTGACATAGTAGATCTTTAACAGTGTGTCTCTTACAGCGGGGTCGTCGGTGGGCAGAGCAGAGAGGGCAGCCCGGGTCAAAACTGAGAGGTAGATTTCTCGATATCTTTGGACGCTCAGACCGTGAATCAGGACCGGGTCTCTGATCGGGCCTTCCCCTTCAGCTTTGTCATCGTCTTTCTTGGGTCCCACTGGAATCTCCCTATGTTGATGCTTTTACCTGCCTCTCATCTGCAGGGGGCGCTGCTGGTCGCTCTCGTCCCACACAGCAGAGTTTTTCTGAGGGAGGGGACACAACAGTGATGACTCACTTACTAGTCAGGAAGTTGAAACTACCAGATGTATAAAAGTACACAGAATTTACTACTTCACTAAAATTTCAGAGCAAAGCTTGTTTGCTTCTAAATATAAAACATGCTGATGGATCTGAGTTTAACTAAATCATTGCAAAGTGGTCTAACCAAAGAGAACATCATGTTTTAGTGAAAAGTGTTAGGCCGATTATAGTAATTGTGTAGTTCTATTTTTAAAACCTCAGTTTAGACTGAGAATAGTCCTGTGGGGCTCAGAAGTCCAAATATTATCCTAAAGAGTTCTACATACTGTGATAGGTATTTTTGGTAGGTAGGAAAATGTCCTATCGTCCCATCATGTATTTGCATTTCATGAACATGGTAATGATTCACAGTCACCTCTGCGTCCTGTGTCCATCTTCTTTAGAGTCAGTCTGGACCGTTTGTGCCGGACGCTCAGAGGACGGGGGACTGTCCAAGTGACCAACCTGCATTCACAAACATACACTCACATATCTGTCCAAGGTTTCTATTTCAGACCCTCCACCTGAAGAAGGACTTGGTCCACCTTGAAATGACAAAAGCCAAGGATCAATCCCATTGGTTACTAGTACATTTACACTTTACAGTACTGTATAGAGTATACCACAATTACTGGTTAAGTATAGATGCCAACTGCAGTATCACATTCAAACCTACTCTGGTTTAACACTGGACTAACACAGAGTGAAAACACAATCCTGATTTCTATTGAATTTCCCCAATAACAAACAACAAAAAAACTTCTCCAATCTGCTTATTCAGTCTAATGTTTTGGGTACAATGTTCTTAGGATTGTGTTCAGAGTTGTTTAATTGTCTTGGAAAACATCAGCAACTCAACCTAATCACACGTATTATTCACTGTGCAACATTCACACTTCATTTGTGGATTATTTGGACCTGTGAGGCTGTGGTCAGGATCCTGTCTTCAGTGGAGCGTGGTCCTGCTGCTGGTCTGTTATTCTGCAGATCCAGCTCGTCGTCTCTCCAGTAACACGTCTGCATTTCACACACAAGGTCATGTTACTTCAGTTATTAGGTTCTTCAAACTTCATTCAAGGTTTTTATTTCCTTTTCTCATTTTTATTACAAAATATACCCTGTTCCTTTAACTGGCAATATGTCTAATTGTCACAAAATAATGACTGAAAAGCTTTAGTAAAACATGCTGCTAGAGTGAATCATTCATTTCAGAATTCTAATATTATAAAATAAATTTCAACTTTCGCATGTCCGTTTGTGTAAAATGTTCCTCTTCAGTTAAAAACTAAAATCCAGTTTGAATTTCCACCTCGAGTTTGAGAAATACAATTCCAACAATGGCAGAAACACAAAAGGACACCACGGAAACAGAAAAAGAGTTGCAGTAAAAGTATTTGCAGTAGTATCACAAGTAGCACAAGTATCAAATTTGACTCGTTTTGACCTTCAACAGTAGAAAAAATACCCTAAACATCATTCTTTTTTCCTGAAATTTGATGACTTTTCCTAAATTTTGCCAAAATACACAAAAATGAAAATATTTTAAAATGTTATACTTTTGCACAGGTGCTACAAATTTTGCGACACTGAGGCTGTTTCGGGTCAATTTTGACCCGTATCAAGATGGATTTTAGCTCTATCAGTGTGGGTCAAATGAAGCAAAATGGAAGTTTTAGGGAAACTTGAAACTGTGAAACTGCACAGACCATGTGTGTGTGTATTTTTTATGGCACAGTGGTGACAGAGTTCAAGAGGTCACTGTTTTGAGATTCCCCCATGCCCCAGGTTCACATAGACAGACGCCTCATGGTTTTTGAAGGGGCAAAGGAGAATCTCAAAACAGTGAAAGGAGTGATCATCCTGTTTATGGAGCACAGAAGAAACACAAGTCAATCAAGTGGGAGAGAGATCTTTTCTTCTAAGTTTGAGTAAGTTCACCCAGGACACCACAGTTGTCTGGTACATGTAAAAAAAAGAACAAGAATGTCATTCTTATGAGCACATTACATATGGCTGCAGAGGTGAGCTCCTGGGAGCTCCATCATCATCATCATCATCATCATCATCATCATCATCATCATCATCATCATCATCATCATCATCCTTGACTACAATGCCAACAAAGGAGGAGTGGAAAATCTTGACAAAGTAACAGGCACAGCTGAACCTCCCATTGGCCTGCTTTGCTGGCCCACTTTGTCTATGGAGTGAGGTGAACCCGACCTGGAGGCCAAGCAGGAGGAACTGGAGGAGGTTCTTTTCTGGAGGAGCTTGGAAAGGCTCCCTGGTGACTCCCTGTATGCAAAGGTGACACCAGCTTCCCCTCACAGCAGCTTCAGCAGCATTGGTGAGGTCAGTGCAGTGATCTGAACCTGACCTTGATCAAGAAGTCACACCAGAAACCAACACAAGGGCACAGAAGAGAAGGAGATACAAATGTAGCCCTGCAAAGAAGGACTGAAAAACTGTTACAACCTGCTAGAAATGTGGAAAACAGTCCCACACACACAAAGTTTCCTATCACTGCTTTGAATGCACAGTTTGAAATAAGCAGAATGGCTGCAGTGGATAAACATGGATATATTCTAAATTCCAACAGTTCCGAATATTTATGTCATTTTCAAATGCAATAATATATATAAAAACCCTTTTAGGTGTTTTGTAAAACAGGACTATGATACTTGTGATAGATGTTTTTCTCCAAAAACGAGTGTTGTAAAACTTACAAAAATATGCTCTTCCTGCTCTCAGAAACATTATATTTATATATTACACTTATTTATTAATGTGGGACAGTCTATTTAGTCATTTTAAATAATAAATTTGGTTTAGACACTTACTATGAGGGAATTCTTGGTCCATGTCAAATTTGACCCGAACTATACTGTGAATGCTTCAGAAATGAACAGTATGTAAGAGTTAATGATTCAGTTTCTTGAGTAAATATCTTAAAAGCAGATTTGTATATCCACAACTACAGTTTTATTCTGGTAAAAAGACATTTTGAGGATTTTTCATTCTTCAAAAGGAAGACTATTTAGTTTGAAATTTTCGTTTGCAATGGCAGCAATCTTCACACTGAAACTCACAGCACTGTTTTTTTTTTTTTTCATTAAACAATAAAACAACAAATAATAAACACAGTTTAATAATAGTGATATAAAAAATGCATTTCAGGTTTTTACACTTCACACAGATAGCTCACATGAAGACACTGCACATTTATTTACAGACAAATGTCACATTCTCATTCAAGCAAACTGAACTTTAAAATACTCTGGTAACTTGTCCTTGTCCTTTAAAGCAACATCACATGTCAGAAATAATGTGAGCAGCTCAGGGCTCTCACTTGGACTCCACTGAAATGTTTTTGATGACACTTTTCAGTTCAGCCACCACCTGTTGAGAAACACAACCCAGGAGTGAGTGTTCAGATGCAAGTACAAGTTCATGTTATGTTTTGTTTTTTTTCCAGTGTATTACTGATGTGGTATGACTATAGCATGACTACAGTACAGGGCAGTCTGATTTTGACCTCAAGAGCTGCTTTTACAAAACATTTGGACTACATGGGGCCAGACACATTTTGCTCAAATACTTGGATACAACAGAAGTACCTCCACCTGAAGTACCTGTGTTACGAGTGGCCGTCTGTTCTTTTGGTCATAGAGGCAGTTTGAGGCCAGAGAGTAGATGGACTCTGCCTGCCCCATGTCCCAGTCAGTCATGTGTGTGTCCAGGAACATCTGCAGAGTCAGCTCTTCATCCTCGTCATCAATGTCGTACCTCATCTCCATCTGCAGCACAACACACAAACATACATTTATATTCACACATCACCATATTGAAAAGTCTATACTAAGTGTTTGAGCCAAAGTGCACTGCTTTGATTGGCCTGCAGGTGGCGCCCACGTCAGGTATAAATGTGCCTCTTCTGGTGAAGCAGTCACGTGTGCGACCTGGTAGGGGATATTGGTTTATGACCTCTAAATTCAAAAGGAGTTTTGTTGTTTATTTGCTTTCTTTAATCATGGAAATAAAGTGACCTTTTAGCTGCACTCAAGACAACTCATGAACTTGAATGAAATGGTCATTAGAAACAATAGCCATCCTGTTACCATAGCGACAGTGTTTGTGCACATCTCTGTGGCAGAGTTTCAGTTTGGCCACTAAACTAAGAACACGTTTATACATTTCAAAATCACAGTTTTATAGAAGCTCTATGTAAGTTTTATGGTAAAGGATTCATAACCTAGTCAGGCTGGTGCCACCTAGTTCCTCTGCTCTATTTCCTTTCTCTCCAGCGACTAGGTCAGGAATCTGAATACACTAGATCACAGGTGTCAAACATAAGGCCCGGGGGCCAGATCCAGCCCTCCAAGACCTTTAATCTGGCCCTCGGCTGATTTTCCACTAAAATATTTTAATTATATTTTCTTTTAAAATATTGTTAATTTTCTTAGCACAGCAGCGTCTCTGTACGTGGCCCCTCCCACCAGAGCAGCACAAGTGAAGACTTGTCTCTTTCCAAACGCTCTTAAAGGACGATTGTTTTGACTGTTGACCGTGACACCCTCATCAACAAAATGTTCAAAATGAGAAAAGTGGAGCCGAGTGCAGGATTTTCCCCAAAAAATTGACTTATTCCTGTTTACATACAAGTTCATGTTAAAACTTTGTGTTGAAATTACATTTTTCTTAAAGTTTCAGGTTGTTCATAATATTATAATATTTTGTAAAAGAAAGAGTTCATCAATTAAAAAAGATTTCTGTAATAGATTTGTGTTTCTCTGCACAAATATTTGAACTTATTGTTATTTTTGGGGTTTATATGACATGAGATTTTTGATCCGGCCCCTTTGGAATCAAAGTAGGTTGGATACGACCCCCGGAACAAAATGACTTTGACACCCCTGCATTAGATGGTCTGCAAGAACCCCAGAAGTTGTAGACCACACACTGGCCAATCAGCTGTGAGCTGTGAAACCATGACGTCAAACTGGTGGCATCTGTCTGTGTCCCTTTTGTGGAACAGCACGACAGTAAACAAAGTGTTGAGACGGATGTAGAGGAAGACAGACATTCTGTGTTGTCAACAATTCCCCAGATCAAGGATTTAAAGACGGAACAAAGAGAATGTTTGGTGAATTTTATCAAAGGGAAAGACATTATTGCCCTTCGTCCTATGGGATTTGAGAAAAGCCAAATATACCAGTTATCCCCGTTAGTGGCACAGTACATACGTCACGACCAAAATAGCAGTGATTGGTTAAATTTAAAAAGTACCCAACTACCATCAAGTGCACAAATCCTAATGCTGCGAGGTCAGACGGTTTCTACGAAGTGAAACTGGATGATGAATCAGACTATCCATAACCTGCTTGTCCCATGAAAACTCAATATGTCTGCTTGATGTTTCAGTGTAGAAAATATTACAGGAGTTTTTATTGACAGTGAATACAGGCAGTGGAAATGTTGCAGCAACATTAACTGCAACAGTTCAAGATCAATAAAGTCTGTCTCTGTCTTTCTCTCTTCTCTCTCTCCTGATGAAGGCACATGAACAGTCAGGCTACACAGTCAAGTCTGCAATTTAGTGTTATTCAAAAACACATCCATTCATCAAATCAATATTTCAATATAGAGATAATGGACTATCACAAGGTCTTGTCTCTTACCAGGAGCGAAGGTTCTCTGTCTTCATCGGCCGGAGGGAGTCCAGACAGGATTTCCAACAAAACCTGAACATGAAAAACTTCATCAATTTTTATTTTTATGATTTATAAAACTGTCACTTAACAGGACTTAGTATTGTATATGTACAAAACAACATTAGAAACACATACTTCCTTCTCCAGAAATCCCACTTCCTCATCATTTTATTGTTGAAACTAAAACATGCACATCAAGTAAACTCCACCATCTAAGGTACTTCTACTACTACTTCTACTACTACTACTACTACTACTACTACTACTACTTCTCCTACTACTCCTACTGCTACTCCTACTCTTACTCCTACTCCTATTCCTACTACTACTTCTACTACTACTACTACTCCTACTGCTACTACTACTCCTACTCTTACTCCTACTCCTATTCCTACTACTACTTCTACTACTACTACTACTTCTCCTACTACTACTACTACTACTCTCTACTACTACTACTACTCCTCCTACTCCTCCTACTCCTACTACTTCTACTACTACTACTACTACTACTACTACTACTCCTATTCCTCCTACTCCTACTTCTACTCCCCCTACTACTACTACTCCTCCTACTTCTACTACTACTACTACTGCTACTCCTACTCCTACTCTTACTCCTATTCCTACTACTACTTCTACTACTACTACTACTTCTCCTACTACTACTACTACTACTCCTACTGCTACTCCTACTACTTCTACTACTACTACTACTACTACTACTACTACTACTCCTATTCTCCTACTCCTACTTCTACTCCCCCTACTACTACTACTCCTCCTACTTCTACTACTACTACTACTCCTACTACTTCTACTACTACTACTCCTACTACTTCTACTACTACTACTCCTACTACTTCTACTTCTTCTACTCCTACTACTTCTACTACTTCTACTACTACTACTCCTACTACTCCTACTACTTCTACTTCTTCTTCTACTTCTTCTACTCTACTACTACTACTACTACTACTACTACTACTACTACTACTACTACTACTACTACTACTACTACTACTACTACTACTCCTGCTCCTACTCCTGCTCCTACTACTTCTACTATTCCTACTACTTCTACTACTTCTACTACTACTACTCCTACTACTTCTACTACTACTACTCCTACTACTTCTACTTCTTCTACTCCTACTACTTCTACTACTTCTACTACTACTTCTACTACTACTACTACTCCTGCTCCTACTCCTACTACTACTACTACTACTACTACTACCACTACTACTATTACTACTACTACTACTACTACTACAGCTAGCACTTTAGTTTCGTACTAAGAATCACTGTATAGAAAACACTTTATTTCAGAAAAGTAGCTGTTCATCACTACTTTTAAAAATCAATCGTCTTATTTGTTGAATGAAAGATCAAACTGTATTAAGTCTGAAATATCCATGTGAGTGACAGGTAATAGATAACAGCCTTAGTTTGCAGTAAAGTGATTTGGAATTGGAAACACTAAAAGACGATACTCACAAAGAGATTCAATTTCACTACTCTGAAGAAATGCATCTGCCCTGTTTACATCCTGCCATTTCACATGAATCAGGAGTTTGAGGTTCTTTGTACGGACTGTTCAAATGCACAGTTGTGAAGAGATTTTTTTATAGATTTGCCCCCGGGCCTCGAGGCTAAACTGACATGGTCTAGTTGCTAAGATGTATTCCTGGGTTTCAACTTATTGTTACAAGCAACATTTTGAGGACTTCTTCCCCTTCAAAATTAAAAATATTAAGTTTTACATTGTTAATCGGTATTTTCTGGCCAGCCAGAACCACATGCTTTGACAAAAGACAAGTGGATCTAGAGCTGTGTCCTGATTTTAGACCACGTGACTGACAGGCGGATTAACCAATCACAGAGACACAGAATCAACAATCGAAGCGCCACCCTATGGCTCATCTCAGGTAAAAGAAGTTATACATTTTGTTCAAAATGTTAAGAGAATTTTGGAGAGGAAACAGCTTCTGCAGGTGAAACAAATGAGCAGTTGCGGTTGGATCGGCTCAAGATTGGATTTTCATGCTCTATGGTCCAGTTCCAGATCCTTCTAGATTCTAATAAAATGTAGAAGAGTGACTGGTCAAAATCGCTATTTTCAGGATTCCCACTCTTTTTCACTGACAAAATTTCATGACCTAAAGTGAATTTTCCATGACTTTATGGCACCTAGATGTGTAGAAGTGATCAGACTTTTAGGGCTAATTATGAAATGTGAACTCTTTCCACTCACCTTATGAATTGGGATTATAGTTTTTAACATTCAAAATCCTGTCAGTGCATTTACTGTCGTCTCTTTTAAACAAAAGGTGCAGAAATAATCAGATTTGCCTCATGAGAACTTAACAGAAAGCTGTAGTTGGTGAAAGAGATACTAAAATTCCATGACTTTTCCAGGCCCAGAAAATGACATTTTCAATTTCCATGACTTTGGGAACCCTGTGGGAGCCCTGTATGTTGTAATTTCTCATCATTCTGAAACCTGGGATATTTCTGCTGTTCCTGCTCTATGGTGCAATTTTGACAATTCCTATTAAAAAGATATAACATTTAGTTTTAAATTGTTAGTCGCTATGGCAACGGTCCTGATTTCTATGTGTAAATTGTAGGCAATACCACTCCGAAGCTGAAGATGTCTGATTTGGGTGTGATCTGTCCCCTCAGAGCCTCAGGGGCCATGTAAGCTGTAGTGCCGACCACTCTGCCGGTCATCACCGTGGACGACGTGTGTTTGGAGGAGGCCCGCGTCAAACCAAAGTCTGAGATCTTTGCCACCAAACCCTCATCCAACAAGATGTTTGCACTAAGAACAAAAAAACCCCAAAAAACATTACAACAAACCCCCACATAAGAACTCTTTTAATAAATTTACTCCTGGCAAATCTGTCACATTAAGTAAAAATTATATATAACAAAAACATTTGTTTAATGATCATCAATAACAGACTTAGAAAAGCATTGTGATAGTGATCAAGAGTCAAAGAAGACATGTTATGCTTTTGTCTGTCTACATTTTGGACATTTGAAATCACAAAACTGGGATTTTGGAGCAATAGCTTGTGGACTACACATGAATAAAGATTGCTTATGCATGAATAAATACAACTATGAGAGTGGAAATGAGAAGGGGAAACAATTCTGACAGAGGTTTTTTGGTCTTAATAGCTACTTTGGCTTCCTTCCTAACAGCAGCCAAACCACAGTGCTGATGTCATGTAGTGCAATGACATCACTTGAAATATATGATTAAATAAACCTTTGATATACAATTGTTCACAAATGTCCTATTACAAAAGGAAACAAAACGCACAGCACACTCAGATGGCCGATGTCCAAAAGCTTTTTTTAAATTTTTAAATAACATTTTGGCAAAAAGAGCCTTTGTCAGATATCTTTCTTGCTTTGGACCACAATACACAAAGTGGTTGGCAGCCCAGGTGCTCATATCCCCTCCAGTGAATGGGAGTGTTATGGAGGTTTGCTACTGCTGTCTCATTCAGTAGAGTTGTGATTCTGGAGTGTGCATCGGTCAGAATGCAAGGATCAAGCAGAAAGATCTTTACTTTTCTTTAATGTAAACATGAGTCTTTGGATGGGCGTGTGTGTGTGTGTGTGTGTGTGTGTGTGTGTGTATGTGTGTGTGTGTGTGTGTGTGGTTCTGTCTCATGGACGCACACTACAAGAAAAGAAACAGAGATATAAGAGACGACCAGTGTTGGGAAGGTGACTTTTAAAATGTATTCCCCTACAAATTATAGATTACATACCCCAAAATATAGTTTGTAATGTAATCCATTAAATTACTTAAGGTGAGTAATGTAATCTGAATACTTTGGATTACTTGGTACATTCATGTAGTTTTCAAAAGCATGACAATATAAACCACATCCTGAAAATTCATGTTTGTTCTCTTTAAATTGTCTGTTGAGCTCAAATCTCCATGAACAGACTTTTGTTTACTGTAGAGAAGCAAAAACAAGGATCTTAACATAAGATGTTTTGTTTTATCTGCTAAAAGAAAATAAAAAGCCCAGTCTTTACTTAAACATGTAATAAATATTATTGATAGAGAAATGATCACTGCTGCCTTAAAGTATGTCCACATTAATGTTAAGTGTCATATTGTTTAGACCTGGTTTAGACCTGGTTTAGACTTGGTTTTAGTCCTGGTTTAGACCTGGTTTAGACCTGGTTTTAGTCCTGGTTTTAGTCCTGGTTTAGTCCTGGTTTTAGTCCTGGTTTTAGTCCTGGTTTTAGTCCTGGTTTAGTCCTGGTTTAGTCCTGGTTTAGTCCTGGTTTAGACCTGATTTAGTCCTGATTTACTCCTGGTTTTAGTCTTGGTTTAGTCCTGGTTTAGTCCTGGTTTAGACCTGGTTTAGTCCTGATTTAGTCCTGATTTAGTCCTGGTTTTAGTCTCGGTTTTAGTCCTGGTTTAGTCCTGGTTTTAATCTTGGTTTAGTACTGGTTTAGACCTGGTTTTAGTCCTGGTTTAGTCCTGGTTTAGTCCTGATTTAGTTCTGGGTTTAGTCCTGGTTTAACCTAAGATGTGAAAACAGTAAAATCCCTCCGTGTAATCCATTTATTTCAACAAAGTAACTGTAATCCAATTACCACTCATTGAAACAGTAACTGTAACTGAATACAGTTACTCATAATTTGTACTCTGATTATGTAACTTCAGTACATGTAATCTGTTACTCCCCAACACTGGAGACGACAACACACCTCTGATGCACAGACTAATAATAAACAACACTAAACTTATCATATGCTCAGAAAACAGCCGCCCCTAGTGGTCAGGCTTGGTACTGCACCCTAACTGAATGCTATAATAGAGCCTTGCCTTCATAACAGGCAGTGCTGGGGAGTAACAGATTACATGTACTGGAGTTACATAATCAGAGTACAAATTATGAGTAACTGTATTCAGTTACAGTTACTGTTTCAATGAGTGGTAATTGGATTACAGTTACTTTGTTGAAATAAATGGATTACACGGAGGGATTTTCCTGTTCACACATTTTGGGCTACCCCCCCCTTTTTTTTTTTGTTAATTCTACTCATTGCCGGAAACTAAACCAGGTCTAAACCAGGACTAAACCAAGACTAAAACCAGGTCTAAAACCAGGTCTAAAACCAGGTCTAAATCAGGACTAAACCAGGACTAAAACCAGGTCTAAACTAGACGTAAACTAGATCTAAGGTGGGTCTAAAACCTGGTCTAAAACAGGACTAAAACAGATCTAAAATCAGGTCTAAACTAGATCTAAACCAGGTCTAAACCAGGTCTAAAACCAGGTCTAAAACAGACTAAAACAAGACTAAACCAGGACTAAAACCAGGTCTAAACTAGAGCTAAACTAGATCTAAACCAGGTCTAAACCAGGTCTAATACTAGGTCTAAAACCAGGACTAAACAAGGACTAAACCAGGACTAAACCAGGACTAAACCAGGACTAAACCAGGACTAAACCAGGTCTAAACTAGATCTAAACCAAGACTGTGTGGACGTGTCTCCTCATCTTCTATCAATAATATTTTTAATTTGGTTCAGTAAAGTCTGGGCTTTTTATTTTATTTTAGCAGATAAAACATCTTATGTTACGATATCCAAGTCTTTGTTTCTCTACCGCAAATCAAGTAATCCAAAGTATTCAGATTACGTTACTCACTTTAAGTAATTTAATGGATTATGTTACAAACTACATTTTGGTGTGTGTAATCTGTAATCTGTAGGGGAATACATTTTAAAAGTCACCTTCCCAACACTGATAACAGGGAGGTTCCAAAGTGAGGTCACCCAGAGAGCTCACCTGTGGATATGAGCACCTGGGCTGGCAACCATTTTTGTACTGTGGTCCAAATCAAGAAAGATATCTGACGAAAGCTCTTTTTGCCGAAACGTTATTTAAAAATTTAAAAGCTTTCGGACATCGGACATCTGAGTGTGCTGTGCATTTTGTTTTGTTTTTTTGCTTTTTTTTGCTTTTGTCTTGCTGCTCCTCACATTTACACCTCTGCAGGAATTTTGGTGTGCGTTTTCTGTTTTTTTTTTTACACAAATTTTCTATTAACAGTACTGACAGGTAAAAAAGTTATAACTAATCCTACCTCTTAATATCTCTGTGGACGTGGTGATTGGCGTGGAGGTATTCGAGACCCTGGGCTGTTCCCAAAGCGATGGAGCATCTCTGAGACCAGGACAGAGGAGGACAGCCCCCCTGAAACCACGGAAACAAATATAAAGAGATCGGTCATTTCATCCAGTGCTGGTTTGAGTAACATAAAGTGAAGCTGTATTTTTACCAAGCGGGCCAGTCTGTCCAGTAAAGATCCATTGGACATGAAGGCGTAGACCAAACACGGGTTAGGCCCATCGCTGGAACATCCAACCATGTCTATGAGGTTTTCATGTTTTAACCTGAAGAAAGTAATGGTTAATAATCCAATAAAGTAAGTATTCACATTTAAAGCAGATATATTATGCTTTTGTCTGCTATATACAGTGCTGGGGAGTAACAGATTACATATACCAGAGTTACATAAACAGAGTACAAATTATGAGTAACTGTATTCAGTTACAGTTACTGTTTCAATGAGTGGTAATTGGATTACAGTTACTTTGTTGAAATAAATGGATTACATGGCGGGATTTTCCTGTTTTCACATTTTGGTCTATATCCCTTATTTATTTATTTATTTATTTGATAATTGCCGGACACTAAACCAGGACTAAATCAGGACTAAAACCAGGTCTAAACTAGATCTAAACCAGGTCTAAACCAGGACTAAACCAGGACTAAAACCAGGTCTAAAACCAGGTCTAAACTAGATCTAAACCAGGTCTAAACTAGATTTAAACCAAGACTAAACCAGGTCTAAAACCACGACTAAACCAGGTCTAAATTAGATCTAAATTGTGACTAAAACCAGGTCTAAATTAGATCTAAACCAGGTCTAAACTAGATCTAAACCAGGCCTAAACCAAGACTAAACCCGGACTAAAACCTGGTCTAAAACCAGGTCTAAACCAGGACTAAACCAGGTCTAAATTAGATCTAAACCAGGGCTAAAACAGAATTTAACAGGATTTAATCCTGCTGCATGGACCGTGTCTCCTCCTCTTCTATCAATAATATTTTTAATACGGTTAAGGAAAGTCTGGGCTTTTTATTGTCGTTTAGCAGCCAAAACATCTTATGTGAACATATCCGTGTCTTTGCTTCTCTACCGAAAATCAAGTAATCCAAAGTATTCAGATTACGTTACTCACTTTAAGTAATTTAATGGATTCCGTTACAAACTACATTTTGGGGTATGTAATCTGTAATCTGTAGGGGAATACATTTGAAAAGTCACCTTCCCAACACTGGCTATATAGTTATATAATCTATGAGTATAATCATTTTATATTTTGGATATTTTAAAGATAATATTCATCTAATCTAAAAGGATTTATTAACAGAAGAATGGAAGCTAACTTGTAGAATTACTGCTGTAGTTTATTGTAGAGAGCAGGGGATTTTTTTTTTAAATTTATATATTTTTTCATTTAGGTCAAAATAATTATGCAATGCTGCTGAATCCTAAATGTGTCAGTATTTAAGAAAGAAGACAAAGAACATAGTAAGTAAGAGCAGTGGGGAAAAGGGGAATTTTCGAAGCAAGGCATCTTGAATGCAGGAGAATGAAGATGATGCTCTTAAAAGTCCATTTTGTAGAGCATGTCTAACATAACACCTAAAGGCCCTCCCTAAAGTCTTTTAAATACATTATAACAAAACACATTCTCATCTTACGTTTGCAGAGTCAGTATCTCTTGATTGAACTGAACCTGCAGCTCCTCCATCGTGATGTTTTCCATCTGTGCACAGGGAGGATGCAGTTTGTAATAATACAAAAGGTAAACTAAGTACTCACAAGCTCCACTCAAACAAAACTATAACTTGTTAAAGGTCTGCTATCTACCTTTTCTAGTGTAGGGGTAACCGTCTGCTTGTCTCCATGAAAAAGTTATTACCGTATTTTCCGCACTATAGGGCTCTCTGGATTATAAAGCGCACTGTCATTGAAAGGTCTATTTTCAAACTTTTTTCACAAATAAACCACACCGGACTACCGTATTTTCCAGGCTATTAGATGCGCTCTTAAGCCTCCAACACCATCAAAAAACGACTGCGCGCCCCACAATCCAGAGCCCTATACACGAATCCACTCCCAGCACGACTTCAGTAAACTACAAAGCCACACCACCCACAGAACACACAAACACACATGGAGCAGACAGTGACCGCACAGCGAAACACACCCACAGACACACTCATCACTCCACGCCGACGAGGAACGGAACGGAGGAACAAACCAAAAAGTGAGTGCAATGTGCCACTTCTAGACACAACTGCACAACTGAGTCACTGTGAACACGCCGATAATCCGTTGGTCCCAGACACACCCTCCCTACACGCCACAACTGAACAAAGCCCAGAGTCACTGTGAACGCCACAAACAAACAAAACCACTCACCCATCACACTGTTGTGTTTCCTTTAAAGTCCAGTGCGGTTTATTTGTGAAAAAAGTTTGAAAATAGATCATTTAATGACAGTGCGCCTTATAATCCAGAGCACTTAAGAGTCTGGAAAATACGGTATAAGGCACATTAAAGGAAACCCAACAGTGTGATGGGTGAGTGCTTTTGTTTGTTTGTGGTGTTCACAGTGACTCTGGGCTTTGTTCAGTTGTGGCGTGTAGGGAGGGTGTGTCTGGGACCAATGGATTGTCGGCGTGTTCACAGTGACTCAGTTGTTCAGTTGTGACTAGAAGTGGCACATTGCACTCGCTTTTTCGGTTTGTTCCTCCGTTCCTCGTCGGTGTGGAGTGATGAGTGTGTCTGTGGGTGTGTTTCGCTGTGCGGTCACTGTCTGCTCTGTGTGTGTTTGTGTGTTCTGCGGGTGGTGTGGCTTTGTAGTTTACTGAAGTCGTGCTGGGACACCTGAGTGGATTTGTGTATAGGGCGCTCTGGATTGTGGGGTGCTCAATCATTTCTTGATGGGGTTAGAGGTTTAAGAGCGCGCCCTATAATGCGGAAAATATGGTACTTTTGTGTTGCAAAATCTGGAAGTTAGAGGTCAGAAGCGTAGAAGGTATTTTTGGCATCCTTAACTGAATAATTGTCAGAACAGAATAATTAACAGACGCAAATTCAGTACTTGAGTAATATTTTCTTCTCTTACAGGGTTGAGTTTTTTCACAGCCACAGCTCTGTTGTTAAGAAATCCTTTATAAACAGTTCCAAATCCTCCCTGTCCCAGTCTGCTCCCTCCCTCTGACACCGGCCGATCATCAAAGTTCCCAGTGATCCTCCTCAGGTCTGAGAACAGGAACCTGCACAGACCTGAGACGAAACACAGGGAGTCAAAGGACGCCATCTACTGGACATATCAAAATATCAACAACAAGGCAGAGGAAATGATTTTGTAGTGACTGTCATGATTTCTGAAATAAAGTGTAAAACCTTAATTAGCCTTAATAAAGCATGAGCAAAAACTTAATTCAACAAATTATTTATTAATTAGTAACTTAAATATCAAAGTTACTGTTAAGTGTTACCAAATGATGTAATTTATACTACACTTTTTCAGAATATAGAAATACTATTTGGCATCACTACATACACAAAAAAGTACAAATCTATCCATTTTTGTTTGACAAGGGCAGTAGAATGAAAAGTAGTAATTATTGGATTTTCTTAAATATTTTTTCTAAATATGACCCCAGATACAAATGAAACTTGTAAGTAAATATTACAGCTATTAGATACATAACATTGTTGTATGGGTAGAATTCTACTCAAGTACCTGTACATGTTTAAAGATCTACTCCAAAAAAGTCATGTGATACTTTCTGCCTCTGCAAATGAGCAAGTCCTGAACTGGTCACAGGGTTTAATTTGAGATACAAAGATCAGGTTCAATGAAATGCATGTCGTACCTGTGTGATTGGCTTCCCCGCTCTCCTGTTCACAGTGTTTTTTCAGAACTGTAGCATCATCCCCTCTGACTCTTCTCTCTTCACCGATCACAACAGTGACGTCGGGGTCTAACGCTACAGGAAGGACTGGGTCAAGCGAAACCTCTTCTGCGGGGGGAAGGTTTGTGTAGGAAATATCAAACAGAATCAGGACTGAATTACAACTAATGTGTCGTGCTTTTACCTGGTAACAAAAGACTAGCAGCAGCCAGTAACTGTTGGCTCTTCAGAATGTCCACCAGCTCTCTCACAGTGCAGTTGGTGGTTCCCCAGTCGTTCAGTAACTCTATGGTGGGGCTTTTTCCTTGCTGAATTAAAAGTTCAAACTGCCTAAAAATAGAATACAATTATTAAGAAGTGCAAAGTTACTCAAAACTTGTATCTATGTTTTAATAGAATAAAATAAATGTAAATAAACTGCACCAAATGTCGTGTGTAGACTGAATCACAGAAAGGTACAATATGTAACTTTCCACAACCTGCTTGTCTCCATGGAGTTATTGCTTTAGCTGACATGACCCACAGTATGGCATTAAACTTGTATATCTCCTTCATTAGCTAGGACCACACCAACAACGACACAGTGTGAAGAAGTTTATTGATAATGTACGAGGCGAGGCAGAGATGGCTGGGTTGAGACTATGGGTGGGGGCTCCGTCTCAATCTGCAATTGGCCCAGCCGGAACGGGACCCCCCTTGTATGGGTCTTATGAGTGAAAGACAAAATAGGGGATGGGAGGGTGGGGTCGAGTTAGCAGAGACAAACTGGGATGAAGGGAAAGGCTGCTACATATAGGCTTCTGGGAAATTCGAGGTGTGGTGGAGGTGAGTTGTGGTTCGCTGGTGAGAGGAGAGGGCGGCTGAGGAGTGGTCCTGCTCCCGAATCTCACTTAATCTTATTAACTACATATAGACATTTAGGTAACACTACCAAAACATGTTACTGCTCAGATCTATGGAGTGGTGAACCTTCTTTCCATGTTGATGCATGTTGATGATGCATGAGTTTTAAGGTATTTAAGCAACAAAAACACATCTAACTGAAGAAATGTTGTGCAGTTTAATGCCATACTCCAGCTCAATGGAGACAAGAAGGTGACAGACATATAGTTAAGTATTCACATAAGTTACATAATGCACCTTTAAGTTCTAGAATCTAGTGTAAAAGTGTGGTGTCTGGTGGTAGTCAGAATAGTGTTTGTGCACACTGGAAGGACCAGGGCAGCTTTTGGCTTTAGTAGAGTAGCCAAAAATAGTTAAGTCATATTTTATTTATTTATTTATTTATTTCATAAAGTATAAAAGGACATCAACACTAAATATTCCAAATCAGTTCAGGCACAATTACTGATCAATTGCAAACAGAAATCTTCACTATTATGCACAACAACTTAGTTTTCTTTTTCATACATACACATTGCATTTGATTTTATGTATTTTTTTAAATGTCATCATTGTACTTGATTCTTTTATCTCTTTGTCAAGACTGTTCCAAAATTAACTCCTTTCACAGCGATGCTTCCTTCCATAACCTTGGTTCTGAATCTGGCTTTTTTAAACATGTAGGTTCCTTTTCAATTGTAGTGGTTTGTTCTCATCTCAAACACCCTTTGAATATTTACAGGTAACACTCTGCACTTTGCTTTATACACGACTTTGAGGAGATTTAAGTCGACAGTATCCTGCATTTTCAACACTTTAAGTTGAACAAATATTGGGTTGTTTGTCTCTCTACAATGACTGTTGGTGGTAATTCTCAAGGCCCTTTTTTGTAAAATAAATAAAGGTTGTAGGTGAGTTTTACATGTTGACCCCAAATTTCCACACAGTCCATCAGATCTGGTACAATTATAGAGTTATACAAAGTTAATAATGCTGTACTATTTAATGAGAACTTGACTTTATGTAGAACAGCAATGGCTTTGGAAATTTTGCCTTTTGTGTAATTTATATGAGTCAAACTCCAGTTTAGACCTTCATCAATCATGACTCCTAAAAATGTGGTTTCATTTACTCTTTGAATCTGTCTCTCATCTATTTCTAATGTTATGTTGTCTTTTTTCTTTTTATCATTAAATAAAATAAAATAAAATTTGTTTTTTTGTTTTTGTTTTTTTTACATTAAGAATATTAAATACTAATAACCACCACTCAAATGAGAGAAACTACTGCCTCAACACAAGCTCTGATTCATAACGTTAGTTCATATGACTGGACGGACAATTAAACAGATTAATGATTGAACAAATTAATAAAAGCCAAATCATGTCTGAAGAAGTCAAAGAAACACACATTTAATACTGTGGCTCGAGACAACATCTGACACTTGTTCATTACAGTAAAGAGTAAAGTTAATAGTGTTGTTCCACTGTAAAATCTCTGCATACAGCGCAGTACCAAGCACTAGTGCCTTTAAAGAAAGTCCATTACCTGACGTGATGTTGACAGTACTTGAGCTCTCCACTCGGCTTGCGTATGCACTCGATCACATCTTTCCATCTCTCTTGAGGGTCCAAAAAGCAAGATAACTGACGACGTAAAAAGAAACTAAGATTACGAACATACGTGCTGGGAGTAACCGGTTTATTCATCTTAAACCACTCCAGCCGTGAGTGCGAACTAATAATGCGTAATAATAATCTCAACGCATGGACATTTTAGGAGAAAATGACAGTCAAAACTATTAGTTTAGCTGGTTGTCAAGTATCGTGGTGTATTTCCGAAATTAAGCAACTTCCTAAACACTGATGGGTGGGAAAAGCCAGACTCCTCCTCCTCCTACAACGCGGAAACAAAACCAAACGGCATGCGTAAAAGTCCATGTGTTTATATGACAAAATCCTCCCCTGGATTACCCATGGATTACCCATGGATGACCGGGGAGAGTATTCTGCTGCTGCCTTTGTCGTCCTGCTCATTATAACTCTCTGGTCACATTCAACATTGGGTGACGTTTCTCACCTTGGGGACCCTCCTCATCTTGGCTTCAAAAACCCACTTCTTCAGTCATCTGAACAAAAGCCCCAAGAGCCTCGACTCATTTTCTGACTCAAAATGAATGTTGTGAAAATGACATGGCAGCTCTTGGTCTTTATTTAGACTAAAACAATACAAAAATATATGTGCCAACTTTGCGTCGGCCGAGGGGAGGGGAGATGTTGTTTGAGGGACACTTGTCTTGACACTGATAGTTGTGCCACAGGGGGGCCGTCACAGGGTCACAGTACTGGTCCATCAGACTCTCTTTACCTTCAGACCAAAACCAGAACAGTTGTGTCCAGGTTTCTGTTGGAATTCATCTTATTATAACGTTTTAGTCATGACATATACTTGGATGGGAGACCGCCTGGGAATACCAGGTGCTGTAAACTTTTACTTTTCTTCTCTTGTTCCGAATTTAATTTAGAAGTGTAACATTTTTAGAAACACGAGAGAATCGAAACACTTCAGCCTTTACGTGACTGTACGCGTCGCGTCTTCCAATGTGACCAGAAGAGGGCGCTGTCCTGCTACTTTTCTACATGGAAAGCTCCCTTTTTATTCACTTAATTTAACTCTTAGGTACAACAGAACAGAATGTAACATTGTTAAAAGTCATGAAAAAAAGAAAAGAAAGTAAAACTAACCAGTGTGTACCAGAATGTCACTTCTGCAATTATTATTTATCTACAATAAGTCACTTTAAGACAGTGCTTCTCAATAGTGGGGCGCGCCCCCCTGGGGGGCGAGGCTCCGTCAAGGGGCGCGTTTGACCTCGGGCATGCTTTTTTATTTTTTATTTAGATGTTTTTTACTGTCTTAAGGGCCGTTCACACCAAAGCGTCAAAAAACGCCTTGACGCCTCTATTTGGAGCCTTTGCATTTGAGTTTAGACGCCCCCGACGCGCGTCTTTGACGCCGTGGACGAACGGGACAAAAATACTCGACGCGCATCCGTTGCCCTGGAAACAAGACCCGGTCCCGCTCTTTTCCCGAAACAATATCAGACCAGACTGAGAGTGTTTTTATGACATAAAAACATCAACGGAGGAGATCGGGTCGACGACTGGGGCGTATATATATTTCTACTCCGCTAATGACACTGGATCAGTCCCGGTCTAGTCCTGGTCTAATCACGGTCTGGTCCTGGTCTAATCACGGTCTAGTCCGGTAAGTCCCGGTCTAATCATGGTCTAGTCGGTCTAGTCCTTGTTTAGTCTCGGTCTAGTCCTTGTTTAGTCCCGGTCTAGTCCTGGTTTGGTCCTGGTCCGGTCCTAGTGTAGTCCTCGCGATCAGCTCGGTGATTGTGGTGTATATATTTATTCTCCGCTCGTGTTTGTGGTTCTCGTTCTGGTTCTCGGGTCTTTCTTCCTGATAATAACGTCGCTGCGTCTCTGGATACTCGTCCCTGATTGGTTGACGCGGCGCGTCTGACGCGAAAAGTTTTCAACTTCTTGACGCTGACGCTTTGGACCGCGTCTTGGCCGCTGACGCCAAAACGCTGAAGACGCGCCGCGCTGACGCCAGATTCGCGCCGCGCTGACGCCGAAAACGCGCCGCAAAAACGCAGGACGCTCTAGTCGCGCGTCCACATAGACTTTACATAAAAAAGTGACGCTTTGACGCTTTGGTCTGAACTGGCCTTAGAATAAAGTGCAATTGCACTTCCACTACATTAGGGGCAGTGGCGCTTCATTGGCAGAGTGTGCGCAAGCATTCGCTCGTGGTGTAGGAGTTTTGTTTGCACTGAGCATGCGTGCTTTGCACAAGCACAGAGTTTGAGTATGAAGTGTAGACACGAATGTAGCAGACCCTCAAGTGAACCATGAAAAAATATTTAACAGGGATGAGAAGACAGGTGGAGAGAGACGAGATAAAGAGACAAACGAAAATCTCCCGAAAGCTAAGACGAGGAAATTGACAAGCGTATGTAGCGCTCGGCTTCACTGTGACTACGGTGGGAGACGAGGAAAGACCGGTGTGCTTACTGTGTCTAAAAATGTTGCAGCGGACAGCATGAAGCAATAAAATTAAGGCGTCACTTAAATACATACACCCCGATCACTCTGATAAGCCGCTTGAGATTTTCAGCGAAAACGTGCCGATATTGCCGACAATCATCCGCGCTTGTGACTGCTACTTCAGTAAACCAGCGAGCGTTGTTGGATCATATAAGTGCAGTGTTACGCAGAGGTTACTTATAAATTTATAGACAAATGATACTATCTATAGTCACGCGGGGGGCGCGAGATGTTTTATTCGTCCTAGGGGGCATGACAGAAAATAATTGAGAAGCACTGCTTTAAGATAAGGCTGCACGATGTATCACAATCATGTTTATACGTCTACAAACATGTGAAATGTGTGGGGTTTTTGGATGAGTTCATCAGGTCATATTTTAATGTTGTACAAATGTTTATGCTCCTGGAGTCAGTCACAAAACACATTTCCACACACAATCCTCCTTTTTAAACTTATATATGCAGGTTAAACTACTTTGTGTTTTAATGAAAGAATTGTGTATCAAAACCAGACTAACTGAATGTTCTACATCTTTGAAACAGTCAAATAAAACATACCACAGCAAAAAGTATTCGTGGCAGATGTTATGTTGTGTTGTTGGGGCTGGGTGTGAGTGGTGGTCAGGCTGTGCTGGCGCTGTCTAAACTTTGTGCTTGGTTGTGTGTTGTGCGCTGATAGATGTAGTTCAGCTGACTAAAATGACTTTGACTCTGACTTTCTGGCATTCGTTATAATACTATATATCGTATATATAATGCATATATTTGTAAGATATATTTATCATTTTGGCCAAGGTGCCCGCCCAATAAATTATACCACCAGCCGCCACTGCTTTCATTCATGCCCAGATTGTTCCGAGTGCTTTTCTTAGTTCCACTGGTGGACCGAATTTGTCCCATGCCTTAAACAGTGGTGAAAGGTAATCAAGATCCTACTGCAAATTAATACATTGCATAAGCCATCCTCCCTAATCGCTGTTCAGTTACAGTGGTGCTGCATGACTGGCGGCTGGCGGGTGTGCAGTGTGCCGGTCTGCGCTGTTCTGGCCACATCAGCAGCGGCACAGGGCACACCACCACTGCTGTTGTTTTTTTTTTTTTTTTGTTTTTTTAACATTTGATATTTTTACTTGCGTGCCTTATATTTAGATTCTATTACCCCACACTGGATTTGGAGTGGCTTTGTTGCAACACTTTAGAACAGGGGTGTCAAACTCATTTTGGTCCGGGGGCCGTATCCAACCTACTTTGATTCCAAAGGGGCCGGATCAGAAAACTCATGTCATATAAACCCCAAAAATAACAATAAGTTCAAATATTTGTACAGAGAAACGCAAATCTATTACAGAAATCTTTTTTAATTGATGAACTCTTTCTTAATATAATATTATAATATTATGAACAATCTGAAACTTTAAGAAAAATTCGATTTCAACACAATGTTTTAACATGAACTTGTATGTAAACAGGAATAAGTCAATTTTTCTTGGAAAATCCTGCACTCGGCTCCACTTTTCTCATGTTGGACATTTTTCTGATGAGGGTGTCACGGTCAACAGTCAAAACGATCGTCCTTTAAGAGCGTTTGGAAAGAGACAAGTCTTCATTTGTGCTGCTCTGGTGGGAGGGGCCACGTACAGAGACACTGGAGACGCTGCTATGCTAAGCACCACAGAAAATTACCAATATTTTAGAAAATATAATTAAAATATTTTTTAGTAGAAAATCACCCAAGGGCCACATTAAAGGTCTTGGGGGGCCGGATCTGGCCCCCGGGCCTTATGTTTGACACCTGTGGACTAAAGGATTACAAGCCACATACATGTATTTATCAATGCATATGTCAAAATTCTTAAAACAAAATGTGGAAAAGGGAATGTGTTTGAAAATATATCCTGCAAACGACATCTGTCTGTTTACTAATATTATTACTATTACTATTACTACAGTTTACAAAGACAAATACAACATGAAGTTTTTTTTTGTTATGTTTTATTGTTCAAGTGCAGAACAGTGAGGGGGGTGAGAGAGGCTCTACATGCCCAGGAGCCTCCTGTACCACCTCCTCTTTCTCTTCTTCCGTTCCATCTCCAGCTCCTGCTCCAGCGCCGTGCTCACCTCCTCCAGCAGGGAGCACTGTCTTTCTGTGCTCCTCTGCTTTTCCTCCAAGACGTTGAATCTTTGGAGCAGTAGGGAGAGCTCTGTGTTCAGCTTCTCACGGGTGTTTACCAGAGCTATTTTCTCTTCCTCTAAAGCAGTCTTCATGTGATGTTCCTGCTCTACCTGCTGGTGTAGAGCCCTGTTCTTTACAGTCAGCAGGGAGAGCTCTTCCTGAGTTGTAGTCAGGGCGTGGTCCAGTGCGCCGCACCTGTCCACCAGCAGGGAGCGCTCTGCCTCGAGGTCTTTACTGGTGCTCAACATTGCGGCCTTCTCGTTTTCTAACTGTGCTCTGCCATGTTTTCCTCTTTCACTTCCTGCTCTAGAGCACAGTTATTTTCAAGGAGCAGGAACTTCTTTTCCTCACACCTCCTCAGTTTTTCCTGCACCGCATCACATGTCTCGACCTGCACCGAGAGCTGTAATTTTAGCTCATCGCAGGTCCTCAACAGGGCGGCCTTTTCATTTAGCAGGTCGTCTTTGTTCAGTTTGTCCTGCTCGACCTGCTGTTGGAGTGCAGTGATCTTTGTCTCTAGCAGGGAGCACTCTTTCTCTGAGGTCTTGAGTAGCTCTTCTAGTCCACTGCACTTCTCCTCCAGCAGGGAGCGCTCTATGCTTAGCTCTTGGCAGGACTTCAGAATGGTGGCGTTTTCTTTCTGGAGCTCAGCACTGTTCTTTTTCTCCTGTTCCACCTCCTGCACCAGATCCTTCTTCAGAGCCCCGTACCTTTTTTTGAGGGTGGAGTGCTCTTCCTGAGACCTCCTCAGGCAGTCCTGCAGCTTCTCACGGGTCCGCAAAATGTTCTGGACCTGTGTCTGCATGTTCTCTAGTTCCTGGAGCTTCTGGGCCTTCAGCTCAGCCTCCTTTTGGTGTCTGAGCTCCAGAGATGACCTGTCTGTTTGAAGTTGGGCCAGAATACGCTCCAGGTGAGAGTTGCGTTCTTTCAGCGCAGTATTTTCCAAAGACTGTTCCTGAAGTTTGGAATTCAGATCAGCAGAGTCCTGCTGGAGTCTCTGCTTTTCCGTTTTCCACTCTGCTGATTTTCTGCAGGAATCGTCTAGGTGTTGGTGCAACAGCGCTGTCAGGTCAGCGACCTGTTTCTCCAGTCCCTCAATATCTCGGGACTGAGGCTGGTTGTTCAGTTCATCTGCTTGGATGAACAGATCTTCTCTGGCTCTAGCCTGAGCAGCTGAGGCAGCCTGGAGTCGAGACATGACTAAAGCCATGCCCTTCTCCTCGTCCTCCTTGGACCTCTGGTGGTGTTGAGGTCCAAGCTGCTCCCGTTCTACCTCCTCAAGAGTTAGAAACTCTTGAGGATTTTGAAAGGTGTGGACCACCTGTTCTGGTGGTCCAGAGGCCTGATGTGGGTTGGTAGGTGTTAATCCCAATTCCTCCATCAGGTTGAACTCCTGGCTGTAGAGGAGTTCGTCGTCCTCACTAGTGTAATCGCACCAGTTCTTGCACATGTTTGTCTGTGGTGAGTCTCTGTGTCTCGGTTGAAGTCTGAATAGAAGTGATTTTACACTGGAACTTGTGCTACACTTACATAAAGTAAAGCTTTATGATGTCATAAAGTAGAAATAGAATGTGGATGGAACGTGTTGCCAGGTGACGCCAGGTGTTGCCAGGTGCGGTCATGTGATCAGGTCAGGTCAGGTGATTCCATAGTTGCCATAGTTACATATGAATTCCAGTATATCACAGATTTATGTGAAAGTGTTTTTAAAGGTTAAATATGTATTTTTGTGGTGTTTGTCGTCTATCGTCTTCACCTGCTTTTCTCTGTGTGGACAACCAACCTCACAATATGACCGACGCCACACAAAGAGAGTTCTCCTGCCAAGATCTGGAGCTTTTTATGAATAGTATTTGGAAACATATTTTCGTATGTGATTATTCCACATTATTTCTATAAAAAAAAAAAAAGTTTAATAGATTTTAAAGTTCCTCTCGTACCGGAGCCAGAACATGTACAACTTACTTGTTGTCCGTTGAAAGGAACGTGTGGATGTGGAGACGTAGCCAAGAGTGGTTGGATTGCGATGTACTTCGCTTGAGTGACATGGAGTTCATTAACAATTTTCATATGACGAGAAGAACGTTTGTGTACATTTGTGGCTTGTTGATAACGTGTAGGTCAGCTGAATGCGACCTGGCCGTTCAGACTGAAGTCGCGTGTCAAAAGATCAGATATGTATCGGTTTTAGGAGCACATATCCAAGTGGCCTGGGTCACATTTGAAAAACTCGGATCTGTGTGGTTCAGACTGTCATTAAAAGATCAGATACAGGTCACACAGGGGCCAAAAAAGTGGATTTGGGTCACTTCAGGCTGCAGTGTGATTGAGCCTTAGTTTGGGTGTTTCTTGCGACTTATACTCCGGTGTGACTTATATATTAAAATTTTCACATTGAAGCGATGAGAGGCTCTAGTCTTGTGTGTCAGTATCTGTTCCTCCTGTACCACTGTCACTTCACTCTACTGTGCATGTCTCCTGCAGAAAGAGCCTGTGTCCTGCTGTAAGTAGTGAAATATTCAGCTGAAAATGGTAATCGAGCAGCAGAAAGAGACTTGTGAGGGACTGGTGGAACACGGCGATGGAGAACACAGCTTCAACAGTTTCATGCAACTTTCCTGAAGTCACTGGATGGATGGACAAAGCCTGGACTTCAGTGACACTGAAACCATCCTGTCGGGATTCAGAAAGACCGAAATAATTCCAGCTGAATATTATAATAAATTATAATATTCCAAATTGTCAACCCCTCGATTGCCACATATACTCAAATTTTTTGCCTCACGTGATCATAAAAGTGCACATGATATTGGGCGTTAAGAACACAAATCATATGACGCTACATAACATATACAAATAATAACAAAATGAGAGCACATCTCAACACCTCTATTTGCTCAGATTTGAAAAAAAAAATAAATAAATAAAAATATATATTACACAAACAAAATCCGGCCCATACACCTATAACATAGTTGTACAGTGCATAAACATAAACATCTCAAAGTTTAACAACTTAAAGTTTGGTTGCCATCATTTAACATAGACTTCACAAATTGGTATTTTATATGCACATGTTTGCAGCGTTGTCTATGAACAGGATTCTTTGCTAAAGCTCCCTGGTTGTCCAGATCTTGCATGAATATTTACAACCATCAAAACACTAGGAGCTGTTGTAAGTACATACAATCCTGTATGGTTGCAGCTAAAGCCGTATACTCAGCCTCACAGGTAGATAGAACTACAGTCGGCATCTTTTAGTCTTCCACGAGACAACCTGGTACAGGTTGCCAGATAGATTAAGCTACTGACTGCCTCCCTGTATTTTCTATCATCATCCATTATTTTAGCATCATCACTATAGTCCAGTTTTTGTTCACAGGGGGTAGCTCTAGCTTTACACTTTTGCATGTCAAACCTCTCTAGTGAGTGCTCAACATACTTGCATAGTGATATTTTGATACAGTTATCAGTTATTCTTAAGCCTTTCTTTGACTTTTTCAAACACTTTTCAAAACATTGGTAAGACAGATCATTTTCACTTTTTCATTGTTAGTCACTTTGTTATACCTATGACCTTCTCTGGACGTAGAATCTACAATTTAAATCTGTGTGCACCATTTCCAGAGGTGCTTTAGCCCTGGCATCTGGCCCTCTGTTTCTAGATTGGATAAACTAACATAACATAATTTTATGATATCTGCATAATTGCAATGTCCTAGAATTCCATGCTAAGTTTGCAAATCATGACATTTGTTACACTGGTCTTCACAGTCACTTTCTGATGTGTGCAGATAGTAAAGGTTGTTGTGTACGTGTATGGGAAATGTGGTCTTTATGTAGCAGAATGTTCTTCTCATTAAAGATGACCTTGGCTCCACACATGGTGGCTGCTTTCACACAGAAGATATCCTGAGGATAAGTTTTGATGTACAGAGCGCTCCTCAGCGATGTTTTGAAACAGTCCCTCCTGCTGTCGACCAACCACACCTCTTTGTCCCTTCTGTGCTTGGCGACTCCGCTGCTCCTGGTGCCGTCCGCTAGCTCCACGCAATGCGTCCCGGCCTCGAAACTATCATCGAACCTCTTGAACTTAATGATGTCTGTGATGATATGTGATGTTGCCCCTGCATCCACCATCAGACCTTTGCTTAGTTATTATAAAATCAATTTGGTTCAAATGTTGACTATTGATAAAAGTCATAAAAATGAACAAGTGGTCAACAGATCTACTGTTTCTTTGGGGTCCCAGGGTGACACGAGGATTCAACTTCTGAAGAGGTGCAAACACAACAGAGGATCTTTGGAGCACAGATTCGCCTGAACTTGTCAGCAGAGAGAGCGCTCTTCATGCTCAGCTCCAGAGCTGATCTGTGACCTGTGTACAGTTTATACTTGACAGGAACAGTTCCATGTCGTGACGGTGGATGTGAGTGTGTGCTGCCTCTGGTAAGTCTCTGCATGATTTGTAAGTCTCTGTGCATTTGTGTGTTTAGTGCAGAAGGTTTCAGTCAAATCTGGGTTTTTCAAACATGTTTTTTCACGCGTGAATTTAACGTGGCTTTCTACCCTGTGCATACACTTGGAATGAGGCATTTCCACCTCCACAAACATTAGAGATGATCACAGACTGGATCTGTTTTACTGCCACTGGCACAGAGCAAAAGGCACATACAGGAACTTCTTCAGTGTCTTTAACATGGACTGGATGGACCGGACCATACTGGACCAGACTGGACCAGACTGAACCAGACAAGACCAGAGTGAACCAGACCGGACCAGTCTGAACCAGACCAGACTGAATCAGAGCGTCTCTCAGTCCAGCGTAAGTCTGGGCCCACTCGACAAACTGGTTCTACTGGTTCTGTGTTGTATGTGCTTTATTCACACACACGCTCACACAAACACACACACTCATCTCACATCTGTCCCTCTTCAGCCCCTGTCAGTCTATAGCACGTGTCATTAATCACAGTTCTGTCAAGACCATAGACTCTACATGAATATATATATTTTTGTTTCATTTCAGGACAATGGAGAAGAGACCAGAACCAGCTGAACCAGGACCAAACCAGGACTATCCCAGGTCTAAACCAGGTTCTGGCCCCAGCAGAGTCTCTCTGAGCGGTACCATCTCCAAACTCTTCAACATCAACTTTAAAAAACACCAACGTGGGGCGTCTGCACAGCTCAGGTCAGTGTCACAGTTTAAAGTGGAACCAGGACTAAACCAGGACTGAAACAGGATTGAACCTGGACTGAACTAGGACTAAACCAACACTGAACCAGGACTGAACCAGTACTGAACCAGTACTGATCCAGAACTAAACCAGGGCTATCCCAGGTATAAAGCAGGTCCTGGAGAGATAGAGGAGGAGAGATAGCACAGTGGTTAGGTGCGTTGTGTGTTGTGTGTTGTGTGTGGGTTGTGTGTTGTGTGTGTTGTGTGTTTATGCTTCACTCTCAAAACCTTTCTTCAGTTTTACATTACACATTTCAATTAATATATCTGTGATTGTTCCTCAGAGACAGCAGCGCCCCCTATGGATCCACCGCAGAGTCTCTTAAAAGTAACCACTCCAAAGGCTGGATGCCAGACTTTAAAGACTCACATCAGAGGTACAGACTAAACCAGGACTAAAAAAAGAACTGAACCAGGGTTAAACCAGGACTAAAGAGGACTAAACCAAGACTAAACCAGGACTAAACCAAGACTAAACCAGGACTAAACCAGGACTAAACCAGGACTGAACCAGGACTAAACCAAGATTAAACCGGGACTAAACCAGGGCTAAACAGGACTCTATTTTACTGGTTGACAGAGACGAGGATCTGAGCGTTCCCATTGGTCAGGAGCCTCAGGTGGAGCTGGACTCCATCTTCCAGGTCTGTGAAATTGTTACTCAAATACACAAACAAGCACAAGCACACGCACGGCACGCACACACACACACACATGCACACACACACACACACATGCACGCACACACACATGCACGCACACACACACACACACATGCACGCACACACACACACATGCACGCACACACACACACACACATGCACGCACACACACACACACACACATGCACGCACACACACACACACATGCACGCACACACACACACATGCACGCACACACACACACACACACACATGCACGCACACACACACACACACACATGCACGCACACACACACACACACATGCACGCACACACACACATGCACATGCACGCACACACACACACACACATGCACGCACACACACACACACATGCACGCACACACACACACACACATGCACGCACACACACACACATGCACACACACACATGCACGCACACACACACACACACACATGCACGCACACACACACATGCACCACACACACACACACACACACACGCACACACACACACACATGCACGCACACACACACACACATGCACGCACACACACACACACACATGCACGCACGCACACACACACACACATGCACACACGCACACACACATGCACACACACACATGCACGCACACACACACACGCATGCACGCGCACACACACATGCATGCACGCACACACACACATGCATGCACGCACACACACACACATGCACTGCACACACACACACATGCACGCACACACACACACGCATGCACACACACACACATGCACGCACACACACACACACAGTTCAATTTACAGTCTAAGTGTAAAGTTAAATGTAAAGTTAAATGTAGAGTTACAGTCTAAATGTAAAAAATGTTAAATGTAGTTAAATGTTTACAGTCTAAATGTAAAGTTAAATGTAGAGTTTACAGTCTAAATGTAAAGTTAAATGTAGAGTTTACAGTCTAAATGTAAAGTTAAATGTACAGTCTAAATGTAAAGTTAAATGTAGAGTTTACAGTCTAAATGTAAAGTTAAATGTAGAGTTTACAGTCTAAATGTAAAGTTAAATGTAGAGTTTACAGTCTAAATGTAAAGTTAAATGTAGAGTTTACAGTCTAAATGTAAAGTTAAATGTAGAGTTTACAGTCTACAGTCTAAATGTAAAGTTAAATGTAGATTTTACTGTCTAAATGTAAAGTTTACAGTCTAAATATAAAGTTTACAATCTAAATGTAAAATGCCGCTCTATGTGTGTTTTATTTTAACACTAAATACCACAAAAAACTCTAGAGCCATTTTCACACCCCTCCACCGGATGAGATGTGGAGGTGTGGACAGTATGGGCCAGTAGTGGAAAACATATTGGCTAAATTAATCCATAAGAGAATAATAGTTATTTGAGGCCCTGGCTCTAAGTGCCATCCTCCATGAGCTTCATTTGGAGCTGAGTTCTGTAGGTAATGTCACTCTCAGAACACTTCTTCAGACAGTGTGTGGTTTCAGATTCTGGAGGAGCAGGTCCTGAGCTTTGTCCAACAGCAGCTGCAGAGGCTCCACAGGCTCCTGGCTTCAGATTACCCAGAATGCTCTGAGAGTGAGGAGGAGGAGAGCAGAGAGGTTCTGAACATCACTCTGGACTTCCTGAAGAGGATGGACCAGGAACATCTGGCCCAGCGCCTGCTCAGCAGTAAGAACCTCCAGATGCCCTCCCATCCTCCTGTATCAAATATTGGACATGTTTCACAGTCTACCTCTTGTGTGTTGTTTAAAGGGAGTAAAGTTGGATTCAGAGATAAACTGAAGTCTGATCTGCAGCAGAGGTTCAGCCGTGTGTTTGAGGGGATGGTTAAAGCAGAAGATTCTGCCCCCTTGACCCAGATCTACACAGAGCTCTACATCACAGAGGGCGGAGCCTCAGAGGTCAACCAGGAACATGAAGTAAGACACATGGAGACAGCGTCCAGGAGACCTGCCACTCCAGAGATCATGATCACGTGTGAAGAGCTCTTTAAAGCCCGGTCACATTCACCAGAACCAATCAGATTTGTGCTGACAAAGGGCATGGCCGGCGTGGGGAAAACGGTGCTGACTCAGAAGTTCAGTCTGGACTGGGCTGAAGGCCGGGCCCACCAGGACCTCGAGCTACTGTTCCCCTTCACTTTCAGAGATCTGAACGTGCTCAGAGACACACAGTTCAGCCTGGTGGAGCTGCTGCACCACTTCTTCAGTCCATCCAAAGATCTTTGCAGCTTCCAACAGCTCCAGGTGCTCTTCATCTTTGATGGTCTGGACAAGTGCAGACTTCCTCTAGACTTCACCCAAACCCGGGTCCTGACCAACCCCGCAGAGTCTGCCTCAGTGCACGTGCTGCTGGTGAACCTCATCAGAGGTCACCTGCCTCCCTCCGCTCGCCTCTGGATAACCACACGACCCGCGGCGGCCAATCAAATCCCTGCTGAGTGCGTCTCCATGGTGACAGAGGTGCGAGGGTTCACCGACCCACAGAAGGAGCAGTACTTCAAGAAGAGGTTCAGAGACCAGGCCACAGCTGTCATCTCCCACATCAAGAGCATTCGCAGCCTCCACATCATGAGCTACATCCCAATTTTCTGCTGGATCCTCTCCACAGTTCTACAGAAGCTTCTGGAACAAACAGAGACACTGGAGCTGCCCCATACTCTCACACAGATGTACATCCACTTCCTGGTGGTGCAGGCCAAAGTCCAGAACATCAAGTATCACCATAGATCAGGGGAGGACCTTCACTGGACTCCAGAAACCAGGAAGATGGTGAAGTCTCTGGGAAAACTGGCCTTTGAGCAGCTGCAGAAAGGAAACCTGATCTTCTACGAGAGTGACCTAAGTGAGTGTGGACTGGACGCTGCAGCGGCCTCAGTGTACTCCGGAGTGTTCACACAGATCTTTAGAGAGGAGCCAGGCCTGTACCAGGACAAGGTCTACTGCTTCATCCATCTGAGTGTGCAGGAGTTTCTGGCTGCTCTTCATGTCCATCAGACCTTCTACAGCTCTGGAGAAAACCTGCTGGAACCACCACACTCCTTGGAGAGCTCAGAATGTACCAGTCAAGAGCCACATTCAGATTCAATGAAGGATGTCCCTGTCCCCACTGTGAGTTCTGAAGCAGAAGAAACAAGACCAAAAGAGTCAACAGTCAGAAAGAGAAAGCGACAGAGTCAGTCACAGTCTAATAGACAAACTTCTCAAAGTCCTGAGTCTGGATTAAAATGCTTCAAACTAGAAACATCTGAAAGTCCAAAACCTAAGGAGTCTGAGGACTATTCTGATACAAAGATCTCTGCTGTCCCCTCCATGACACCAGAGGCAGCCTTCTACCGTTCTGCTGTGGACCAGGCCTTACAGAGCCCAAACGGACACTTGGACCTGTTCCTGCGCTTCCTCCTGGGGCTGTCTCTTTGGACCAATCAGAGGCTGCTGCAGGGTCTGCTGACTCTCACAGGAAGTTACCGGACCAATCAGGAGACAGTAATGTTCATTAAACAGAAGCTGGATGAAGAGGGTCTGTCTGCAGAGAGAAGTCTGAACCTGCTCCACTGTCTGAACGAGCTCAACGACCACAGTCTGGTCCAGGAAATACAGAAGAACATGAGAGAAGAACATCTCTCTGACAAAACCATGTCTCCTGCTCAGTGGTCTGCTCTGTCCTTTGTCTTACTGTCCTCAGACTCAGACCTAGAGGAGTTTGATCTGAGGAAATATCAGCGCTCAGAGACAGCTCTCCTCGGTCTGCTGCTGGTGGTCAGAGCCTCCACCAAAGCCCTGTGAGTCCAGACTGTATTTAAACTCTTGTGAAAAGGTTCTCATCTCTAATGTCCCTCTCTGTCCTCAGTCTTTGTGGCTGTGGCCTGTCCCCTCACAGCTGTGCTCCTCTGGCCTCAGTCCTCATCTCCTCCAGTCTCACACATCTGGATCTCAGTCACAACGACCTCCAGGACTCAGGAGTAGAGCTGCTGTGTTCTGGATTGAAGAGCGCCATCTGCAGACTGGAGACGCTCAGGTTCTCACCTCTCCCATGATGCACTCTGCCCCCTTGTGTCCACATGAGTGTAATGCTGTGTCTTTAGGCTGTCTGGATGTCTGGTCTCAGAGAGAGGCGGTGCTGCTCTGGCCTCAGCTCTGAGCTCCGCCTCCTCTCATCTCCAAGAGTTAGACCTGAGCTACAATCATCCAGGACCCTCAGCAGAGCTCCTGACAGCTCTACGGGACCAGCGCCCCCTGCTCTCTGTCAGGTGAGACCACCCCTGCCGTTTGTTAGGTGAGAGAACATTGGTCTCTGGTCTGGTCCTGGTGTGGTCCTGATCTGGTCGAAACTAGACTTGTGTTGGGCAATGTCCCCTAAATTGGTAGTTGACGTGAATCATGGTGGTTGACGATGATATCGGGAGGGGGCTGGGGTTCACGCCAACCATACTATCTCTTTAAATGTAACTAATTTAATTGTTGATTTTATTTAATTTTCAAACAATATCCCCTTTTCTACAAAAAATATATAATTTTGCTATATTTCTAATCTAATTCCTCATCCGGGCTTTGGCACATAAAGGAAAAAAGCTTAGTTTAAGAAGAGTTGATCCAATGGCGCAGCAGTTGGTTGTTAAGAAGGGCACTATTTCTGACTGATGTCCATTCAGTTTTACTTTTGTTACTCATATTCGGCACTTTATATCAAAGGCACGCATCAAGCATGTGCCCTTATTTTGATAAATAACTTTACGCTTTACCTGGACAGAGGAGAATTATGGAAAACTTTACGCAGACTTGTTTTGATACATCTTTACACACACGCATTTCATGCTGGATATATTTACCAATGAGGAGCATATTTAACATATTTTGGCAGAGTTTTTATTCATATTTTCAGTTTGGCTTAAATTTTACATGGACACTGCAGGCTGTGACTGGATGTGAATTTATTATTACGCACTGGCTTTGAGATACTATGAACTGGAGACTGGATGTTTTCGGGTGGATATAACCCCCAGTTTACACCAAAGCAGTAACAGTGCGTAAGCATTTGAACCAGTCGGGCAATTTACACCAGCAGTCATATGCACATCCAGAGGCCGTCATTACACTATACGCTGCTCAAATTAGGTTGGAATTCTAGTTTTTCAGCATTAACGGAGCGTCTCCAGGCTTTTATCAGGGGCAATTAGCACATGGTGTCAAAATAAACTTCCGATGCCCTTTCAAAATACGTTCTCTAAAACCACTACAGTCGTGTTAACGCCGTGCGATGCATCAGGAGCTCTGGGAATGATTCGTGATGGACTATGGAAAGTTTATGGCCATGGAGGATAAATATAAAACATTTTACGACATCAGACATAAATTTTAAACTTCTGAAGGAAAAGGCGCGTGGAGCAGACAACCATAGTTAAATGGTGAGGAGCTTAATAAATGCAGTACCACAGATATGGCTCGTAATTTAAAACATCCAATCAAGAATGATTAAGCAATGTAAAAGGTTTAATGTTTAAACATGAGAATACACAGTTTAGTGTGTAAATGTGAGAATACACAGTTTAGTGTTTAAATGTGAGAATACACAGTTTAGTGTGTAAATGTGAGAATACACAGAGGCTGGTGTCACAGGTGCAGTTCTGCTCCCTGTGGTATAAACTGAAGCTTTTAAAAGTATGTGCGTATGCAGCTCTCCCTACGGTATGTGTCGCTGATGCTCCTGGTGTAAAAAGTAAGTTTCACGCTACAGGCTGTTTATTCAGCTGTTCTGTTGTACCGGTACGCTTTGTTTGGACACATGTAGAACCTGTTGGACATCGTCCATCGTCCATCCCTACTGGTGTGTTTCAGGGTGGATCCTGCTGGAGAGCGCTGGATGGTCCCAGGTCTGAGGAAGTGTGAGTCTGTTTTGTTTCCTTCATACAGTAAACAGTAATGCAGAGAACAGCTCAGATCATTCACTCTGTTTCAAATGGTTAAAATCTCAACATCTCAAATCAGCTGCTTGACAGGTGTGTGACAGATGTGTGACAGATGTGTGACAGGTGCATGACAGGTGGTCGGTCTACTAACAGGTGATCTAGGTCCACTAAACGTAGATTCAATCAGAACAAAAGAATGAGATGGAGTGTTTCTGTTTCAGACTCCTGTGATGTCTCTCTGGACCCAAACTCAGCTCACAGATGCCTGCTTCTGTCTGAGGACCATCAGACTGTGACACGTGTGAAGGAGAAGCAAAAGTACCCAGATCATGACGACAGGTTCACAGACCACCCTCAAGTCCTGAGCTGCTCTGGCCTAACAGGGCGCTGTTACTGGGAGGTGGACTGGAGCGGGAGGGTTGAAATAGCAATGAGTTACAGAGAGATCAGACGGAGAGGATGGGGACTGGAGTGTGTGTTCGGACACAACGTTCAGTCCTGGAGTCTGTGGATCTCTGATGGTGGAGTGTACTATATGTGTCACAACAGCAACACAACACAACTCCGCCGCTCCTGTCACTCAGAGAGAGTGTCCTCTGGCAACGGGGACGTGTCCTCTGGTGAAGGGGGTGTGTCTTCTGGTGAAGGGGGTGTGTCCTCTGGTGAAGGGGGTGTGTCCTTTGGTGAGGAGGGTGTGTCCTCTGGCAAAGAGGGTGTGTCCTCTGGTGAAGGGGGTGTGTCCTCTGGTGAAGGGGGTGTGTCCTTTGGTGAAGAGGGTGTGTCCTCTGGCAAAGAGGGTGTGTCCTCTGGTGAAGGGGGTGTGTCCTCTGGTGAAGGGGGTGTGTCCTTTGGTGAAGAGGGTGTGTCCTCTGGCGAAGAGGGCAGGTTCTTTGGTGAAGGGGGCATGTCCTCTGCCGAAGGGGGCACGTCCTCTGGTGAGGGGGGCTTGTCCTCTGGTGAAGGGGGCACGTCCTCTGGTGAAGGGGACGTGCTCTGTGGCAGAGTGGGCGTGTTCCTGGACTCTGAGGTTGGAGCTCTGTCCTTCTATGAGGTCTCCTCTGATGGAGAACTGTTCCACATCTGGACCTTCTCCTCGTCCTTCTCTGAGCCCCTGTTTCCTGTTTTTTTATTGGATGATGATTCCTCTGCGACTCTTGTGAAAGAGTTGAGACAAAACAGAAGAGAAACTGGACTTGTCCCATGATGAGGACACAACAACGAGAATAAAAGATAAAGAGAAATAAGAAGACAAAATGGATTCAATGTCACTGTTGAAATTTGACTTTGACACAAATAAAGACTCTAAACACAGAAACTGAACGAGGCCAAAGCAACGACTGGAACAGTTCTTCACTTTGACTGTTTTGGACCAGATAATTCTGTTGGGCTTAGTTAAAGAGGGGGTATGTGACTTCTGTGCGGTATTAAAGAGGGGTTATGTCTGTATTTTTTATCAAAGTCTAAGTATGAGGGCAATGGCAGCTCCATTCATGAATTCTACCAGCAGGGTCCTGTTAGATATTTCTACTGCTCCACCAAGGTTTTCAAAACCTATGGAGCAGAAGCGCAAACTGGAGCTGAGGCAGGGTCCAAACAGCCCCCACATCCATACAAGCTTCCCCAAACTAGCAGGAAAGTACATCTACTGCCCTGCTAAAGTGTTCTCCTTGTATAGAGAGCAGGGGATGGAGAAGGAGAGGAGCTGGAGGGAGTTCCATCAATCTCCTTTTTATGTGAAGGAGAAGCAAAGGTGGGAAAAGATGTAGATAGACGGAGACATAGATACATATGTTCATTTTAATACCAATTTAGAAATGTTAATATTACCTGTTTATAACCGGTAACACATATACATATTTTTATTTGTTTATTATAAGAATACTGTTACACTACACAATATATTACTCAAATAAGAGTACTGTTTTGACTGCAAAAGCATTTTCAAAAAACTCTTAACTACAAATCTTACCAATTACATTTTAAATACATAAATTCAACAGTATGCAACAGACCTCAGGTGTAAAGTTTAATCAGCTTAATGTAAATACTTCTAAATACTAATTACACACACTGTTGGGTTGACATCATTGATCTGTTTTATATTTATCCTGTAAATAGTATTTATGAATATTTATGTAAATATCAGTAATGTCTTGTAAATAAATAGTGTCTGAACTGTGTATATTGTTTTTCATTTTTAACTGTTAGTACATTTTTTTTAATGATTTGTGTATTCTCTTTCAAGTATTATGACTGATTCACAAATATAATACTTTCTAAAACATCGTTATGAAGTGATAAAAGATAAAAGAATAGTATGACAAAATGAACACTGATTACAATAAAATAAAAAATAATATAAAAAGTACAAACTGAATAAAGTGCACAAATAGAGGTAGAGAGGGTCTGGTGTACAGTTTAGTGCTCCAAAGCTTAGTCATGTGATAGCAGCAGTTTGAGTCTTATATTACAGACCCCTGAAAACCAGACCCCCTGTAGTTTTTTTTTTTTTTTTAACCTCTTGGGCACTCCAGGTTTATTTGTCTGATTTAATTAATTGACACTTGTCCCTCCCTGGTGGTGCAAAAGGTCACCATTTATGACCTGAACTGTACAGTATGAGCCTTTTTAGATCACAAACAAGGCATTAACTGTGTCAAAATGTAATAAACATAATGCAGTCTATCTCAGCATCAATTGTAAATGTTTGATGATAAAATGATCAGCTGTGTGTGAATTTCTAAATAATATATGCTCAGTACTTTAAATTAATACTTAATTTGGTTTTTTTAAATGTGCCAACAGTGATATCTAACTTAAACATCTGATAAAATCTTTGTTTTTGTTACTACAATTTTGCATCTGCTGGTCCAGGCAGGGTTTCAACCCGGGTCCAGACCAATTATTTTATGAACAGCACCAATCTCTGCATTCTGATTGGCTGTGCTTCTTCACAGCAGCACACGCCTGACAGGCTCCTTCTGATTGACTGATTCTCTGTGCCCACTATACGAGACTGGCCTAAGCAGGGTCAGGCCTGGTTAGTACTTGGATAAGAGACCCACACAAAGTAGTTTAACTTGCACTCTCCTGTTGAACTCCAGTCTCTCTGCGTGTGACTCAGAGGATGGGCCCCCGTCCCTCTATGGCCCCTCACTCCTGTGCAGCTGCAAGATTTAGGAATATGGATGATTACGATTAGATTTACGATATATGTTTAAAAAGGAGGATTATGTGCGGAAATGCGCATTGTGACTGACTCCAGGAGCATAAACATTTGTACAACATTAAAATATGACCTGATGAACTCATCCAAAAACCCCACACATTTCACATGTTTGTAGACGTATAAACTTGATTGTGATATATTGTGCAGCCTTATCTTAAAGTGACTTATCGTAGATAAAAGTGTCTTTAGCTACTCATTAATTGGTTATTTTTACTTTCTTTTCTTTTTTTCATGACTTAAGTATGTTACAGTCTGTATTGTTGAACCTGAAGTTAAATTAAGTCAATGGAAAGGGACTTTTCTATGTTGAAAAGTAGCAGGACAGCGCCCTCTTCTGGTCACATTGGAGTAGTGTAGTATACGTTTATGGAAATCCTCTCCCATTCAAAACACAGTCATGTGTTTTTCCACCATTAATTATTGACATATACTAGGCTCTAATAAATTTAACTCAAGTTTCCCACTTCAGTCTTCACTTTTTCTCACAGTTGACTTCTGGTGTACCTTTATGGCAAAATAACCCTATAATGTAAAAAATGTAATTTGCACAGATTAGAGGTAGATGAAGAGATCTGAGTTTTGGAAGTAGAAAAAAATATGAATCTATGTGGATTATATGACTATTTTAAAATGGGCACCCTCGACTCACCTCAACTCAGCTATACTGAAAAAAACATCGCTCAAAAGAACCCTCAGGGTCCCCAAGTGACAAATAAACACGCCTGTTGTAATTAAACATTTTAAGTGTAAATTCGTGATTAGTCTTTTTTTTTTTTGAGAATAAGCAGGCTATGTGTGCGTAATATCCGTTCTGGTACTTGAAAATGTGACTTTTTTGAGACAGTTTCATTTTAATCAGTTCGACATGGAGCAGAGCGGGTGTAAAGTTCAGGGACGTGTCTTTGTAGCGTTGAGTTCATAGTTGTGAGTGTGTCGAGATGAGCCTGAGCGCGGAGAGCCACTGCGTCCCCCTGAGCGACGGGAACCGGATCCCCCTCATCGGTTTGGGGACGTACGGAGACCCGGCCACGGTGAGAATGGACCAAACGACACAGCCCACGCAGCGATATATTTAGTCTTTTCTAATGTTATCAGCTTTAGAGGAATTCGTAACACAGAGGGGCCCCACTGCTGAATGACAGTCAGACCTCTTTTAGTCAGTCCCAGGGCAGCTATGGCTACACGATCCATGTGCTGTGCAATTAAAGCTTTATATTAAAGCTTTCCGGTGGAGTGTCCACTACCTGCTTGTCTCCATGCAAACATTTCTTTCCACAGTATGGTAAAAGTATTTCCAGGGAGCCAAGGATGTGACACCATCAAGTTACAGGTCAGCTTTAATAATAATCATTTTAATTATATTATGCTTTTCTACACACTCAAATTCAATAAGAAGACATATTTGCTATGGGCTACTGTGGAACCGTCCAGATTAATAAATAACATCTGCAAGAAAACAAGTCTGTGGCACACCCCTCATTTGAAAAGTTACACAGTGCAATTGTAAAAGTCCTTAAAGAGACGATTTTCATTATTTAACTTAGAGCTACTTTAAGCTAAGGATGAAACAAAGGGTCATGTCTCGTCCTGTAGAAACTGTATAAAATTCCAACTCTATTGTACTGTACTGTACTGTAATGTTGTTGTTATTTAATACATGTATATGAATTGTGTCGTCACAGACGCCCAAAGGAACGGCATATGACTGTGTGAAACTGGCCATAGACGTGGGTTACAGACATTTTGATGGAGCTCTGGTTTATTTCAATGAACACGAGGTGGGACAAGCCATCAGAGACAAGATCGCAGACGGGACAGTGAAGAGAGAGGACATCTTCTACTGCGGAAAGGTGAAAACTACAAATACATGCACAAATACACACATACATGCATACTGTACATACACGCATACATACATACATACATACATACGTACATACATACATACATACATACATACATACATACATACATACATACATACATACATACATACATACATACATACATTACATACATACATACATACATACATTCATACGTACATACATACATACATACATACATACATACATACATACATTCATACGTACATTCATACGTACATACATACATACGTACATTCATACATACATACATGCATATGTACATACATACACGCATTCATACATGCATACATTCATACATGCATACATACATACATGCATACATACATACACACATACATACACACATTCATACATACATACGTACATACATGCATACATACATACATACACACATACATACATACACGCATACATACGTACGTAAATACATATGTACGTACATACATACGTACGTACATACATACATACATGCATACGTACATATATTCATACATACGTACATACATACACACATAAATGCATACATGCACACATACATACATACATACATAGATACATACATTCATACATACATACATACATACATACATACATACATACATACATACATACATACACATTCATACATACATACATACACACACACACATACATTCATACATACATACATACATTCATACATACATACATACACACATTCATACATACATACATACATACACATACATACATACATACATACATACATACATACATACATACATACATACATTACATACATACATACATACATACATACACACATACATACACATACATACATACATACATACATACATACATACATACATACATACATACATACATACATTCATACATACATACATACATACATACATACATACATACATACATACATACATACATACATACACACACACATACATACATACATACATACATACATACATACATACATACATACACATTCATACATACATACATACATACATACATACATCATACATACATACATACATACATACATACATACATACATACATACATACATACATACATACATACACACATACATATACATACATACATACATACATACATACATACATACATACATACATACATACATACATACATACATACACATACATACATACATACATACATACATACATACATACATACATACATACATACATACATACATACATACATACATACATACATACACACATACATACAAGAATGAATTGTTTTAAAAGGTGCTTCATTCCAGCTGCTTTCATACTTATGAATAAATTGTAATCTATGTATCTATTGATTTTACTGCCCTGTCTTGGAAAACGTGTTTTGTTTTTTCCCCAATATATCTAATATTTTTTGTGATTTTTAGCCAAGCATGATGGATGAATGAATTATTTATGGAACAAACCATTCTGCACTGGAGCACTGTAACACTTTATTTTGTAATTCAGTTTTTCTGTGTTTATTGTACATAATGTGGATGAATGAAATGTGAAATGTGGGACCAGCCTCAAATTTACCTACGGGTATGAATAAAGCAACCTAACCTAACATACATACAGGACTGAACTTGAACATTTACATTACACCAGAGTTGCAAGAAAAGAAATGAAGTTGTCTTTATGTACGATTCACTTGTTTATTTATTTTCCTTAAGTTATGGTGCACTTTCCACCCCCCGGAGATGGTCAGACCAGCTTTGGAGAAGACTCTTAAGGCCCTGAAACTGGACTATGTGGATCTGTACATCATTGAACTGCCTATGGCTTTCAAGGTTTGTACAGAGAAGAAACCAAATCGAAATCACAACTCAAATGTTTGTAATTGTCAAATCACAAAGACTGTGTGTGCTTGGGGTTGTCAAATGCTCTCCGCCAACATGTGTTCTTTCTTTTATGGGGAAAATGGCTCATCCTGTAGTGTAGACCTCAATAAACATTCAGTTCACCTTTACAGAACCAACATGAGCAACAGTTAAGGAAGTATAAGTAGAAGAGTTAATGTGTATATTTGTGGTACACTTTGTCCCTAAAGTACAAGGTTCAGATTGATTCAGATTTAGAAACCTCTTCCACGACGGGTGAAGTTGCTAAGGACACAATGACTGCATGCCCCTGCCGACCTTTGGGTGTGTAAAATGGATATGTTAGGTAAATGACAGTATACACATGACTCTTTAACCTCAAGCCATAAATTAAATAAATAGAAAAAAATGCCATAGCAACTGTACATGTTTATGAAAATGTGATTTATTTTCAGCCTGGAAAAATCTTTTATCCCATTGATGAGAAAGGGAAGTACATCTACCACCACACAGACCTGTGCGCCACATGGGAAGTGAGTATGCCAGGTTAATCATTACTACAGAAACACGGTCAAGGCCAAGTGCACAGATAAACACTGAGAGTTATGAATAATAGGCTGGTTGTATTATTAGTTTTATTATCTTTGAATAAACCTGATCTTTTGAATAGTGAAAGTTTTCAGAATGTTGTCTACAGGAAGCTGGAGGAGATTGGAACTCTGTGGGGAAGTTGAATTCATTAATTTCTATTAGACTAAACCTTTTTATATATATTATTATTATTTCTTTTACATCAGGTTGTTACTAGTTGCTTAGTAATTACGGTTTAGGGGTTAGGAGTTAGGATTACTTATAATTGATTACTAACTAAGCCAGAATCATTAATTCTTAATAAACTATTTGTTCATTATGAATTAAGTCTTTGTTCATGCTTTGTTCAGGCTTTCAAAAGTATAGTTATTATAAAGTGTTACTAATGAATAAAGCTAAGTGCTGTATGCTTGTGTGTCAGGCTCTGGAGGCGTGTAAGGACGCAGGGCTGGTCAAGTCTCTGGGAGTGTCCAACTTCAACAAGAGACAATTAGAGCTGCTGCTCAACAAACCAGGGCTCAAGCACAAGCCGGTCTCCAACCAGGTACGATTTGAAGTTAAAGGGCACTGTGCAACATTTCTGGTGGGGCGTCCACCACTTGCTTGTCTCCATAGGGATATTATTGTTTTGCTTGGAATATTTCACTGTGGCACCTGATTTTCCCAGCAGTCTCCCATCCATTATCAGGCCCAGTCTTGCTCATGTTCTGAATTCTGACAAGATCAGGCTTTGACAAGGAGGTGTGGCCACAGCCATGGAGGTAGTTTAAATTAAATGCCATACTAAGGAACATTCCAGGTAAAGCAATAACATTTCATGGAGATAAGAGGGCGGCGACCTTACATGAAAAATTACAAATACACCTTTAAAAAATGACAAACTGAAGTGTAGTTATACATTCTCACGTACATGGTTGTGTTGCTGACAGCCTTTTGGCCATTATAATAAATAATCTGTATTTTTTTTACTATAATGTCATATCTAAATAATTTCCATACACTTCCTCCTTACTCGACTAACATGTTCTTTCCTCGTCTGCAGGTTGAATGTAATCCATATTTCACACAGCCAAAGCTGCTGGAGTTCTGTCGACAGAATGACATCGTGATCGTTGGTTACTGCCCCATCGGCTCCTCCAGAGACGCATCATGGTAAACTCAATATGGGATTTTGAGAATCTATCTATAGCAATGAAGAATTTAATAGTTTGAATGTTCCAGAGTATGGCAATAAACTTATTTATGTATCTCTATGAAAGCAAACATGTGGGACAACCAGGTCAATAAAAGATGTATTCTTGAGCATTAAAAAACCCTCACTGGATAAATGCAAAAAAAAAAACCCAAAAATTGCATTTAATGCCGGAACATAGAACGTGTCAGAGCAATAGTCACTTACTTGAGACAAGCAGGCAGAAATGAAGAGAAAAGTTACACCAGACAGTTTCAGTTTGACAAAAAAATCCATCACTGCAGAATGTTGTGATCATCATAATGCCCAAAGTAAAAGGAGATTTCTAAAAAATTGCACTTTTTTGCCGTAGGGTGAATCTGAAGTCTGCTCCCATGCTGGAGGATGAGGTGCTGGTGTCCATTGGTCAAAAGTACAACAAGAGCAGTGCCCAGGTCGCCCTGCGCTTCAACGTCCAGAGAGGAGTCGTGGTCATCCCCAAAAGCTTCAGTCCAGACAGAATCAGGCACAACTTTCAGGTCTATCAGTGTGCACAGTACTCAGCTCAAAAATATAATAATAATAATAATAATAATAATAATAATAATAATAATAATAATAATAATAATAATAATAATAATAATAATAATGGAACACTTTGAAAACATATCAGATCTCAGTGTGAACAAAATATGCTGGATATATATACAAATGTGGACAGGGCAATGTCTTAGAAACAAAAGGATACAATCCCTAAAACAATGAGACAACCCCTAAAACAGGACTGGTTTTGCATGTGGAGGTCATTTCAAGTTTCTCCCTTTGTGTCCTTTTTGGCTGGTTTTCCACTAGAGTGATTATCACTGCTGGGAGTATGAGGCCGTACCCTTGGGCAGTAGATACACTGTACATACACAGAGGTACTCCCATGACTATGTTGATGACATACAGTAGGTAGAGGGATTCTTTTTTTAGAAGTCAGCACTACTTACAGTATTTATGTACTACAGCACAATCTGCCTTAAATGATGTAAAAGTGTGATAAATATTTAGCACAGGTACTATCCACCCGAAACCAAGTCCAGTTTAGAAAAACATGAAAACCCGTCATATGGACTTTAAGAGAGTAAAAAAGTGTATTGTGGTGGTGACAAGACAGAAGTCTGGTAAAAACACTCACAGTTTGGACCATATTTGACTTAAGACATTCTTTCTCATCTTGATACATGCTCTGTGGAGCAATGACTCAAATAAATTTATAAAGAATAGATAATAGCCTAAATGAAAAAAGAAAAGATATCTGAAGGTGGGATGCAAGGCACCCAAATGTTAAATAATCTAATATAGTCACACAAATCTTTTGTCATCTGTAGAGAGTACTTTACAAGACAAGTACTTATACATTCTGATACTGCTCACCTCTGAACTAAAATACTCACTGTTTAACTTTAATAAATGTAGTCTAGAAATGAAGAAAAAATGTATCCTGTCCCTGCAGATATTTGATTTTTCTCTCAGTGAGGAGGACATGCAGGCCATTGAGGCTCTGAATAAAAACGTGCGCTTTGTGGAGCTTCTCATGTAAGTATCATGAAACTTCTGCTCTGTACACTGGTGCGTGTTACATGTTATATATGCTATATGCAGTGTTGGGGAGTAACAGATTACATGTACCGGCATTATGGAATCAGAGTACAAATTGTGAGCAACTGTATTCAGTTAGTTACTGTTTCAATGAGTGCTAATTGGATTACAGTTACTTTGTCGAAATAAATGGATTACATGGGGATATTTTCAAATTTTGGGCTAAACCAAGACTAAAACCAGGACTAAAACCAGGACTAAAACCAAGACTAAAACAGGACTAAAACCAGGACTAAAACCAGGACTAAAACCAGGACTAAACAATATGACACTTAACAGTAGGTGGACATACTTTAAAGCAGCAGTGATCTCATATAGAAAGGATTTCTCTATCAATAGTTTTAATCTGGTTAAGTAAAGACTGGTCTTTTTATTGTCTTTTAGCAGATAAAATATCTTATGTTAAGATTTCCTAGGCTTTGCTTCTCTACAGCAAAGGGAAAAAAAAGCCTGTTCATGGAGACTTGGGTTCAACAGACAATTTGAAGAGATCAAACAAGAATTTACAGGATGTCGTTGCTACATTTATGTAGTTTTAAAAAACATGACAATATCAAGTAATCCAAAGTATTCAGATTACTATATAATCTACATTTTGGGGTATGTAATCTGTAATCTGTAGGGGAATACATTTTAAAAGTCACCTTCCCAACCCTTTCTATATGTTATATGTTGTATAATGCATGCTATGTATTATATGATGTATGATACATTCTATATGTCCTATGCTGTATTCTGTATTATGGTGTGTTTTGGCTCACACAGGTGGAGTGACCATCCTGAGTACCCTTTTCATGATGAATACTAGGCTTGTGCCACAGAGGAGCAATGAAGGGAAGTGAGGCTATTAAACGTGTTGAAAATCTCATACTAATCGATACTAAAACTAGTATCGAAACTACATAGTAACTTGAGCACATATCAATACTAAAAAAGTCCCACTGACAGGACAGAAAAGATCCTTTCTTGAATGACTTTAGAATGATGCTGAGCTGTATAAGAAAAAGTCTAAGAGCACATAGACTAGTAGACTAGTATACACACATGGAACATACTGCACCACTGAGAGATTACACACATATAAAACATGGGATTAGAAAAGAAAGTACTACCATTTAATGCTGAAAATCACATTGTTGAGTCTGAGTAGTGTTTTTTTTTAAATTGTCATGGCATCGGAATCTGTATTGAGCATCAAGTTACAACTCAACAAATCAAAACACCAGTGTGAGAGTGTGAGGACTTCTTTGAACATGTATGTAGTTGCAGAATACTACACACCTGCAGTAAAATGTATGATGTATTCCCATCACAGTACTGTTCTGAATACTTTAATGTTGAATATATTACTGTGTAAAAATGCAAAAAAAAAAGTATTAAAAGATCGTTATGTCTGTTTCACAGTTTCTTCTGCATCTTTATATAACTAATCAAATTGCACGTGCACAGGACACGGTCTGTTCCAGCAGGAGAGTAACCACACGAGGGCACCAGTCTACAGCTCTTTTTTATTTTCTTCAAAGTGACTTGCATTTGAACAAATCATTACTACACTGAAATATGCTATGAATGAATGAATGAGTTAACCTATAATGACTAGAATCCTTGCAGCTTGATAAACACTTGCTAAAATTGTTATTTCCAATGATGTTCAAAATCACGGATATAAAGTGTAGGTTATTGAATGTTAAGGGCCTATAGAGGCTCTTTTCTGATCTCTGTTCTCACACTGAAAAAACGGTCTGAGAGGAGTTGCTCAAATTGCAAAAACAAATTTGACAACAATAACATCACTTTTTTATGTTTCTCTGTCCAGCATGTTTAAATCTTACAAACATCGCTTGATTGTGGTGGATGTTAGACCTGCATGTTTTAATCAGGTTGAGGAAACATGACTTTATTATAATCTCTAGTGAGGCTCCTCCCTCTGGAATTCTCCTCCCCAAAACTTTTGGAGGGAAAATTCAAACGTAACAGGACACAGGACAGTTAGATGAGCAGAGGACACACAGTGTGGAGCAGGAGGATTATCAGAACTGATCTGGAGGTGAGACTTTTCAAAGATTTTATTATGTGCTTCTCCGGCCTAGAATGTCGTCATTGTTAAAACATGTTTGTGTTGTTTTATTTGAAATTAGAGTTAATGTAAGGACAGCTTGAAACAAATTGTCTTTGACTGTCCATCTACAAGAGTGTGACAGTTGTACTAAGATTTGAATGTGTTGCTTCCAGAGTCGTCTACAAACACAGAGTGACGTCCAGAGCTCTGCTGGAGCTGTGGGGAAGTTCATGAATGTTATAGTTGATGTTTCAGAAAAAAGGAAGATGTTTGCGAACCAACAAAACACAGAGCACAGATGAACAAAGTAAGTAAACCAACTAAAATTATTTTAAATTTTTTTCAAAATGAACTTCCTATTGAAACAGCTGTCGTGTTTCTACAAGGTGATGTGGCATTAGGAGACTTTATACCAGATGCCCTCCCTGTTACTGTGTTTAGAGGAAGAAAAGCAGCACATGGTGAGTTTTGTTTCTGCAGATACACTTCTAATGTTCTTGTGATTCTGTTCTGGTCCATTATTGTAGTAATAAGTACTTTAAGTGTATTTAAACATGTACAACAGAGTAGATCATCAGAATGTGATCATCATGCGTTCTTCTGTGTCCACAGAGACCAGAGCTTCTTCACTGGAATAAATCTTCACACTGTCCAGCTCCAAACTGTGTGTCTCTGTACTTGTGCTCTCTTTGTGTTTGATTCTGTTTAAGACAATACAGAACTGTACTGCATATTCAGCATGATTTGTTCAAATTTCATCAACATGAAAAAGTGATGTTCATGTTCCGAGAAAAATATGTGTAGAGGGGTTCGAAAAAAGTTTCAAAGCCTAAACATAATTTTATTGCGTGCAACCGCTGTCCATAACTTTTTTACGCAAATCCAGCAACTTTTTTTTTTCAGTGCATGTTGTATTCTCATCACAAACACACCTAGAGTTGTGTTTTGTCTCATTCACACAGGTTTAACACACTAACACACAAACCCTTCTGTTCACCTAGTGATGTCATTTGGTAATACAGGAAGTGCTCCACTGTGTTTTTAAACTCCATATACCTTCACTAGAATCATTTGGCCCTAGAATTGCCGATCTCTTCTGAACTGAAGGTAAAAGGAGCTGTTCACTTGAAAATAACAAGTTGGAACAGAGGATTTTTGAGCAAACTAATAATGCAGGATTACTCGTACGTTTGCATGAAACAAAACTAAAAACTTCCAGGTGTGTTTTTGATGAAGTAGCAACATTATAATGTGACTTAAAGCTCTCAAGAATCCATTTTGTTTAACACAGGACCTTTAAAGCCCATCTTTTTGTTTTAAACTGTACTCTGCTGTGCACCGTGCACCTTAAGAGGGTTTGTGGGTTACATAAAGGAGGACTGGGTCTTGTTTGTGAGGACGGCTGCAGATCTCTGGCTGCACTCACGTATTATAATTGCATATTGATATTTTACAACAGACGTCACCAACGTTCCCTGATGCCAACTGAAGGCACTGCTTTCTCTGAAGCTCTGTTACTCCAGTTAGTAATTAGTAATTCATCTGAGCTTTGTTTTAACACAATCTGACAACAAATGTCTGACCAACTAGCTAGCTCGCATTAGCCAACAGTCTCTCTCACAGTCAAACTCCAAACCATGGACACTCAGAATAGTCACAGGATCTTGAAAATGTGTTGTTTAAATACATTTAGTTTTTCTTGGATCTTCAAACTTAGACCTTTAAACTTATTTGGCAGTGTTTCCTGAACTGGTGAAATTTCCACCATAGACATACATGCAGTTGTAGCACTTGTGGTCGGCTAAAGAGGCTTCAGAGAGTGTATATTTACTTCTTATATATATATATATATATATATATATATATATATATATATATATATATATATATATATATATATATATATATATATATATATATATATATATATATATATATATATATACACACACACAATTTCCTTTATGCAAATCTGGTATAAAATAATTAAAAAATTAAATGAGGTGGGTGGTGCTTTCTACTTCATTATCATAACTGTGCCTGCTTAATACTACCACACAGTACATCCCCAGTGTGATGTCACTGCAAAGTATCACACCATATCTTTATGTGTATGTGTATGAGGAAGTGCAGGAGCCTCCATTCCTGCACCACCAGACTCACTAACAGCTTCGTCCTCCAGGCTGTTAGGATGCTGAACTCTCTCCTCTCTAACCACGAGGCAAACAGAAAGCCATGAATCTGTGTCTCCCCAAGAACAAAACTGCCAAAGAACATTTGGACTCAGACCTCCCTGACCCCCCCAAAAAAGACTGTCTTGTGCCTTGCACTATATGCCTTTTGCACTATTTACCATGTATTATTTATTTTTTACGCATGGGAGTGACAAATACAATTTCAATTCTTCAGACGATCTTTGTATGAAAAACTGACAACAATATTTGAATGTGAACTTGAACTACACCTGCACACACATTCTCAGTTTATGTTCAGGTTTCATGTGAAGCTCAGATCCTCCAGACCTCCTCCCTGAGCTGCAGAGGCTGCACTAGCCCTGACTCATGACTGTGCAGGTTCTGGAAAACATTCAGATCACAGAGAGGTGATAAGCGTTCAGACTGTCCTCTTTAAATATAAATGCTCGTGGACATGTTTCAGATGTGCACCCTGAACTTTCACTTGATCTACTTGTCATAGACAAAAAGGATTTCTTCAGCTCTGTCTTTTTATGCAAGCTGCAAATTAACAAATCTCAGTAATGAATTTCTAGGAATTTGAAAATACTTTCTTAGATTTGTGAAAAGTTTAGATGATATACCAGCAGGAATCTGTTTTTTCACTGCAATATTTGCCTTTAGTCTGATTTTAGTGACAAAGTTTAATGTACTTTACCCTTTACCTATTTTGGCCAGTGTTCAGAAGTCCAAATGTTTCATCAGAGTTCTATAGCAATGCCCATTTTCTCTTGTGAATGTCGCTCAGTTGTACACTTCTCTGTCAATAATGTATTTATTTTAGGAAAACTAAAATTCCGTTTAGGATTTTATGTGAGCTGTTTTGCAGATTTGTCTATTTTCAGTGCATAATGATTGAAAAAAAAAAAAAGTCATACTGTGGAACACTCCAGTAAAAGAAATGTCATCTTCATAAATGTAAAATTGCATAATGTAGTTGTGATTGGTGAAGTTCTGCTAAAGTATTTGAGTCTGGACATAAATGTGTGACAATCCACAGAGCTAACCAGGCTTCCCCTCTGACCTCTCTGACCCCTCTGACCCTCTGACCCCTGTGACCCTCTGACCCCTCCTCTCCTCAAAACGTGCTAGATCGACCTCTCTGAGAAAAAGGAATGTGTAACATGAGTTAAAGAGTCCACTATCTGCACGTCACCATGGAGATGTTATTTCTTTGACTAAAATGCCCCAAAGTATGGCATTAAACATATCTCCAAGACCAGCAGGAGATGCCACCAGACCAAGTTACTGGCTAGATCTGCGCAGAGGCAAGCCTGCTCACTACAAGAACGCATATTTTACAAAGTATTGTGTCGAGCAATATAAATGTGTAAGCACAACGAGAGAATGATCATTTTAATGCTTTACAGAGCAGAGGACCATTCCAGGCAAAGCTACAACATCTCTATGGTAATGAACACCACACTTTGAAGTTCACTCTGTGGTGGTGCCAACATACTTCTGTGATCATGAAGGGATTGCTTGTTCTTTTAAGTATTCGAATGGTTAAATTATGTATCGCTGTTGGTCATGCATGATGTCTGACATTAGGTGCACAGGAAAACAATTAGATGATGATGTGATTAGGTTCATGCTCTTGAAGCTTGGTACTTTTCTTTACTTAAAAAATATTGACATAATGTTATATCTGTTATGTGGTTTGATTTGGCCCTGCTTTAATCCTAGTGTGGTCCTGGTTTGATTCTGCTTTAGTCCTGCAGTGGTTTAGTGGTCCTGGTGTGGTCCTGGTTTGGTTCTTCTTTCTCTGTGTTTGTATCTCTCTGTCTATTTCTCTCTTTGTCTGTCTCTCCATCTCTCTACCTTTCTCTCTCCCTGTCTGCTCCCTCACTCTCTCTCTTTCTCTGTCTCTCTCTCTCTCGGTGGAGACAGACGACCACCTTGAGCCGGGGTCTGTCCGATGTATAAAATCAACAAAATTACCCAAATTAATAATAACATTTAAAGTGCATATGGCAGATTTTTATACTTGTCTAATTTTTACTTAATTTGGCAAGATAATAATGTGTTACAAATTAAAATTATAGTTTAACATCAATCAAGAAGCAATTTTCATGTATTTGTGTTTGGCAGATCATTTGTGTTTACATTACAGGAGTTTTGCTCGACAACCGTTGTGCAATTCCCTTGTGTGATGTCAAAATTTCCAACCAGGAAGTAAAATTTTAAACCTAAAAAATGTCCAAATTGGGAAAGAGTGTAAAAAAAAATCTGACTTATCTTAATCTTAATGTTTTACTAAACAGTAGTCCAACCTGTCATAGGCACTTTAAATAACAATAAAACACACAATCTGGATATATTAAATAATTTAGCTTTTATTATAATTTTGTAGTACCTCAAATTATTATTATTATTATTATTATTATTATTATTATTTAATTATACTGCATACATACTGTTATTATAGTTTAATACGTCATTAAAAACAAATTGTTTATTATTAAGTTATTATTATTATTATTATTATTACTTAATTAATTTAATTAATTATACAGCATACATACTATGTTATAGTTTAATACGTCATTAAAAACATAATTATTATATATTAAAATTATGAGCACTTGCCTAGTTTAATAAAAAACAAAACTTAACTGAAATGTTTGAATCTGTCTCTTATTAATGCACATTTCATATATTTAATATTGAATAATAAAAAATAAATCTTAATGTTCAAAGAGCAGATACTGTGTTGTCTGTGAATGATTTCACATAATTAAATTACATTATTTCAAAAACAATGCAGATGACGGTGTCTTTTTCCAGTTGTAGGCAATTTTATATTTGTTATTTTCTTTTATATCTCATGTCGGGAGAATAATTTCCAAGACACAAATGTGTTTTTCCCTGTGCACTGCTGCCTCTGTTCTACTGGCTCTTCCACCTCGTCCATTGTGCGACTGACGCCGTCAATGTGAACATGACGTTTACATCGTTCTTACTGCGTGCGTTCTGTGTGGGTTTCCGGCAATGAGTGGAATTACCGAAATAAAAAATAATTAAATGTGTTTTCTGTGTTGTTGTCTTAACAACACATAAAAACAGGTTTATAATAAAGCAACTCACATAGAGAAACAGTAAAATTAGAGACTAAAAATGAGATTAACTTGATTAAAAAACATAACACGCTAAATATGACGCAATTAACGTGATAATGTGACACCCCTAATTGTAATAAATGTTACTGCCAATATATTATTTTTATACCACTTGAAATTGAATTTAATGCTTTTTAATAAGACCTTAATTTCAACAAAATCCATTTAATGACTAATAATGCTTTTTAATGCCCCTGGAAACCCTGCTTATGGATATTTCATATAAGCTTTTTTCATATATGAAAATGCAATGTAATTAATAGAAAATATATGGAGTAAGAAAGCTGTCAAAAATATTCGTGCTCATAAAATAGAAATTCGTGCGTATTTGGGAAATCTGTGCATATTTGGCTGTAGTTGCACATAAAATAAATATTTGTAAACTCTCAAATGAGTCCAGTCGTACATAAAATATATTGTGTGTATTTTATCCATCAGAATATGAATTGAAAAATTACGACGTCATGAATTACAATCACGAAATGAAAATTTACGATTACGCTTTCATCAGTACGAATACGAATTCACAGACGGAACTTTACTGTCAAAAATACGTCATCACTTCACAGACATTATCCATCGAGCAGAAGAAACAGAGAAAGATCGATGTTTCTTCTGCTCGATGGATAATGTCTGTGAAGTGATGACGCCCACCATCTTGGATTTAAAAAAAAATCAGCACATACAGAAATTGAGAAAAACTGTACGGTTCGGTTAAGATTAGGTTAAGGTTAGGATTAGGTTAGGGGTAAGGTTCGGCCTAAGGTTAGGGCTACAGTTAGGAGTTCAGGTGGGTTTAGGGGTTAGGTTAATTTAGGAGTTAGATCAAGGGGTAAGATGCATTCGTGGGGCACGGCATGTGCAGGGCTCAGCGTAGGCTCAAGCGAGGGCCGATCATCGCCGCTTGCGGCTATATTTATGATTATGATTATTATTATAGTCCCTACAGTGTGCTCTGGGCCTCCTTCAGATGCCTGAGCCACTTCAGCTGCTCCTCTCGACATGGAGGAGCAGCGCCTCTACTCCGAGCTCCTCCCATGTGACTGAGCTCCTCACCCTATCTCTAAGGGAGCGCCCAGCCATCCTACGGAGGAAACTCATTTCGGCAGCTTGTATCTTCGATCTCGTCCTTTCGGTCATTACCCAGAGCCCATGACCATAGGTGAGGGCAGGAACGGACATTGACGGTAAATCAAGAGTTTTGCCTTTCTCCACAACGGTCCGATACAGCGACCGCATCACTGCCGACGCTGCACCGATCCACCTGTCAATCTCACGCTCCATCCTCCCCTCACTCGTGACCAAGACCCCGAGATACTGGAACTCCTCCAGTTGAGGCACTGACTCCCCACCCACCCGCAGAGGGCAATCTAGAATTAAGTAAAAAATGATAAAGATCCATTGGGCATACAGTATGTATAAACTAAAGACAGTACAACTTATTTCCCTAACTGAATAAGGATGATGATGTTTTTGCAGTGCTGAGCAGAGGAGGGAGAGGGGGCTGTGAACTCTCCGCCCATTCAACTGTGATGTAGTCAGAAATGAACCAGACTCAGCCCCTCTCTGCTCCTATCTGCTCCTGTTTGCTCTGCCCCTGTCTGCTTCTGTCTCCTCTGCCCCTGTTCACCCCTGTCTGTCCCTGTCTGCTCCTCTGCTCGCTTTGGAAAACTGGTGGAAGAAATGAAAGGTGAGTGTCTTTGAAATGTTAAGTGTTTTACTAATTTGAGAAATGTAAGTAATTGTAATGGAACTGAAATTACAATTTTAACTGACAGCAATTTGCTCATCATAAAGACTGTAATTATTTAGGCAACACAGTGTCACTACAAACTGGAAAAAAAAAAAATAAGAATTTATCAGTGTCTTTGTAGTAAATCTTTATATAAGGTTAATATGTGTCATGTGTGGTTTACTCCTGAAAGTGTTTCCCCCTTTTACATTTTTCACATACAACTATATTATGAAAAACTAGTAAAGATAAAGTGAACATTTTGCATGACATTTACAGGTAATGTGCATGATAAACTACATTTTCTTTGTATGTTCCATGTAATGTTTGTATTCTTTAATTATATGTTGTAGTTAAAAAAACAAAACAAAATCTGCGGCAGAAGGGGGATTTGAACCCAGGTTTCCCATGTGATAGTCCAGTGATTTACCAGTTGAGCAAACCAACTACTACTTGTGGAGAGAAATATAGCAGATGTTGAGGACAATTACAAGTACTGTGATATCACGCAAGCAAATGACAACCTCGAAGAGGCAACAAGGAAAGGAGCTACAGGATTCTGCAGAGTAAAAATCTTTTCACATCATGTTTGTTCACTGTGAGATCAGTGGAAGAGTGTGTGTCTTATGTTTTTTAGGGTTGTAATGCAATATTTGCATTACTGTGTTTACCCCCATGCTGCCCAACACACACACACACACACACACACACTGTGATAATTTTTTTCTCGCTCTCATACACACACAACACACGACCTTTGTCCAACACTTGTGAGGAGATTGTGTGTGGGATTAGTGTCATATTCAGCTCTTGCAGGTTACAAAGTTTTATATGTTTCATAGATAAAACATGTTCAAATGGTGTATGATTTGTCTGTACCTTTTCCATATGAGATTCTTTGCATAGAAAGAAACTGTGAGCCCTGTGACTTAGACCTGCATGTTCTAAAATGCACAAGATTCTTGTATGCATTCTTGTTCATATCTCAGTCTTATCTTAAACATTAAATGCTTCTGTAATCTACAAAAATCCAAATTTATTTAATTTTATTAATTTTGACATAGATAACAATGACTATTTTCTGTCATTTGATACTGGAAACTGTTTTTGATAGTTTTTGTTGTGTGCTGTAGAAATGCAAAATATTCGAGTCAAATTTGTTACTAAAATGAATTCTGTCTCATTTAAGTCCAAGGTAAATCCAGAGTTTGTATATTACATGTTCACTGAAACATGTATTTTGGGTTGTATTCCTGGTTTTGAAATATTTCTATAATTATTGAATAAAGTCTATTTGTTGAGTAAAACTGCAACTTAAAGCTGCACTGTGGAACTTTTATAGTGAGGGTACTCCTTGGATTTGGATGAGACATAAGTTTGGACCTATTCAACACCGTTTAGAGTGAACTTGTTTGTAATTATTTTCATTTTAAGATCAGGTAGAGTGGTGTCAAGACAAATGTATGCTTCACACTCTGACGTGTGTCTCTGTCCTTATCATTTTAGTGACTGAAGATGCAACTGTAATATTTTTTGTCTTATTCTGATGAAAGTTACAGCTTTGGGAAAGGTTGGCAAAGAAAAATTATTTACAGTTATGGCCATCCAAGAGATAACATTTTTGAAATAAGCTTATTGCTATGACAACAGTTAAGAACTTGTTTGAAAGCCATGGATAGTTCTGAATACACAACCAGCTTCAGAAACATTGCACCATATTTCTCTTGTGTTCTTCCTCCATAGAGCGAGCCACAGCCAGAGATCCTGCCTCCAAAGGAGCTCAGGTGAACGGGCACGGAGGGGCCCTGAGCATGCCTGCTTCAGAGGAGCAGATGGATGAGAGGGGCCAGTGGGGAAACAAACTGGAGTTCGTTCTGTCTGTGGCCGGAGAGATCATCGGCCTGGGCAACGTGTGGCGCTTTCCATATCTCTGCTACAAGAACGGAGGCGGTGAGAGACGAGAAGCACAAATGATATAATGTTATGGAACGTACTGTGCTAAATCGACTTCTCTGAGCTTTTTATCATGTTACAACTACTCAGATTTTCATTTCTTTTGATTCATGCAGGTTTGACTAATCATGTATTGTCTTGATACTTGAGGCCAGAGAATGTCTTCTTCACCCCTATCCCTGCCCAAAGCTCTGTACTTACTTTTCAGTTATTCCAAAAAAATAAATAAATAAATAAATAAAATATATATGAGTTATACATGTGGGGTTCAGAACTGTCATCGAGACATTTTTCCTCAATATGAACATTTGAACATCACTGTTTTATACACAGGGATGGGAATAATATTTTTATTATTTAGTTACAGACTACTGAATACCTGCATTAAAATGTATTTTGTAACATATTCCAAATACATAATCCAATCAGAGTACTGTGTTCTGAATACTAGAATACTTTCATGCAGAGCTGCACATACATGATGGTGCAAAGACACAACACAGGATTAAAAACAGTTTTTTATTTGTTTCACAGTTTGTTCTTGATTTATTTATCACTGATCAGAGGACAAATCACAGTGCCTCACCACAAGAGCAGTGCTCAATATATTTTCTCACAAATTCTGGTCAGTTTGAAGCCTAAAGTAACTTTTCTAAATACCACCAAATGAAAAAGTAACTATACCTGAATACAATCACTGAGAACATATATTCTCAGTACATGAATTCAGTTACTTCCCAACATGTTTATACATGAAGTCAGTGAACTTGCCTGGATAATCAACAACTGAAATATGTGTTGACTGTTTTAATAATCATTATGTGGGTATGTTTTGTCATGACAACAAAGGTAACAGCTAGCATGTTTACATGCACTTCCTGATTATAAGACAACACAAGATGTTTTCTCACTGATGTACTGTTTACTACACTACACTATTTTGAAATGATGGTGCTCTTATTTCAGTTTCAGTTTATTTTAGTCATACACAATGAATAACATTTTACTGTCTTTTATACACGTCCAAAACCCTACACTGTCATTTGATTGATTGCATTTATATAGCGCCTTTCAAGATCCCCAAAGCACTTTACAGTTCATTATTCAGTCACTCCACACTCAGTGGTGGTAAGCTACTACTGTAGCCACAGCTGCCCTGGGGCAGACTGATGGAAGCAAGACTGCCAATCTGCACCATCAGCCCCTCTGACCACCACCTTCATACTAGGCAATGTGGGTGAAGTGTCTTGGCTAAGGACACAACAACAGTTTTTTGCCCCTGGTGCCCCACTGTGGCACCTGTGACCACTAGCCGTCTCCCATCCAAGTACTACCCAGGCCCAGCCTGTTTAGCTTCTGAGATCTGACGGGATCAGGCTTTTACAAGCCAGTATGGCCACAATCATTTCCCAACTTTTGGAGTATTTTAGTTGTAGAATAGTATACTGATGTTTAATTATTATACTCATTTATTTTCACTATACTTTGTGTATTTTAGTACACTACTTTTTATTTTATTTTATTATTTTTTCTTACAGGAGCCTTCTTCATCCCATACCTAATCTTCTTGTTTGCCTGTGGGATTCCTGTGTTCTTCTTGGAGACAGCTCTGGGACAATACACCAGTGAAGGAGGCATCACCTGCTGGAGGAAGATCTGCCCTCTATTTGAAGGTCAAAGTTTTAAACCTAATCTAAAGCCCAGTACATAAGGCCAGTCTTATTCTTCATTATTTCTATCCTTCTTTGTGCACTGTAACAGTGTTCTTCACCTGTGTGCTGTGGGGTTCCCCAAGGGTCCATTTTGGCCCCTATCTTTTTCACTGTATACACTGTCATTAGGTGTAATTTCTAAAGAAGAATGATGAAAGTTGTTGAAACTAGTGTGAAATCACTGGCGACCTTATCCACCTTGAATGAGGGAATACTGACTTTTTGTCAGTATGAAAACGTGTCTCCCACAAAATGGCAGTGAAAGAGCCATTCATCGTTTGACCCATGTCTGTGATCAGACAGAACTCTCTCCTGTGACTGCAGGGTCCAGAATGCTGTGTCTTGTTACTGATGAGCATGAGACAGTAGGTCTGATGTCTCCTCTGTGCACTGCCACTTAGGTTTAAGAGACATTTTGATTGTTTTGTAGTGTTTGAAGTGATTGGCCCCATCACAGGAGACCCAGCCTTTTCATTGTTGGCCCCTAAACTGTGGAATGGCCCCTTCATGTTCTCTCTGCTCAGTCTGGAGGAGTTTAGAACTAATCCAAAGACACTCTTTGCTTTGGCTTTTAATTCATTAAAATTGGTTGCATAAATTGAATGTGAACTAATGTCTCTATTTAGAGGTTGTTGTATTGTCTGGAATGTTCCTGAATGTGGCATTAAACTGTGCTATCTTAAATTAATTCAATTACAGGTGTTTTATTGCAACAAAAGCAACATTTCCATTAGACAAGCAGGTTGTGATGTCAACACCAGAAAATGTATGTGTGATTAATTTGATACGGACAACCTCCATCAGACGAGTTTCATTTTAGGGTTTCACCACATGTCTTAAAGATCATTAAACTTGGGTCTATCTATCTCATCTTTGAATAATCCTCTTGACTTCTTATCTGTCCCCGTGTCCTGTAGGAGTGGGCTACGCGACACAGGTGATCGTGGCTCTGCTCAATGTGTATTACATCATCGTGTTGGCGTGGGCCATCTTCTACCTGTCCCACTCCTTCACCTGGGACCTGCCCTGGGCCTCCTGCAACAACACCTGGAACACAGGTACGATTAACTCCAACCGCCATTTACACACTTCCAACCTCACAGACATGACGATACAGCACAAGAGCCTCTGCCAATCCTGCCTCTGACCACAAGTAGTCAGCCTAGAGACAATTATACCTGCTACTACTACTACTACTACTACTACTACTACTACTACTACTACTACTACTAACTACGTACTACTGCTACTACTACTACTACTACTACTACTACTACTACTACTACTACTACTACTACTACTACTACTACTACTACTACTACTACTACTACTACTACTACTACTACTACTACTACTACTACTACTACTACTACTACTACTACTACTACTACTACTACTACTACTACTACTACTACTACTACTACTACTACTACTGTACTACTGCTACTACTACTACTACTACTACTACTACTACTACTACTACTACTACTACTACTACTACTACTACTACTGCTACTACTGCTACTACTACTACTACTACTACTACTACTACTACTACTACTACTACTACTACTACTAACTACGTACTACTGCTACTACTACTACTACTACTACTACTACTACTACTGTACTACTAAGCTACTACTACTACTACTACTACTACTACTACTACTACTAGTACTACTACTACTACTACTACTACTACTACTACTACTACTACTACTACTACTACTACTACTACTACTACTACTACTACTACTACTACTACTACTACTACTACTACTACTACTACTACTACTACTACTACTACTACTACTACTACTACTACTACTACTACTACTACTACTACTACTACTACTACTACTACTACTACTACTACTACTACTACTACTACTACTATGAACTACTACTAATACTGCTGCTGCTACTACTACTACTACTACTACTACTACTACTACTACTACTACTACTACTACTACTACTAGTAACTATTACTACCTACTACCTACTACTACTACTACTACTACGAACTACTACTACTACTACTACTACTACTAACTACTACTACTACTGCTGCTGCTACTACTACTACCACTACTACTACTACCACTACTACTAACTACTACTACTACTACTACTACTACTACTAACTACTACTACTACTACTAGGCTTGTAACAGTAACACATTTTAAAGAAAAATATACTGATTCTGAAAATGTCACAGGATACAATATAATAATATTAAAATGAATTAATACCAGTGATTAAAGCCTTAAAGCTGCATAATCCCACTAAACAGTTTTCTAAGTGAATCATATTAAACATAATTATAAATAGTGGAATGTTCTATGTGTTATGTAAGTGAATTAGTGCAAAGAGAAGATACTCGGCATAAATATTGAACCTGAAAAAATATTGTTCATTTGTATATATTCAAGTGGATATAGAAATGATCCTATATGTTAATGTTGACTGTCTGTTTATCTAATGTATTTATCAATGATCTGCCTGATGTGGGCTCTGCAGCATCATGTCAGTCATACCCTGATGGCACATAGTCTATATCCATGCAAAAACAAAGAGACGTTTCCTGTTGTTTTTTATTACTGAATAAATTTAGAAGATTTTTTTTCTTAACTAGTCTAGCAACTTCATTTTTCTTTTTTGTTTCCTCTTAGTTTACAATGAAGTGAATCCCGATTTTCTGACCCTGATTCTGATTTCCTTCCCCAGTCATCCTGTCATTCTTCTGGGAAAGCTCCATCTTTCCTTCCTCATTCCTTCTCTCTCCTTTCACACACTTTGTCCCACTGGCCTCTGTGGAACTTGGAAACCTTGGACAACACTTGGATTTCTATGCTTCTTTCTTAGCGCTTTTTGTTCTCTCTTCATTCAAGATTCCTGCATGGAGTTTCAGAGGGGGAACCGCTCCACAGGTTACCATGACAACGCCACCTCTCCTGTGATTGAGTTCTGGGAGTAAGTGTCTTTATTTGTCACATCGTGTCCTCACATGACCCGGTCTCACACGCTTGTGGGGCACTGTATGTGTGAAAATGTGTATTTACTTTTTGTGCCAACTGAGGTCACTCTCACCTTTGTGTTGAAAATCAAACTTCTAAAAGGGGCCATGAACGCTCATACTGATCACAGACTCCTGAAAAAGCGTTGTTTAAATCCATTTTGCATATTTCCTACAATCTTTCAGACAATCTTAAACTTTTTTAGCAGTGTTTTTCTGGTGTGTGCATGTGTCTCTGAGGTAACTGACAGTTTACAGTCGACTGTCTCTATCCTTTCTGTCATGTAGAAATGAAGGGAGGACCCAAAATGCAGGACTGCTTTAAAGTAATTAATAACAAATCCATAAAAATCCAAAACTCCAAACTAAACTGCCATGACACGAGACAAGATGAAACTCTGACAGTGATAATGGACCAACAAAGGGCAGAGAACACAGGGTATAAATGCACACAGACACAGGTGAAACACTTTAGGGCGGGGCAAACAATCAAGACAGGAAGTAAAACTCAAAACTGCAAGCTGACAGGACAAATGTCAAAATAAAACACCAAAATGAGCAAATACAAGCACTACAAACATGAACCATGACACTTTCTGTTTAACTCATGTGTCAAATCATTTGTTGTTAGATTTTAGGTGCTCACAGATAGTAGGTTTCTGCTGTTATCTTTGAGTTTCTATATTGAAAGTGACAGAGTAATAAACCTGTAGTGTTGTATAACCGTAGACAGTATTGTAAAAACAAACTGAATTCACTGATGTTGTGTTTGAACGAGCTGTGTCCAGTGTTCTGAGCCTGAGAACTGTGACAACTGATGAGAACTGTTCCAAAAGATATGAACACCTGTACCTCTGTTCAGATAAAGGTTTGAATCAAGAGATCAAACTAATCCAAGTTTCAAATATGTGCTTAAAATAAAATAATAATAATAATAATAAAAACAAAAATTAAAATCAGTTTGACATAATATGGAATCTGCCCTCCCTCCAGCTCAGTTTTAAACAATGGGCAGTTTAAAAGTCTGTTACTGAGTCCTTTCTTTGTGTGTATTGTGTTGTATTGTATGTTGTGTGTACGTGTATACATATTGGTGTGTGCTCTTAGGAGGAGGGTGCTGCGTCTCTCCTCTGGTCTGCACCACATCGGCGCTCTGAACTGGGACCTGGTGCTGTGTTTACTGTTGGCTTGGATCATCTGTTACTTCTGCATCTGGAAAGGAGTCAAGTCCACTGGGAAGGTCAGGCCTCACCTATCACAACACACCACTCCACTTATGGTTAAAGAGGCACTACGTGACTTTTCAGCACCTCGTCTCCGTGGAGATCTGACTTTACCTGTGATGTTACACAGTGTGGCATTAAAGTTATAAATCTCCAAGTAGCCAAACCAAGTCACAGGTCACATCTGTGGAGAAGCTACACACAGTGGTAGAGTCTTGCCTCACAGTTAGAAGGTTTCTGTGTGGAGTTTGCATGTTCTTCTTGTGCCTGTTTGGGTTTTCTTTGCACATCATTAAATGTATCTATATATACATTTATTTAATTATGGATGTTGTTTTATTTCTCAAAATATCCTGAAGAACATGCATTCCTACTTTGGGCAGGATCGCCTCTTCACAGCTGTGACCTGTAACTTCTTCTGGAGGAATCAACTACTAGTTTCCATGGAGATAGATTGACATTTAAGATCATATGTGGAACATTCCTGACAGCGCAGTAACATGTCCAGATGCAGCTTCATAGTGCGTATTTAAAGTATATTTGTGTACTTCCTGTGCAGGTGGTGTACTTCACTGCCACCTTCCCGTACCTGATGTTGATAGTTTTGCTGATCCGAGGCATCACGCTGCCTGGGGCCTTGAGGGGGATCCAGTATTACCTGTATCCAGACATCTCCAGGCTGTCAGACCCTCAGGTACATCAGGCTCTACATGTGACTAACAGAGACTTTATAATGTGATGGGAATGTTTAGAAACACACACATAATAATGACACCTAATTAACCTGAAGCATAAAGCATGAAGGAGGCTTCATTCATACTCAACAAATGGTTTATTAAGAATGAATCAGGCCTAGTAACTATTTACATTTAATCACTTTGACACATTTATCTGTTGAAAATTGACATTTGACACTCGACAATTGACACTTAAACTACATTTCATCAAAATGCAGTTTTACTTTCACTGATCAATCATCTCCCAGAAGTGACATCCAAACTGTCAGCCTGTGCTCATGTGTTTTCTGTGCTCTTTCAGTCAGAGCAGCACAGAGCCTCAGTGGTGCTCTCAGGGGCCACACACAAGCTCTGGTTTGGTGCAGTCTGATTCTGCATTTCACACTTGACATTATGTAAATACTGGAAAAACTTAGCTTTTTGCAATATTTGATTGAAAATATGTATTTTACCTGTAATTTGGCCTGTATATACATCAAAAGATGCTGGAATAACAAATACATCAACACTGTTTTTGTACTCTAATATAATAATATGTATAATATATTATATTATGTATATTGTAATATGGAAAATCAAAGAAGACATTTCCACATCTCACAGTGTGTATGTGAGTGTGAGTGTACTCTGTGCTCACACTCTTCCTCTTTGATTCAGGTGTGAAATCTTTTGGTGTTAGATTTTTGGTGTACATGTACATACCCCCCTGATACGCACATGCACGTGTATACATACTCTTCCAATTCACCTGCATCCTGAATCATTATCAATAAACTATTAATTATAACTACTAAGTATCTGTTTGTTAACAGTGAAGTCTTTCTTCATGCTTTATTAAAGTGAATTCAAGTCTAAACAAACATCTGAAACTGTTGTCACAAGTCAAATGAATGTGAGTTTCATGTACAAATACAGGTTTATTTCAGTTTGTTTGATTTCTGAAAATTACTTTTAAGTATAATAAGAAGTTAAGCAAAGGTATTTTTGGGGAAGATAGACTAAATTGTATAATTTTGTCTAGACATTCCTTGATGTAAATACGTCATTGATGTGGATACATGTGCAGAACAGTGTGCACCAATGTGAGAAAGTTCTGTACTTCAGACTGATTTCTCAGTGTGTGGATGGAGATTTTTTTTCCCCTTGTACAAAATGTAAACTCATTATCATGTGTGCTAGTTAGTCATTCTCACTGAATACCAAGGCCAAAGCAGCAGTGTACTTTCACTCAGGACAAGCTGAGTCCATGTTGTGAAGTTGTCTCCTGAATACCTTCATTTGGTTCCAGATCTTGAGTTGTTGTTAGTTCTTGTCTGATTCTCAGACTCTGCTCTAAACTCCTTCACCCCGGGTTCAGAAACTCTCCATCACTAAACACAAAGTTCATTTGAATGTTGAAGGGCCTGTTCGTTTTCACAGTGGATAAAGCAAAGTGGAGCTTTATTGGCCTGAATTGTCTGTGACAGTGAATGAGGGTCTGCACTGAGTCAGGTCAGGTCCACCAGGCTCAGGGACCAGGCTGAGGATTGTTACACACACCAAAAATACACAATGCACAAAAGAAATTTGACCATCAAACACCTGGTGGCATGTCACTGTTGAATAACTGTTGTATTTGGAAGGTCAAATTAAAACTCTTTAAATGTTTTACATTACATTACATACATTTTTTGCCCACAGCAAAAAAAGAAAAATCTTTTATGAGCCATAGTGGATCGTCTCTGTCGTCTCAGGGTAACAAATCATTTTACAGATTTAATAAACAAACAGACGTGGACTTGTGTTTTGTTTCATTCGCATGTTTAACACACAAACCTGCAGAATTACGCTGAGTTCTTCTTTCAAAAAGAAAACACTCTGTTCCACCTTGTGATGTCATGTGGTAATACAGGAAGTGCTCCACTCTGTTTTTAAACTCCATCCACCTTCTGTAGAATCATTTGAATGATTTCAGCTCTGGAATTGACAATCTCTACTGAACTAAAGGTAAAAGGAGCTGTTCACTTGAAAACTACCACTTCATGACATCACAAGGTGCAACAGAGCATTTTGAGCTTTGAAGATGACAGACGAATAATAAAGTGTTACTCAAAACATTTACAAAACAAAACATATTTTTCCAGTCTTGGTCTCTCTACAGACCGTTTAACTCTGCTCTCCAGGTGTGGATGGACGCTGGCACTCAGATCTTCTTTTCCTATGCCATCTGCCTGGGCTGCCTCACCGCCCTGGGGAGCTACAACAAATACAACAACAACTGCTACAGGTCAGAATGACTCTGACTCAGGACTGACTCTAACCTCCAGCTAAACCCTGCAGACTTCTATTTCACCTGCTGCCTCCATGGTGTTATTGCTTTGCTTAGACTGTTCCATAATACAGCATTATACGTCCAGACCTTAACAGACTGTACATCTAAGCCCAATTCACATGCATTAGTCATTTTATAATCAACAGGCTAAAATTTAAAGAGACAAAACAGTGTAACAAACAGTTTTGATATGGATTATGATGAGCACAAGTAACCACGAGAAAAAAGTCTAAGTCTATCTGTCAGGCAGTTCTAATCATTTGAATAAGTGGGTTTGTTTTCTGTTTGCACAGGGACTGCTTGTGCTTGTGCTTCCTGAACAGTGGCACCAGCTTTGTGGCAGGTTTCGCCATCTTCTCCATCCTGGGCTTCATGTCGTACGAGCAGAACGTGCCCATCTCAGAAGTGGCAGAATCAGGTTTGTATGGAAGAGATAAATCTGAACAATAATTTGGTCTGGTGGATCATCACCTTATCTCCATGACCATGAAGAAGGATAGATTTATGCCAGAAACATTGCTATAATTCATAAATAATAAAACACATCATGTGTTCTGTATGTTTTTGCCAGGCCCAGGTTTGGCGTTCATAGCGTACCCTCGTGCTGTCTCCATGATGCCCTTCTCTCCTCTGTGGGCCTGCTGCTTCTTCATCATGATTGTCTTCCTCGGTTTGGACAGTCAGGTAAACCTCTGGACTTTCTATATACATATTATAAATATACACTAGTATATACAGTAGCATAGGGATGTCCTAGTGTCTTATTTCAGTGTTACCATTATTGTGTTCAGAAATGATTTCTAAATACAAAATGTGATGACTAATGACATTGCCACAGATCTGACCTGTAACTTGGCCTGATAGTATCACATGCTTGTCTCCATGGAGAATATTCTAGGAACATCAATAACATCTCAATAGACACTATCAGGAATGAACCCTGAAGCAGAAAAATGATTTGTCTGTCAGTTTGTGTGCGTGGAGAGCCTGGTGACTGCTGTGGTGGACATGTACCCGGCCGTGTTTCGCCATAAAAACCGCCGAGAGCTCTTCATCCTGGGGGTGTCTGTGGCCTCTTTCCTTATGGGACTCGTCATGTTAACAGAGGTAAAGTTCAACACAGAGTTCTAGGAACACTTATGTAAGAGCCACAAGCTCAGCAAACATAAATTGATCTACTGCAAATATTTAGAAGAATATTCACCTGCAAACTCAGTCCTGGAGAAGCAGACAGTGTTTTCAGTAGTTTGGGTTATGATGTTGTCTTCATGAGTATTTCCACGAATGCTGAAACAAACAAACAAGCAAAAAAAAGCTACTAACCATTTATTTGATAATGTATTTTTTTGTTATTATCCTCATTTGTCCTAGCCAGTTAAGGTTCATTTTTCCCATAAACAAATATGTCACATAAAAATCCAAATACACTGTGGGAAACATTCAATAATGAACGACACGGACAGAGCATAAACTATACATCAGATAATTCAAGAAAAATGAAACAAAAAGAATTGATCTTACATTGACCAGGCTTATATCTCTTTTTAAAACTGACAGAAGCAACACATTTAAAAGAACAGAGCCAACACATAGCAATACCTGTTTAAGGCCCCGTCCACATTAGTATTCAAGTCGTTTTAGTTTAGAGACAGAACTATCTGGTGCCGCCAGATCCCACCAATTCATCTGAATACAGATCTGATCCAGCACTGTGTGGACGCCTGAAAACACTGATACTCTGATTTTGTTCTATGCGCCACGAAGTAATTCACCGCCAAAACGCTAAGAAGCTAGAATATATGTCCTTACATATATATGGTCTTGTGTATGATCGTACACATAGACCGAATAATCTCTGAAAAATTTAACATGAACCATCTCCAATGCGACAGAAACACAGAACAGACTCACCATCAGCAGAACATCCCTCTGTCACAGAAAGAACACTCATATTCCACTGAGTCATGTCCTTTAGTTCAACAGAAGCTGAAACGCATCAGCACACAACAGTGAGCTGTTTTATGAGCTCTTAGTTTATACAATTTAGCCATGTGGTTTTAAGTTTCGTTTCTGTAAAACGTAAACAAATGTGCTCAAAGCTGTGTGGATAGAGAAGACCTGCAGACACAGAAACGAGTCAGCCGTCACTTTGAGCCGCCATGCTCATCTTAAAATCCACTGTTACACTAAATAACAACTGAACCTCGGCGTCAGTCCACAAAAAGACGGTTTTTACACTTGCCATTTCCCTCGGCTCAAAATCGGCTGCTGCAACTTCAGACTTCCTCGTTTTTACCTCTCACGTGACGTTGGGATGTCATGAAGACGTGACACCAGCCTGTCATGTGATGAGTGTTTCAGGCGGTTTTGCATTTCTGTGTGGACATGGAACGCTTTGATTGCAGATTGGACACAGAAAAGACCTGTCTGGATGCAGACTGTTTCCAATACGCTGATAAGATGATACGTGGATTCGTTTTAGTGTAAACGGGATCTCAATGTGTTTCATCTGCACACTGTTGCCATGGTGATGACGGGTGATTATAGAGTGTATGTATATTATGCAAAATAAATTTTTTGTGCTTTCCCCCATGTTATAATGTTGATCACTCATCAAAAACATGCCTGAAGAAGTTTTACATGTCATTCATGCCTTAGTAATCTAATGATCTCTCCCGGGCCCTATTCAAACCCTGGTTAGCTCCGCCCACAATTCTCCATAAATATACAAAAACATGATACAAAACTTACACAGCATCTTACCAAGCCTGATGTGATGTGCAGGAGTTTCATTAACCAGGTCAGGATGCACGCTGATTGTGTTGTGATAACGCTCTGAAGGGGGGGGTGACTTAGCACAGAGAGCAAAGGGAAGAGGAGACAGAGAAACTTCCAAAGCCCAGACGTCTGACAGTCTCGTCTTCTGTTCTTGTTCCAGGGCGGCCTGTATATTTTCCAGTTGTTCGATTACTATGCGGCGAGTGGGATGTGCCTCCTGTTCGTGTCCATCTTTGAAACGGTTTGCATCGCCTGGATTTACGGTGAGTGAGTCTGCTTCTGCCAAGTCAGTGTCATGGATGTTTGCAATGACATAAGACATCACATAAGATTAGGAGAACTATAGATGTAAGAAAACGTCTATGTGCTTTTCAAAAGATTATTTGTTGCAGACTTAATTTATAAGAGAAAAAGTTTTTGTCCAATTTTTGATAATACTAAAAACACAAGAGGCTGTGTGCACAAAAGCGCACGGCAACCACACTGTAGCATCACTAGATCTGTCCATTTGTGTATCTAGTTTTTTTTTTTTTTTGAGTCGTGCTAAAATGAATGCATGACGTTAAAGATAAGGTACTGAACAGCGAGTTTTGGGTGGATGTCATTAACAACATGTTAAAAACAACAAAATCTAATACTAATACTAATACTAATACTACTAATCAAACGAATACTTCACTGGAGGACACTTCTGCACCTCAAACTGAAGTCATCTATATTTAAAAATAATTAAGTCATTAGCTCATCATTGACCATTTCAATATATATTTTTACGTTCTGGTTACAGGTGCTAACCGTTTCTATGACAACATAGAGGACATGATTGGTCATCGTCCTGGTCCTGTCATCAAATACTGCTGGCTTTTCTTCACCCCAGCCACCTGCTTGGTGAGTGCTCTCAGTTTTCCTACCACATACCCGTCTCCAGATTAAATGTTATTGTTTCACCTGGAATATTCCACAGCATGGCATTAAACTATCTGTCTTTCCTTTATTCAGTTCTGGCTGTTTTAATTGCAAAAAATTGTTTGCTTCTATGGAGATTTATTTTAGGAACTTTTATACCATCCCGTGGCAACTGCAGGCAAAAAAGAACATCTCCATAGAGACAAGGAAACCATAAAAGTAACAGAGTGGCCCTTTAATGTGATGTTCTTATTGAATGAACTGAATGTGTGTGTTGTGTTTTTAGGGGACCTTTGCCTTCTCATTGATCAAGTACACTCCTCTGAAGTACAATGGGGTGTACGTGTACCCCTGGTGGGGTTATGCCCTCGGCTGGGTCCTGGCTCTGTCCTCCATGTTGTGTATTCCTCTTTGGATTCTTTTCAAACTTTTCACCACTCCTGGATCACTGAAGGAGGTGAGCCTGTTTATGTCCTCAAGAAATCCATTCTATTTAACACCCTAAGATTAAAAGGTGTATTACAGGCAAAAAGCAAGTAAAAGCTCAAAATGTCATCAAGGACTCATAAGTGACATTTTGTCAACATACAATAATACTGTATAAAAATGTACAGTACATATACAGTATATACAGTATATTTATATATACAGTCTATGATACAGCCACATTCCACAACATGTGTCACATCCTTTTTGTGCTGCCCTCTAGTGGTGTTGTGATTCAATACAATCCACCTTCATAGTCGCCTGCGCTCAACAACTGGAGAACAAAACAAGAACAAATGTCTATCTACCTTTCTATCTGTCCTCCCTTATTTGAAGGATTTAGCAGAGTGTCTATTTGCACCCTGGGTGTTAATAGTTCAATGGACACGATTCTTCTGTTTACACCCGAAAAAAGGGAATGGTGACATGTCCGCTTACGTCATTTCCTGTGAAAAGTGCGGGAAGCTGGATTTGACTAGGGTGACCAAACGTCCGTTTTTCCCTGGACATGTCCGTATTTTGTGTCCTGTCCGGGGCGTCCGGGGGTTTTTTTTATAAAGCAATGCAAATGTCCGAGTTTTCAGTACCGTTCATTGGGGGCATTAAACTGAGCATCTCTCATAGCGTCTGTGACTCAGAAGGAGCGAGACACAAACAGTCGGTCAGTCTGCAACATACCGAAGCACAAATGCACATTTAACAATGACTTGTACAAGAAATTCTCCGTTTTCTGTCCTGGTCGGGACAAGTGTGAGTCCATGTGCACAGGTTGTGAGGTGAGAGTACAGTGTCCCTCGTTTATTGTGGGGGTTACATTCTAAAAATAACCTGCGATAGGTGAAATCCGCGAAGTTGTCAACTTTATATTTTACAATTATTATATCTGTTTTAAGGCTGTAAAACCCCTCACCACAAACTTTATCCACTTTTCTCAGACAGGACAGGTGCAACCCTTTTTACTTCCCTCTTTAAACTTATTGCTGCTGTCGTCCTTTCGTTATTTTCCTCCTTCATTATGTAACGAACTAAAGAATAATTTATTCCGTAATGGAGTCTACAGCACTGAGTCCTGCACGGCTCCATTTTTGGAGACCCCCAGTACAACAACACACCCGCGCAGTACAGGACCGCACCTGCCCGTTAACCAGAGATTATATCAAACTTTTGCGCTGCCTACGTCACAGACTGAACCAAGAACCAGGACTAAACCAGGACTGATTCCAGGACTGAAGAGGAGGACTAATCCACGACTGAACTAGGACTAAAACAGGACTAAACCAGGACTAAATCAGAACTGAAACAGGACTCACCGTCAGGACGGACTCGGAGGTGACGCAGGAGAAAGGACAGGCTCAGCTCCGCACCTCACGGAGTTAAACACGGCCGTTGCCCGATCGCGCTTTGCAGACAAACTGCTCGACGTTTT